CCCAGTGTCCCAGTCCTCCTCAGCCTTTTCTTCACCCCAGTAGATGTGACCTCCAGCTCCACATCTCGGGGAGCCTTTTGATAAATGCTCTGCCTCCTTCCCTCTCTCCCTTCTGGGGGAGTTCCTGGGCAGCACAGGGACTGACTGGATGGGAAGAGTCAGAAGCCCCAGTTCTGAAGAACTCACTGAATCCTGGAAGCCCATCTTTGTGGGGGGCAGTGGTCTTCTCAAGTGCTCACATGCAGTCCGCTTAAGTCTCTTATCTCTGGCTGGGGTCTGGCAGGATCGCCATTGCCTGGGGTGTGGCCTGCTCCAGCAGGACAGCCATCCTGAGTGTTTCAATCATGTTTGGATGTCAAGTGCTAGCTTGTAGAGTAGATGCCTGGGCCACTTGTGACCTGAGCTGTCTGCCAGGCCTACCACCTGGGCCTACACAGTGAAGGTTTGGCCCCTCAGAGGACCAGACACCCTGGCCTTCCTTCCAGGGGTCCCCCTGGGTGGAGCTCTTGCCCTTCTAGGGAAGCGTGGGGATAGAGGGAAGCTGTGCCCTCAGCACCTTTCTGGAGGGGGAATTACATCTCTGCTCTCACGTCTGGGACCTTGGAGCAGAACAGGCTGTGGTGTGGGAGGCTCCCTGGAACCCCACACAGGGCAGGCCCTAGCTACACAGTGTTCTGTCCTGCGGAGGTGTTGGTTTCCCAGCAGGTCACTGAAGTGGGACTCCGTCCTCTCACTGACTCTGACTCCTTCAATAAACTTGCTCTGGGAACCTGGCTTGGTGTCGGTCTCTGTTTCTCCCCCTTTTTTTCCTGCCTAATGTCGTTTATCCTCCCACTTGAAGAAAAGAGTTTCAACAGAGCCTTTGGATATGTGCCTCTGTGGGAGAAAACACCCCTTTGGTGCCCTAAGATGAAGGGAAATAGCAAAATAATTTATTAACTCAGCTTGGCAACAGGCACTTTCTCGCTGACCTCAAAAACCTCTCGGAAAGGAGAAATCAAGCTAGGAGAAATCAGCACATTCGAGATTAGAGTCCAGATCTCCTGGAGCAGCTGTCATCTGGGGGCAAGGGGCAGGGGATGGGCATGGAACTTGTCCTGTTGGCAAGAATCGGCCCAGAGTGAACCTGGTGGGCACCAATGCCACCTGGGTGCTTCGAGCTTGGGATCTTTGCAGTGAGGGAATGGCACAGAGGTCAGGCACCTGCGGGCAGGAAGAGAGCTGGGGTCTGCACCAGCATTGATCCATGTCTCCCTGATTTCATTATCTCTAAGCCACTGGGGGGAGGGATTGATGGGATTACACGCAGTACTGCTCAAGGGCGATTCCTGGCTCTGTGCTCGGGTCACTTCTGGTGGTGCTAAGGGCACCCTGTGTGGCATTAGCCATGTACAAGGCAAGCACCTTAACCCCGGTACTGTCTCTTCAACCTCTCAGCCATTTTCAGACCAGGACATGCAGTCAAACAGTAAAAGGTAGATATCTATTTCTTTTTTTTTTTTAAAGTAAAAGACATTTTTTTAAAGTAAAAACATTTAGAGGTTTTTTGGAAGGGGAAGGAGAGGCAGAAAGAGAGATAGAGCAATATGCTCAAGAGAGAACGCAGGGGCTGGAGCGATAGTACAGCGGGTAGAGTGTTTTGTCTTGCACGTGGCCAACCTGGGTTCAATCCCCAGCATCTCATATGGCCCCCGAAGCACCACCAGGAGTAATTCCTGAGTGCAGAGCCGAGAGTATCTCATGCATCACCAGGTATGACTCAAAAAAGCAAAAAAAAAAAAATGCAGGCTTCTCCAAAATCAGAGAGAGCCCCTAAACACACACCCCAACATTAGATATGGAAGCATAAAAGTACCATCCCAAGAGAGATGAAGGGGACCAGAGCGATGTACAGCAGGTAGGGTGTTTGCCTTGCATGTGGCCAACCTGGGTTCGGTCCCCAGCATCCCATATGGTCCTCCCAGCACCGGCAGGAGTAATTCCTGAGCGCAGAGCCAGGAGTAACCCCTGAGCATCGTGGGTGTGACCCAAAAAGAAAAAAAAATCCCATGCGGGCAACACATGTGCTCAACCATGTGGACACAAGCAGCACATGGGCTCAGGCAGCATATGTGCGCAGGTACCTGTTTCACAGCAAAATGGAACACTTATAAAATTTGTTTTTGGACCACACCCAGTGTGCTCAGGTGCTTCTCCCAAAGAGTGCTCTCGAGTCACTCTAGGCAGGTCTGGGGTCAAACTCAGAGCTCCAGCATGTAAGGAATATACATTATTCTTGGAGCGAGCTCTCTAGTCCTCTCTTTATTTTTTCTTAAAGAAGGTATTATAATCCCTACCTCACCAAGGGTAGGTCTTGAGCAACAATGGCTGTGGTTTCTGTTAAAAAAAAAAGTTTTTAGGGGACCAGAGAGATAGTACAGCAGGCAGAGCTCTTGCCTTGCACATGGCCAACCCAGGTTTCATCCCTCGCAACCATACGGTCCCCTGAGCCCCACCAGGAGTCATTCCTGAGTGCAGAGCCAAGAATAAGCTCTCAGCACTGCTGGGTATGGCCCCAAAACAGGCAACTGTAGTTAAAGAATTTTGTTTTGTTTTGTTTGGGGGGGACCACACTCAGCAATGCTCAGACGTCACTCTTGGCTCTGCACTCAGGAACCACTCCTGGCGGTGCTTCAGAGGACCATATAAAATACTGGGGATCAACCCTGGGTTGACCATGTGCAAGGTAAGCACCCTACCTGAACCGTACTATCACTCTGACCCTAGAATTTTTATTTTGTTTGTTTTCAGGCTTTACCCAGCTGTGCTGGGGTGGGGCTGAGGTACTCCCTGCTCTTGAGTGGGGGACTATGCAGGGATTGAACCTGGTTCTGCTGTTTGCCAAGCCTGTGCTCCAGCCTGCTGAGCTATCTTTCCAGCCCTGAACATTTTTATTTAAGTTAGAAGTGTGAGGGCCAGAAAAAAAAAAAGTAAATGGTATCTTGCCTTCTATGTGACTGACCATGGCTCTATCCCCAGCACCACATCCCCAAGCACCACCAGGGGTCACTCTTGAGCACAGAACCAAGAAAAGTCCCCCAGGGTTTAAGTCAACCTTCGGGTAGGGTGTTCGCCTTACATGGCCGACCGGAGTTCGATTCCTCCGCCCCTCTCGGAGAGCCCGGCAAGCTACCGAGAGTATTCGATATGCCAGACACAGTAACAACAAAGTCTCCAATGGAGACGTTACTGGGCCCGCTCGAGCAAATAGACGATCAACAGGAGGGCCTTTTCAAGTAGAAAATCCAGGAGCTAAAATCAGGATAGTTAATAGACTGGTGTCTGGAAGGAATAAGCTTGATTCACAAATACTGTTGTTTACAGGTAATGGCACTGACATGTAAGAAATGTTGATTTAAAAAAAATTTGAATGTTGAAAAAAAAATGTTGAATGATTTTTCTAAAGTCACACATTATGCACCCAGAGCTTCAGTGTCTTGTGGGGATTATTCCTTTCACTAGTTCATGGCTCCCTTTGTTCTCTGAAATCCTGCCACTAGTTTTGAAGAATGAGGAAGGAAGACACAAAAAAAGGGGATCTCCAAACAGGTACTGAATAACTGAGACTGGGTCTTTTGGGTAGATGGTGCTCGACACCCTGGCTGCAGTTCCTGTGGGAAGGTGAGGGGGTGAAGCAGCCTGGGTGAGGCTCAGACTTGAATGAACTCCAGGCTCGAGGCTTCCCTTCTCCAATCTCAGCCTCTGTCCTTCCTGGGGTCCTTGGATTTCATCTGTTGGCCACCATGATGAACATACAGATGAGTGATCTCCTTTAGATCTCATATCTTCTACCCAAAAGAAGAGAGAGAGAACAAGGGGGAATGCCCTGCCACAGCGGCAGGGTGGGACGGGGGGCGGGGATGGGGGGTGGGAGGGACGCTAGGACCCGTGGTGGGGGAGGATGGGCACTTGATCATTGTATAACTGAAACCCAAGCACAAAAATTTATAAGTCTATAAATGTACCTCATGGTATTTCACTAATTAAAAAAAAAATGATTAAAGAAAATAAATAAATAAATTTAAAAAATATATCTCATATCTTGAACATTGCACAGTCATCCCCAATTTATTCTGGCATCAAATCCCTTAAAGCCCTGAGGTTCAGAAGATAGCTTTGGAAAATCAGATTCAACATCCAGTACCCCATGGGCTGCTAAGCACCACCAGGAGTGACCCCTGATCACTACTAAATGTGTCACAAGCCACCCCCCATAAAAAAAAAGTCCCTCAGACATAGGATTTGGGGAGGACCAAAGGATGCTGAAGTGGGTCTCTCTGTAGTGTGCTCCCTGTTGCTAACTGGGACCCCGCCCCACCATCCTGAGACGTCCAGTGTGGGCTCTCAGATTTTTCTTTTTTAAATAAGTTTCTAGTTTTATTTTAGAATATTTAAAAACATTTACATATTCTTTTTGTATTTGTTCAGTTGGGTTTTTTTTTTTAATTTTTTATTTGTGAATCACTGTGAGGTACAGTTACAGACTTACAAACTTTCGTGCTTGTATTTCAGCCATACAATGATTAAGTACCCATCCCTCCACCAGTGCCCATTTTCCACCACCAATGGTCCCAGCATCCCTCCCACCACCCCCAGCCCATCCCCTCCACCCCACCCCACCTCTGTGGCAGGGCATTCCCTTTTGCTCTCTCTCTCGTTTTGGGTGTTGTGGTTTGCAATAGAGGTATTGAGTGGCCATCACGTTCAGTCTATAGTCTACTTTCAGCCCACATCTCCCATCCCTCCTAGCACCCTTTACTTGGTGGTCCCTTCTCTCTCTGAGCTGAGGCCGGCAGATTCTTGAAAAAAAATATCTCCAAGGTTCAGCTGGGTTGATTTGTATGACCCCTGGGTTCCCTGTGGAGCAAATCCAAGGTTCAGTTAGGGAGGGGTTGGGTGACTTTAGCTCCTCAGGCAGAGCCAAGAAGGCTATGGAAGGAGACAGTCCTAGATCACAGGTCAGGGCCTGAAATATGAACTGGGACGTGGTTAGAGCTGGGAACAGGGACCGAGAGGGTCTGGGGGACACACTCAAGGGAGAAATCCCAGGTCACTGTGAGGACACGCGCCTGACGCTCGAATGGGCCCTGCTGACGTGGCAGCCCTCTCCCCCGTCCCCCAGGCCCCCCACCCTCTCCCCCGCCTGCCAGCTGCCAGCAGAGCTCTGCCCTGTGTCTGCGACACCTGTCACTGCCAGTCTTTGTCCGGGGGGGCCCCATCAGCCCCTCCTCAGCCACCCAGCAGAGCAAGCGGTTTGTGGGGAGGGGAGGGAACATGGAGCGGGGGCAGGTGGTGGGGGCAGGGCGGGGGGCCGTGGCCCGGATCCGGGCCCTGCTGGGTGGCCTGCTCAAGGTGCTGCTCTGGGTGGCCTCCGCCTTGCTGTACTTCGGGAGTGAACAGGCCGCCCGTCTGCTGGGCAGTCCCTGCTTACGGCGCCTGTACCATGCCTGGTTAGCGGCCGTGGTCATCTTTGGGCCCCTTCTGCAGTTCCACGTCAACCCTCGGACCATCTTTGCCAGCCACGGCAACTTCTTCAACATGTGAGTCCACCGGAGGCCACGGGCACCGGCTCCCTGCATGCCTGCCGGGTTCCCAACTCCCTTCTCGGGGACTCTGTCCTCCAGCCTCGCCCCACACTAAAAATAGCTGGGAGGTTGAGGAAGGTCAGAGGAGGGGGAGGGGAGCCGAGTCAGGGGGTACAGGAGAGCTGGGCAGAAGAGGAAGTTGGGACCCTACGTGGTTGAGTGGACCTCTAAGGAGGTGGCAGAGTTTCAATGGATGGTAGAAATGTGGCGTGGCGTGTGTGTGTGTGTGTGTGTGTGTGTGTGTGTGTGTGTGTGTGTGCGCGTCTGTATGTGTGTGTTTGCGGGGGTGGGGGGGAAGTAGGGAGAACTGGGCAGAGACCCTGAACCAGTGAGAATGGGGGGGCGTTCTGTGGAGGTGAGCATACACCCTGCTGGTGGGCCTCACGGGGTGGAGGGCTTCAGCCTCATCTCTGCTCTGCCCACAGAAAGTTCGTGAATTCCGCATGGGGCTGGACGTGCACCTTCCTAGGAGGGTTTGTGCTGCTGGTGGTGTTCCTGGCCACGCGGCGTGTGGCTGTGACCGCCCGGCACCTGAGCCGGCTGGTGGTGGGGGCGGCCGTGTGGCGGGGGGCCGGCCGGGCCTTCCTGCTCATTGAGGACCTCACGGGCTCCTGCTTTGAGCCTCTGCCCCAGGGCCTGCTGCTCCATGAGCTGCCGGACCGCCGCAGCTGCCTGGCCGCCGGCCACCAGTGGCGGGGCTACACGGTGTCTTCCCACACCTTCCTGCTCACCTTCTGCTGCCTGCTCATGGCCGAGGAGGCCGCCGTGTTCGCCAAGTACCTGGCCCATGGGCTGCCCGCCGGCACACCCCTTCGCCTGGTCTTCCTGCTCAACGTGCTGCTGCTGGGCCTCTGGAACTTCCTGCTGCTCTGCACCGTCATTTACTTCCACCAGTACACGCACAAGGTGGTGGGCGCGGCCGTGGGCACCTTCGCCTGGTATCTCACCTACGGCAGCTGGTATCGTCAGCCCTGGTCTCCAGGGAGCCCGGGCCATGGGCTCTTCCCTCGGCCACGCTCAGCACGCAAGCATAACTGAAAGCAATAAAGGCACTGCAAGCCTGGCTCTGGCTCCTGTTACTTGCCTGCAGGCACCTGGTAGAGGTAGACAGGGCAAGAAAGGAAGCAGGTGGTCGCCAGGGCTGCTCAGCCATGCCAGGCTGTGTCCACCCTCCCCATCCTCACAGACTTGGAGATCTCTTTGGTGTTGATGTCAGGCCAGGGTACTGCCAGGCAAGTGACTGCCCCAGGGCAGAGGCATGCACGTCCAGCCTGTACAGGTGCTCCACCTTCAGCCCGTTTTCCTTCTGCTTCCTGTGCTCAATCACCTTCTGCCTTTCTCCGGGGCCTGTCTATCCAGGGAACCGACCGAGGGACACTTTCTGCCCTGTCTTGCCTATAAGGGGTGATGTGTGCATTTATTTATAACAGATGTTTGAACCATCTTGACCATCCCGTATTACAAAGAGGACAAGGTTTCTGGGGTCCGAGCGACAGTGGGTAGGGTATTTGCCTTGCACGTGGCCGACCCAGGTTCATCCCTGGCATCATATATGGCCCCCAAGCAATGCCAGGAGTAATTCCTGAGTATGGAGCCAGGAGTAGCCCCTGAGCACCACCAGATGTGGCCTCAAAACAAAGACAAGTTTTCTTCTGTTTAGGTACTGATGGGTTCCTGGTGGAGACAGATCATAAACTCACAAACAGCCAATACCTATGCATATTTGGGGCCAGGTATTCTGGTGTCTGTATGTTTTTCACACACAATGAGTTCAAGTCTACAACAGCACTATGAGGATGGGCCAAGAATTTTCCCAGTGTTTCAGGAAGGAACGGGTGTAATTCTCTGAGTGACAGGAACAACTTTGTCCTGGGTTGTCCAGGTGCCATTCAAGGTTGCAAAGTGGAGAAAGTTGATTGGGAGTAGAGCTAAGAAGGAGTCAGGGAATGAGCGCCACAGAATGGTTGTTGTCAAGGGGGTTACAGGTGCTCCTCACAATAGCACTGAGGGCACCGCTACACTATGACTAATGATGCTGTTTTCTCTTAGACAGCTCAGTCAGGGTACCCTGACATCTCTAGAGAGACGGTGAGAAAAACATTTAAATCTATTTAGTCCACAGTGCAGTGTTGGGCATTTTTTTTTTATGTTGGCTAGGCCCTTGAGAAACTGCATTCTCTGAGAGCTTCTCAAAGAAAGACCTTGGGAATTGTTGACACTGTTGCTGCCTGAGGGGGATGGGGGGGATATTACTGAAACTGTATTTGCCTTTGCTCCAGCGGGCCCAGTAACGTCTCCATTGGAGACTTTGTTGTTACTGTGTCTGGCATATTGAATATTTGCCTTGTCATTTGCAGAGTATGCTTGAGTTTAAAGTGGCGGCGGTGGAGCAGAGCTTTTTTAAGATGGTTTAAGATGAAATGACTCCTGACAACAGACAGAGGGAAAGCAGAGGATTTCTCTTTCATCTTGTGTAGTTGTGAAAATGGAGACACAGAGGAGCAGCATCTGGTCACAGTTGATAAATATCAGAGCCAGAGTTACAAATCCAGGCTATCAGGTTTCTTTCATTGCAGGTGCTAAGTCAGCAGTCAGCTACAGCCCTCCTGTGGCCATTTTTTGTATAGTTCAAGACACCGGCATGGTTTTTAGGTGGCTGAAAAATCAAAGATTAATATTTCATGACACCTCAACATTATGTGAACTTCATATTCCAGGTTGTATAAAGTTTCACTGGAACCAAACTAGGCTAATTCACAAGCTACCAGGGGCAAAGTTGAGTTCTACTTATAACACAAGGACCACAAAGTCTAAACTATTTACTACTGGCCTTTTACAGAAAAAGTTTGCTAGTCTTGATCTAAACCACACGATCACCCAAAAAACATAAGTAATATCAGAAATATACATACCATTTAAAGTCCAGAAAATGGTGCTATGTAATGGAGACATGGAGGGAGGGAGGTGCTGTGTAAAAGATGAGGGAGAGTTCTCTCAGAAGAGATGTCAGGTGGCAGGGGAAGGGTGTGGCAAACCAAGGGATTAGCAAAGACAATGTCCCCAGGCAGGAATGAAGGTTAGTGACAGATTTGAGAACCCACTGGAAAACACACAGGTATTTGCAAGTGCAACCAAAGAAGGCAGCAGGGGTGACAAAATAGAGAAGGTGCCAGGCAGAACAAATGGGTCCTGAAAGTCCCTTAAATTTCATTCTCAGGTCAACAGGAAGCTGAGAGTTTTAAGCAAGGGAAAGGGGAATCCAGTTTCTGTGAGGACAGCAGATTACAAAGGACTGGAGTGACCACCATAGTGAGGAAAAAGCTGACTTCGGCCTGGGTATCCACTGCTGAATGTTACTGATGCCCTTGGGGCCAGGGTCTTCATGCTCGACAGACTAGAAAAGTGAGGCCAGGTCTTATTCCAGCACTGAGAAAAAATGAAAAGGACACCAGATAAGGCTTTTCACTGCCGCAGGCTGAGCAGGAAAAGAAGAGCCAACGGGAGTGTCAAGAGTCCGAGGGCTGGAGCGGCGGGGGTATCAGTTTTGAGTAGGGGTGAAAAATAATTTGGCTCGGGCAGGAGCCAGAGATGAGGAGGGGGGCGCGCAGAGAGAGAAGCGAGGAGAGGAGGCGGGGTGGGCGGAAGGAGCAGGTGGAGGAAGTCCAGAAACTGACAGCGAAGTGGGCGTGGAGTATGCAGGGGGCAAAAGAGGCGTGCACGTCCGGAGTGAAGGATGGGGAGGGGAGGCGGGGCCTGGAGAGAGGCGTGGGGAGGAGGAGGCAGATGGGCGCGGGCAGTAGGCGGGGAGTCCCGAAACTGGCAGTAAAGGGGGTGGGGCGTGTTCGGAGGGCGGGGCCCAGGGAGCCGGACTGGCGGAGATAATAGGCGGGAGACCAGAAACTGGCAGCAAAGGGGGAGGGGCGTGTTTGGGGGCGGGGCCTAGAAAGCTGGGCTGGCGGAGACAATAGGCGGGGAGTCCCGAAACTGGCAGGGGCGTGGCGTAAGCAGAGGGCGTGGTCTATGGCGAAGGGGCGTGGCCCGGAGAGAAGGGCGGGCGGGGAGAGGAGGGTGGAGACCATAGGCGGAGACCCCTGTTCAAGGACGGACCTTGAAGGGGAGATCTGGGCGAAGGGGGTGGTTGGAGCCTGCGCCGTCCTGCAGGTCGGTGGAGACGCTCCTCTGGGCTCTAGGGGGAGCCCCGCTTCTGCTGCCGGGCTGCGCGCCTCCGCCCTCTCTTCTCGCTGGTCTGCGCACGCCTCCTTCGCTATCTGCGCTCTGCTCGCGGGGAAGAGTGCGCGGGTGCAGAGGTGCTTTCACTTTCCCTTCCCCGTGCCCACTCCTCGTTCCTCGTGCGGCGCCGGTTCCTGAGCCCCCCGTCACGGCCATGGCCATGCTCAGTGTCCAGCCCGAAGCTCAAGCCAAGGTAAGCGCCGCCGCCCGGAGCAGGGGCCGGCTGGGGAGGCGTGGTCCGAGTGGCTGGACGCGTCCATCCTGTTCCCCCCGACCCCTCGACCCTGCGAGGCTCCGGCATCGCGAGCCCCCGGAGCCCCGGAGCCGCGGGGAGACTCATAGATGAGGTCCTCCCGCCGAGGTGAAGCGGGGTGCGGCGAGGCGGAGAGCCGGAGTGCTGGGGAAGCCCGCGGGCTGGCCTTGAGCCACGCAGCTCTGAGGTTCGGGGCTCAAGACGTGACTTGCTGCCCAGGGCCTTTCACGCGAGAGGGGCCCCTGCACAGGCCACCGTCCCCCACCCCAGCCCTTGGATGTCCAAAGACACCCCTTTGCACACAGAAGATTGGGAGTGTCTGTTCCCAATTAAACCACTTGCCCTTAACAGAAAATGTTTGCATCCCCCCCCACCAGTATAGCCACATGAGGATCCACTCTGCCCCAATCCGCCCCTAAGTGAAGGGGCATTAAATGAACTGGCCCTAAAGAAAGGTGTCTGAGGGGTTCCTGTGTCCCGCAGGTGAACGTGTTCCGAGAAGACCTGAGTGCCAAGGTAAGACCTGTCCTGTCAGAGCCCAGCCTGACTCCTCTCTGGAACCAGCCCTGCCTCCCCGCCTGCAGAGGGCATTTAATTGTGACCTCCAGCCTCCCCACCCCACACCCCACCTTACACACAGACAGAGAAGCTGCTTGGGAGCTACTTCCCCAAGAAGATTTCGGATTTGGATGCCTTTTTAAAGGTACCGAGGGTGGGCAGGGGACTGCGGGGTGGTGGTCTCGAGTTGAGAGTGAGGAGGCATGAGGACCATCCTCCCTTCTTTGTCATCCTCACATCCTGCACCAGGAACCAGCTCTCAACGAAGCCAACCTGAGCGAACTCAAGGCCCCATTAGACATCCCAGTGCCAGATCCAGTCAAGGAGAAGGAGAAGGAGGAGCGGAAAAAACAGCAGGAGGCAAGCCGGGAAGAGCTGGGAGGAGGGACCAGCCTCCTGGAAAAGCAGCCGTAGGCCTGATTCCCCGAACCCCCTCTCTCCCTGCAGAAGGAAGACAAGGATGACAAGAAGAAAGGGGACGATGAAGACAAAGGTACTAGCTGGGGGAAAGGGACACAAGTCATGCCTTGCTAAGGGTTCTTCCCTACCCCTCGCTCCCTCACCCCCCCGCCCCCCCCCCCCACATATACACACACTGGGACTAATCCATTTCCCATACCTTAGGTCCTCCTTGTGGCCCAGTGAGCTGTAATGAGAAGATTGTGGTCCTTCTACAGCGAATAAAGCCTGAGATCAAGGATGTCATTGAGCAACTCAACCTGGTGAGCTCTCCCTCCCACTTCCACTCCCAGCTTCGGGTTAAACCCTTTGTCCTCCTTGGTCCCTGCCAATTAGGGCACAATACCTGCGCAGTGAGTGAAAGTTCAGACTTTGGAGCTCAGGATGGACCAGGTGAACCTCCCCTCCCTGGTGGAAGCGAAGCAGGGGGGTTGATTGGTTTTGACAGCCATTTCCTCCTCCCAGGTCACCACCTGGTTGCAGCTGCAGATTCCCAGAATTGAAGATGGCAACAATTTTGGAGTGGCTGTCCAGGTGAGGGGCTGCCCCACTCTTCTGCCCTCCTTTCCTCTTAGCCATGCTGCTCTCCACTCTCCCTCGGACCTTCTTTCCTCAGGAGAAGGTGTTTGAGCTGATGACCAGCCTTCACACTAAACTGGAAGGTTTCCACACTCAGATCTCCAAGTGAGTCTCCCTCTGCCCCCCGCTCCTGCTTGCATACTCTACTTTTGCCTTGCCCAGAGGCCTGAACTTCCCTGCCCTCTCCCAACTCCATACCCTTCTTCCCATAGGTATTACTCTGAGCGGGGCGATGCCGTAGCCAAAGCTGCTAAGCAGCCCCATGTGGTAGGTGAGACCCAGATTAGGGTGCTTGGGGGAAAGGACACATATTTTTGGGGGAGAAGGGTCACACCCAATGATGTTTAGGAGTTACTCCTCACTTTGCACTCGGGAACCACTTCCAGCGGGGCTCAGGGGACCATATGAGATGGTGGGGATCAAACCAGGGTAGGCTACGTGCAAGGCAGGCAACCTCCTTGCTGTGCTATCACTCCAGCCCAGTGGTTTTTCTTTTTCTTTTTTTTTTTTTTGCCCCTTCCTCCCCCGCCTCCAGCAATGCTCAGGGGTTACTTCTGGCCTTCTGGCACTACTCCTGGTGGTGCTTGGGGGACCATATGAGATGCCAGGGATTGAACCTGGGTTAGCCATGTCAGCTGTGTGTAAGGAAAGAGCCTCACAGGCTGTACTATGGCTCCAGTCTGGGAAAGGACACATTTGGAGTTTGTCCTGACGTAAGTGTCCCATAGGGTGATTATCGGCAGTTGGTACATGAACTGGATGAAGCAGAGTACCGAGACATTCGGCTGATGGTCATGGAGATCCGCAATGCTTATGTGAGGGGGCCAATAAGGGGAGGGGGTGGGTGGAGGCAACATTTCTGGGAAACCCACTCGCTAATCTTAAAGGATGGGGTGAAGGGTGACCAATCCTGGCTACTCCACAAGGCTCGAGATGGCCCCAGAGACAATGGGGACCTCCAGGTGACCATCACTCCTCTGGCCCTGTAGGCTGTGCTATATGACATTATCTTGAAGAACTTCGAGAAGCTTAAGAAGCCCAGAGGAGAAACAAAAGGAATGATCTACTGAGAGCTTCCGCTCGTTCTCAGAGGATTGGAGCAGAGACCTTCCATCTCTTGGTGGGGGGTTTCCAAACTTGCCTCTGCCTTGTCTCCCAGGCATAATAAATCTAGTTTTCTGGTTGTCTATTACCCAAGTCTTTTATTGGATCGTGACCCTTGCCCCACCCCCACCCCAGCTCTCATTCAGGTGTTTCCATTCGTGGGACCAACCCATTGGGTGATTTGAGTGTTGAGTTGTTGGTTGGTCCAGTCCTGACGGATGTCGTCAAGGTGACAGTCAAAGTCCACGAGGCGCTGGTGGGCTCGACCCTCCAGCAGTGCTCCCACCATCTGCCGTGACTCCTCCCAGTCCCTCCACATCACTCTGAAATATAACAAGCCCGGGGAAGTCAGATTCTGTAGGGAGTAGGCTCAGATACTTAGCAGAAGTTGAGCAGAGAAAGAGCTTTGGGGTGGGATCAAGGACAGGAGGGTTGTTGGGTGTGAGCTTCTGTCATAGGGAAAAGGAACGGGACACTCACAAGTTCTTGTCTTTTGGGACCCAGCGGGAACCGTGGCTCTCCAGAACGATGACTGGGGGCACGTGAGGCTGAGACACCAGTTTCTGATTATCCAGCTGTGTGGACAAGGAAGGGCAGATGAAAGTTTCAAGGATTCTCCTTCCTGCATTCTCCCCCCGTGCCCTACCCCGAAACCCAAGCCTCACCATGATCAGCACTGCTTCAGGAAAGAATTCTGCAATCCGCCCTGCGATTTTTAAGGCCAGGGGTCCAGGACTGGATGGAAGGAAGATCAGAGTTGTGAGGAGTGGGCAAAACCTATCCATCTGAGCTGGGCCTCCTAGCAACACAGTAATGGCCTTTCCCTGTGCTGGCCTGTGGGGGTCAGGTCAGTTCATGCTTCATCCTTGGCTGCTTCATGCTTGAGGACTATGGGAAACAGGCTCAGATATCAAAGGATGAGAAGAAATCTGAGGTCCTTTTGGAGGGTAACTTGGTACAACCAGCCAAATTTAACCTGTGATACATATATACATGTATCATATGTGTGTGTATTACTGTCCCAGAAATCCACTTATAAAGAACTTGCTGCAATAATTGGATGGTGACTGCAATGAGAGGGCTGGAGAGATAGTGCACAGGTATAGATGCTTGCCTTGTATGCAGCCGACATGGGTTCAATCCCCAGCCACCCCATATGGTCCCACAAGCTTACCAGGAGTAATCCCTGAATGCAGAGCCAAGAGTATGCCCTGAGCATCTCTGGGTGTGACCCCTCCAAAGACTCTGGTTGGGCTTCCTGTGTCCTGTGGGCACTTGGAAGGGGCCTCTCCGTTAAAGCAGGTGTCAGCCTGTTCTTAGTGAATCTGTTGTCCCTCCCCTCCCCTCTTCAGCTCCTCCAGGGCATCTATATATTTCCCCTATATTTCTTTATGTAGAATTAAATCTATATATCTCCAAAGTCTCCAGAACTCTGCCTAGCGCAAGGCACACACAGTCTCTGCTCCTAAATGTTGAGCCTTTGGCGAAGAAAAGAAGGTATGAGAGGACTTCATGGCTGCCCCCGCCCCAGTAACCCTTAGCCTTCTGCCTCTGGCTACCTTACTCACCTCTGTGGCTACCTTACTCACCTCTGGTCATCCAGAGCTGCATTGACATGGTAGTACCCAGCCACCACCAGCCCGGCCTGCTCACCCCACACATCCACCTGCCATAGGAAAGGGACCATCAGAAGCTACAGCGGACCACCGCCCTGCTGCCAAAGAGGCCAGGGGCGGGCTTGGACGAGGGCTGTTAAGGGGCCCGAAGTGGTCGCTGGGTGTCCCGCTGCGGCACCTGGTTGAGGGCGACCTCAAGCATGACGGACAGGGCCAGGTGGCTGTGGAACAGGGGCACACAGTCGGTGAGGCACAGACATTCTTGCGTTCGCGGCGCGGGCGCCAGTAACAGCCCGTTGACAGCGGCGTGCGGGTACCGAGCAGCGTGCAAGCACATCTTCACGTAGGCCCGCGCCGAGATCTCCACCTCTCCCATGACCGGCGGGGCTCCGAGTCGCGTCCGCGAAGCTCCCTGCAGCTTGCCGGTGCCCTCCTCCGCCCGTGGACACAGCCCCTCACTCGGGCTCGGTGGGGGCGCTGACTCCGCCCGCAGACAGCCCGCCGACTCCGGGCAACGTCGGCCGCAGCCACAGTCCCCAGCCCGGCCCCGAACGCCGGCGGTCCTGATTGCATGTGGCGGCGCCGAGCTCCGCCCCTACGCGGAGACTGCAGCGCCTTAACCAGTTCCGCCGACTTCCGGCCCGCGGCACCCAGAGGGTTGCGCTTCTGCGGCCCCGCCCACCGGCTGCTCTCTGATAGGCTTAGAGGTTCTGATTTTCTCCAATCACCAGCCGCATCCGGACCTTGCTCCGCCTCTATCTCCGGAACACGGGGAAAAAAATCCCCCAGCGTAAACGAAGGAGAATTGTCACATGCTGATTGGCTAGACTGCGGGCCTCAGCTCTTGATTGCAGGAGAGCTTCGTCTGTTACCTATCCGGTCCGTCCCCGAATGCCCGCAGGGTGGGGCTTGCGCCCAGCAGCAGGTGTCCTACGAAGAGTGGCCCTTAGAACACGGGCACATAGCAGATAGGCCTCTTCCTACTATAGAGAGTGAGTAATTGGTACTTTGGACTGGCTCTATAACCAGTGAGACGCATAACCGTTGAAACTGGGTTAGCTGGCCCTTTGTTTCCATAATGGAGCTATCTACAGAAATAAAACTGCAATTGATTGGAGGGAGAAAGAACAGAAAAAGAAAAGTGCACAGAACCATTCTTCCCACTGTGTCCTTGGTGTGATTTCTTTAACCGTAATGCCTTGGGGGCGTTCTTTCGACTTTCAGTCCTTGGGAAGTCATCATTCACTCATAATTTCTCCTTGTATACAGGCTTGTTTTGAACTCAGGAGTGTTGCTCTTACCTTCAAGCCCTGACAACAGCCTAAGTTTTCCTTTTTCTGTCCAAAGCCTCATTATTCCTTAGGTGGACTCTGCTGTCAATTCCAGGAAGCACTTATGAGACCCCCCCAGTGCAAAAAAAAAAATCTGTTAAATACCCAAATACGGATTATTTGTTTGGCTATCATGAAATCTAACACTTGCTGCCCAGTTCTTTTTGTTTTGTTGTTTTGTTTTGGGGCCACGGATAGCACAGCGGGTAGGGCGTTCGCCTTACAAGCGGCCAACATGGCAGACCCGGGTTCAATTCCTCCGCCCCTCTCAGAGAGCCCGGCAAGCTACCGAGAGTACTCGATATGCCAGACACAGTAACAACAAAGTCTCCAATGGAGACGTTACTGGGCCCGCTCGAGCAAATCGACGATCAACGGGAGGGGGGGTGGTTTTGTTTTGGGGCCACATCCAGTATTAATTAGGGCTTACTCTTGGCTCTGCTTTCATGGTCCCTACTTGTTGGGGCATGGGAAATTTAGGGTGTCAAGACTGAACCAAGGCAAATGCCCTCCCCACAGTATATCACTACAGCCCCTGCCCAGTTCCTTAAGACAGCTCTTTTGTTGGTGAGGGTCTCCTGAACAGTGCTCAGAAGGCTCTGGGTCCCTACTGCAATTCTCCACCAATATAATGGTACAAATCAATGCCCAGAGGATGCAGTGCTGTTTGTGCTCTGTGCTGTTGGAGATTATATGAGTAATCCCAGTGGTGCTTGGGGGGCTGCTAGAACTGTACCCAGCAATGCTCAGGGGACCATGTGGTGCTGGGAATGGAACCAGGTCAACCTGCATGCAAGATATGTGCCTTACTTCTGGATTATATGTGGCACCAGGATCTCTTAAGAATAGGACAGAAAGGGCATCTAATTTATCTATCTTCCTGGCACACTATCCTCTTTTCAGCACTACATTCACAGTGTTAAGACATAGGGTGCACTTCAGATATACTTTTCTCAAGTGGGGTTTGGGGTGGGGGGAGTCACATCCTTTGGTGCTCAGGGGCTAGTCCTGGCTCGGTGCTCAAGATTTGCTCCTAGAGCTGCTCAGCGGATCAAATCCGGGCCTCTCACAAGCAAAGCGTGCTCTTCTGCCCTTTGAGCCTTCTTCTGGGCCCTGGATCATGCTTGTTTTCAGAAACAGCCTCCAATGGAGTGCTTGGTGAGCCTTGGGCCCTTCCCAATGATTCTTAGCCAACTGGGGCAGCAGTTCAATGTGAGAATCTGATGATGCATTTGTGTTCAGGCCCAGCAGTACCGGGGATTACCCAGACGCCTCCCCCGACCCCAAGCTGTGCTGGCATCTCTAAAGCTACACCCAGTAGGGCTCAGAGGACCTTGTGGTACTAAGGATGGAACTGGGGTTGGAGACAAGCACCTTAATCCCTGACCTATCTCTCCAGCCCTAATACATGCCTCTTTTTGAATAAGTGATACACATCAACAGTAATCTATACAACGTATAGGTCATTTATTTCCCTTCTAACCCTGGGCTCAGTACATGGATGGCTTCTCTTCACCTTTCGGATTTACGATTTTCTCCAGATTGCAGCTGATGATATGGTAAAGCTCGGCCTAAAAGAAAGTCAGAGGACCAGCAGTCAAATTTCTGATCTTTCACCTTCCTTCTGTGGCCACCTCTCTCCTTAGGGGCTTACTCCACACTCACATAGAAGGTCCTGAGGTCCAGCATCATGGCCCTGAGTGCCCCATAGGCCGCCTCATCTCGCTCGTGTACCAGGGCCCGATAATCCATCTGGAATGTGGGAGGTAAAGTTGAGTCAGTCCCAAGAAAGGTTGGGACATTGTTCTCATTTCCTCATATAGGGAGAAGGTAACTGGAGGATGAACCATTTCTCAGCACCAAAAAAAAAAAAAAAAAAAAAAAAAAGATGGGGAGATGATTCTAACAAGATCAAGCAGAGAAATCAAGCAGAAAACCCCAAATCAGTTTTCCAAGGAAATGGTTTTGGTTCAAAATCTGAACCAAGGGGCTGGAGCAATAGCACAGCGGGTAGGGTGTTTGCCTTGCATGCAGCCACCCTGGGTTCGATTCTCAGCATCCCATATGGTCCCCTGAGCACCGCCAGGAGTAATTCCTGAATGCAAAGCCAAGAGTAACCCCTGTGCATTGCCAGGTGTGACCCAAAAAGAAAAAAAAATTTGAACCAAGACAAGGAGGCCCTTTATTTCCCCTTCCTTGTCCCACTCCTGTAGCTGAGGAGGACTGATTATTATTCAAAACTATCCACTTACTACATAGGTCTCCTTAGAGGCCTTGGCCACAGCATCCCCACGTTCTGAGAAATACCTGCCAGAAGCAAGAGAGCAAAAAACAGGAATAGGTGGTTTAGTGAGACACATGCCCTCAGACCCTCTGCCAAGTCCCCCATGCCTCCAGCTTTGGGAGTCCCTGCAGTCCCACCCCGTGCTGCCCCCACCAAATGCCCTTACTTGGAAATGGTCGTCTGGAAGGCTTCTGCTTTGGTTTTGACAGCATTCACCCTCTCCAGTACTTTTTCCTGGGGTGACGAAATAATGAGAGACAATGGAACACTTGATCTTCAACCTTCTTCCTCCTGTTTGTGTCTAGCTATTATTTCCCCCACCCCCACACCACCCCCAGGTTTTTGTACCACACTAGGCACTTCTGAAGGATTACTCCCAGCTCTGTGCTTAGAGGTTGCTCCCAGCAGTGCTCAGGGACCATGCGATGCTAGGGACTGAACTCAGTCCTCCAGCATGCAAAGCATGTGCTCCAGCCCTATCTCTTTGGCTCCAATGTCTAGCTGTTATTCCTTACTCTCTAACCTCTCCTACTTTGTGTCCTAACACGCTCCTCTTTTTGTTTGTTTTTGGGTTGCATCCAGTGGTGCTCAGGGCTTACTCCTGGCTCTGTGCTCAGGGATCACTCCTGGTGGATTTTGGGGGACCAAGTAGGATGCTGATAATTGAACCCAGGTCAACTACATGCAAGGCAAATGCCCTACGCTCTGTACTATCTCTCAGGCCCCTTACACACTCCTTCTTTACCTGGATTGCCACCCCAAAGTCATTTCCATCTTCAATCTTGGGAATCAGATGCTGAATCCATGTGATCACCTGTAGTAAGAGGAATCATATAGGAATCAACCGACAATCAGGACCTGAGACTGGCCCAGAGGTAAAGCACCTGCCTCACAAGTGTGAGACCATGAGTGCCATACACTGCTGAGCCTAACACAAGAGGTTCTGCTGTTTGGGACTCTGGCACTGTGAGAGCATGTCATCTTGTGCCATCAGCAGCGATGCAGTCTGGAAAGGTGCGGGCCTCGCAGTCAGGTGTGCAATCCCTGTGTGCCATCTCTCACCTAGATGAGATCCCCAACTCCACTATGCACCCTGGCAAGTACCACAAACTGGGACGTGTATGAGTACCATAACTCTAGTGTGATTGTGATTCCTGATGAGCACCATGACCGAGCGTGTGTAACACACATAGGACAACAAAGAGCAGGCAACAGCGAAAGTTATAAAAACAAACTTAGCGGGGGCCAGAGAGGTAGTACAGGGTGAAGGCGCTTGCCTTGCACATGGCAGACCTGGATTCTCTCCCTGAAACCACATATGTTTCTCCACAGCCCAGCCAGGAGTCATCCCTGAGCATAGCCAGGTGTGGCCCCCAAACAAAACAAAACAAAAACCCACAACCAAGCCTAGTGGGTTCTTCCTATGACTGCCACTTTTTTTTTTGTTTGCTTGTTTATTTTTTGGGCCACACCTGGCATTTCTCAGGGCTTATTCCTGGCCTTGCACTCAGTGATCACTCCTGGCTGGCTCAGTGGACAATACAGGGTGCCAGAGATTGAACTCAGGTCAGCAGTGTTCAAGGCAAGTGCCCTACCTGCTGCACTATTGCTCCAGGCCTTGCCTTGCTAATAACAGTTGTATTTAGCTGAGCACTTAGATGCCAGTGCTGTGTGATTTTATATATTTTATATATAAAAAATATATAAATATATATAAAAATATATAAATATATAAAAAATATATAATATATTATATATTCCCATAAATACATATTTACTATAATTTACTATATATATTTGTATGTATCTCATTTAGCCTTTACAGCAAACTTTCAAGGTATAATTCTTATCATATCCACTTTATAGATGAAAAGACTGAATGGGAATGTCTGAGTGCTTTATCTAGGTAAGCAGCTAGGCCAATGATGGAGTCAGGTTTGAGCCAAGCAGTCTCCCTCTTGGACCCGTGCTCTAGCCAACTCGCTGTATCTGAGTACACTGGGCACAGCAGTGGGTTCTGGGGTTATGGAGGTGGACAGAGCGCAGTCTCCAATTTCAGTGATACTAGACTTCTAACAGAATGAAAACAAAAGAAATCTAAAGCCCAGGCATCACAAGAAGTATCTCATTTGGGGACTAGGCTCTAAGGGAAGGGCTTATGCCTCTGAAGGAGACCAGTGCCGGACCTGTCTCCCCCAGTTCCCAGGCTTACCAGAATGCACTTCTCTTTCAGAGTCCAGACCTCAGGCTTAACCACAGCAAGGAGTGCCAGAATCTTCTCATTCCCCGGGAGAAAGCCACACTTAGGGACTGTGAGAGAGAGGCATATGAGACCCTCCCATTCAGCAGTCACTGAGCCATTCCCCACCCCTAGGAACTCCTTCTGCTCACCTTCCTTCTTCTCTGGTTTGTCTGTTTCCATCTAAGATTAAAAAGAGGAATTGTTCTGGGAATAGACCCCAAGGGCCCAAAAGCACAAAGCAGAAGAGACATCTGTACTCCTATGTTCACTGCAGCACTATGTACAATAGCCTAAATATGGAAACAGCCCAAATGCTCACAGATGACTGGACAATGCAACTCTGGTACATGGTACATTATACACAATGAATACTATGCAGCCTTAAAAGATAAAGTCATGCAATTTGCTGAAATGTGGATGGATCTGGAGAGTATCACGTTGAGTGAAATCAATCAGAGGGAGAGGAACAGACTCAGAATGATCTCTCTCATATGTGGGATATAAAGAAATCTCGTAGGGGAATAGCAAATAGAAACAAAGAGCAGGAGGATGGGTCTTCAGTAAGAAGCTTGGCACTGGGGCAGGGGTCGGGGGATAAGTTAGGGAGGAGAACACTAGCAATGGGGGATGAAAAAAGTGCCTGCCTTAGAGGCAGACTGGGGGTAGGAGGGAAACTGGGGACATTGGCGGAAGATAGTGGGTGCTAGTGAAGGAACTGGTATCGGAACATTATATGCCTGAAACTCAATCACAGATACCTTTGTAACTTTGTAATTCATACTGATTCAATCTATCACTATCACCCCGTTGTTCATCGATTTGCTCGAGCGGTCACCAGTAATGTCTCCATTCACCCCTGTGATGTGCTAGTGTAGCCCGATGGTGATTCATAGTGATTCAATAAACATTTTTAAAAAACTGTTTTCGGCTTTTTGAGTCACACCTGGCAATGCTCAGAGTTGCTCCTGGTTCTGTACTCAGGAATTACTCCTGCAGTGCTCAGGAGACAATATGGGATCCCAGGGGTCAAACCTGGGTTAGCCGCATGCAAGGCAAATACCCTCCCTGCTATCACTCTGCCTCCCCCCCCAAAAAAACTTTTTAAATTAAAAAAAAATTTTAAAAGAGAAAGCGTTGCTTTAGGAGGACCACAAGCATTGTATAGCTAGCATGTCCATAGGCTTACAGTTTGGACCTCTACATCCTAAGCATCTCACCTCATCATCCTTAGGGGGTGGATCTGGTATGGGGATGTCCAAGGGGGCCCGGAGAGAGGTCAAGTCGGCCACGTTGAGGGAATCCGCCTGCAGAGAGTTCACTGTCAGGGACTACCCTGCTTCTTTCCCTTATCCTGGGGAGCAGCTGTCTCCTCACATCCCCACCTCTGCCTTCCTAGTCTAGGTGGAGGCATCCAATCATATAAACATTTGCAGTCCACCGCTCACAAGCGTCTACTTCATGCAAAACTGGAACTGCAGCAGGTGAGTGGAGAAAAGGGAGGCCAAGAGACTTAGCAAGGGGCAGGGAGGGGGGCACATTACTTACCTGCAAGAGCTGATTCAGGTGTATGATTTTCTGGGGCAAGAAGCTGGAGAGGAATTCCTCGGCCTGTGGGTCACATTGCAAGGGAAGCAATCACAGAAGTTCACAGCAAGATGTGGGAGAAGTGGTAGGGCCCACGGAGCTCATCAAATATATGACTTACAATAAGGAAATGGAAGCTCTGGGAAGTGTAGGGACTTGCCCCAGCTGGAAAGTGGCAGAGCCAAGGTTGGAACTGTGGTGTTCCTGCTTTGGGACCACAGCTTGCCCCTCAACACCAAAAAAGGAGCAAGAAAATGGCAGAAGTGGGGAGAGTTTCAGTGGGGGTGGGGGAGGGTGTCAAATTTGAGAGGAATGATCAGGAGCTTATCTTGGGCGAAGGCTTGATAAATGAAGTGGGGCCAAAGTCCAGTGTGAATTTGGGGTCACTGGGGGGGTCATTGGAAGGGTGCAACTCTCATGCCCAGGTTTAGATTGTGAGTCAAACCGGCTCAATCAAGAGACTTACCTCCTGGAAAAGACTTTGCCTGAAGACATCCACCTGCACAGAAAGTACCCGGATATTCGTTAGGGGTCTCAATGGCCGAGAGTATGATCCACGCCTCCCCCACCCCCAGTGGGAACCCTCCAACTTGGCTCACAGGTCGGATACCCCTGGAAGCCCAACACGGTGGTGGGCTGGGGCTGGCCAGGAGGCAAGGGAATCCGCGATCCTCCGGGCAGTGAAGAACCAGGGGGTCGGGGAGTTCCCTGGCACGGCCTTGGTCCCCTGGAGCATCCAGCGTGGTCTCCACCCAGGAGGGCTCCCCGACCCTCCCGCGCCCATGCCCCCCGCCCCGTTACCTGCTTGCGGGCTTCCCCGCTCAGGCGTACCCCACCCGGCTTGGCCATGCTGCTGCCGAGCTGCTTCTCTCTCTACCTCTCGGCTCTGAGCTCTTGCGCCGCCTGCGCTTTCGCTTTCACTCCCCGCGCCCGGGCCCGCCCCCCTCAACCCCGCCCCCTTGCTTCAGCCCGGCTCCTGGCCGGCCGCCCGCGCTAGGTAGCCCCTCAGCCATTCTTCTACGGTGCCGCCCGCGTCCTCGGCCTCCGGGCTGTCCGAGGGAGGGGCTTGGGCCGGCACCCTCGGAGCGCAGGGAAGGGGGCTGGCTGTCCCTCGGCGTGGGCGGGGCTCCGGGGAGGGGCGAGGGATGCGCTGCGGGAGGAGTCCCGGGTTGCAGCGGCGAGAGCTGTGTTGGAAACGGGTTTGTCCAGGGGTGGCATTCCCCTGCCAGACCCGAGTGCGGGGAAGGGGCGGAGGAGGGGCCAGTTCAGGGGGGAGATGGGCCGGAGCGGTCGTGCAGAGGGTCAGGTGCCTGCCTTGCACGCCGCCGACCGGGCTCGATCCCCCGCATCCCGAAATACGGTGCCCCGCAGCAAGCCAGGAGTGATCCCTGAGCGCAGAGCCCAGGAGTAAAAGCCCTGAGGCCCCCGCACCCCCCATCCCCGCCGGATGTGGTCCAGGAGGAGTAGGTGGAGGCAGGCCCTGGGGCTAGAGGACTGAGCATGATGATGTGCAAGGGAGCCGGCGTGGGGCTCCCCCCAGACCTGACTTCAAGGCCTACGAGAAAGGGCGGGACTCGCTTGAGCAGGCAAAGGCCATCAGCATCTTGTCCCCCGCAGAACGGAACTTCCCCCGTAGGAGGGAACTTCCCCGCTGGGATGTCAGCGCGGGCCCGATATAGATAAAGAGGAAGGATTGGGAGGGAAAGAAGGTAACCCCGGGTCTGGGACTCTCCGGAAAGAGGCGAAATCAGTGAGAAAGGCTGGCGGAGAGGAACGCGAGCTCAGCCTTCGAGCCGAAATTCTCTGGGGGCGGGGCGAGAGGACATTCCTCATGATCATTGGATAGAAGCCCCGTTGGCCACACCCCTAACCTCAGACCCCTCCCACACCGCCCTTAGCCCCGCCCCTTCCCCTGAAAGCTGGTCGCCGTCCCGCCCTTCAGCCCAGCACTTCCTGTTCTCGGTTACCCCTGGCGTGGGGCCCGCGGCCGGAGAATGACCGTGGCCTGAGTGACCCTGGGGGTCTGCATCGGCTGAGTCCAGCCGGAGAGGCGGATACCAGGCAGGGGCGGGCAGGCCACGCGTTGCCGGGTCCGGGGGGGCCCGGCGGGGCCGGGACGGACTGCGGGAGCACGATGCCCGGGCAGGAGGAGGACAGGGCCTTCCTGGCGGCCCGCGAGCAGCTGGCGAGCGCCCTGAGGAGGGATTCCGGGCAGGCCTTCAGCCAGGAGCAGCTCCGGCCGCTGCTGGACCCGTCTGTACCGCTGGCCGCCCGCTACCTGCACCTGGACGCCGCGCGCCTGATCCGCAGCAACGCTCACGGGGAGGTGCGACCCGCCTGGACTCGGGAGGGGCGGAGGGCCCGAGACGGGGCGGGGCTCATGGGGTTTTTTTTTTCGGCTCTCTGGTTGCTCGCAGCCCCAAAACTACCTCAGCACCCTCTCCACCGCCCTGAACATCCTGGAGAAGTACGGCCGCAACCTCCTGAGCCCGCAGCGGCCGCGGTACTGGCGTGGGGTCAAGTTTAACAATCCGGTCTTCCGCAGCACGGTGGATGCGGTGCAGGTGAAGGCCCGGGGCTCCTCGGAGAAGAAGTGGACACGAGCTGGGCTGCGGGTGGGCTGGGAAGGGCCGAAGGCATAACTGAGTGGGATGGGGTGTGTCCCCTACCCCCGGCCTTGGGAGGGGATCTGCCCACTGCTGACAGGTTGTGCATGTGTGGCAGGGGGGCCGGGATGTTCTGCGACTCTATGGCTACACCGAGGAGCAGCTAGACGGCCTGAGCTTCCCGGAGGAACAGAAGGAGCCCAATGAGCACCGAGTGGCCGCAGTTACTCTGGAAGTGCTGCTGCTCAGAACCGAGCTCAGCCTGCTGCTACAGGTGAGCTGTCTCCAGTCCTGAGGTCCTCAGGACCCTCCAGTGGGGCCGGAGAGATAAGACCGAGGACGGGGCACTTGCTTTGTTCCATCTCCAGCACCAGCCTCTGCCAGGAATGATCCCTGAGAGGCAGAGCTGGGTATCCAAAACCAAAACCAAAACAAATGAGGAATGTGGAGCCCAGTCTAACTCCAAAGCCAGTTTGGCTTGCTAGAAAAACAGTATAACAGGTAATGCTTTTGCCTTGTACATCCGGTGTTCCACTCACAGAACCACATATGATCTCCCAAGGACAGCCAGGTGAGTCCCCGAAACCAAAATACAGAAGGACTGGAGAGAGAGTGTTTCCCTTGCTTGCAGCTGACCAGGGTTCAATATCTAGTACTCCCTATGATCTCCCCAAGCCCTGCCAGTAAGCCCTGAGTGTCATCCAAACACAAAATAAAAACAGAGCAAGTTTGGGTTCCCCTACTCTGTCCCTGAATCATGGGCAAAGCCCCTTAGTCACTATGGAACTTCTCATCCAATTTTCTCTGTAAGCATTCTGTTAGGGGAGCAAGGCTTGTGGTGCTCAGGGGACTATATGGGATGCCAGGGATTGAATCCGGGTCGGCCACATGCAAGGCATATGCCCTACCTGCAGTGCTGCCACTCAGGCCCCAAGAAGGTAGTGTTCTAAGGCTCAATGGGAATTTTCATCTTGTTGACAGGATGCTAAGCTAAGACAGCAAGTACTGGAGCAGCTGCTGAAAGACAACACTGAAGACGATGTAAGAAAGGCAGAAAAGGGGAACTGGGGAGCAAAGGGGACTGGAATGGGGTCTCTGTCCCCACACCCGTGCCCATGCACTGCCCTTCCCCCCCGCAGGTACTACAGCTCTCAGAGTTTGCACCACTGCTGAAAGAGATGGCACCTGGTGCCCTCTCTGGCCCCGCTGTCCCAGGTAAGCCTGGCCCAGTGCTGGCTGGACAGTGGCAGTTGACCAAACCGGTAAAGAGCTGGTGCCCTCTTCTGGCTGTCTTCTTGGTTATCAATCTTTCTCTTTTCCTTGGTGTTGAGCATCGAGCCCAGGGCCTCACATCCACTCGAAACCTGTGCTTTACCACTGAACTCTTACCTTTATTAACAGATTGAAATTGTCTCCTGGGATCCAATGTTGAACAGTATTCTGTGATTTTGTCTCCTTCCACAACAGATTCGAATGTAAGATGTTCTTTTTTCTCTTCTCTAAGGCCCCACTCCTGGCCCCTGCTTCCTCTGCGGTTCTGCCCCAGGCACACTGTACTGCTCAGCCTGTAAACACACCCTGTGCCCAGCTTGTGATCGCCTCTTCCATGGCCACCCGTCCCGTGCCCTCCACCACCGCCAGACCCTGCATGGGCCCCCCCAGCTGACTCCCAAGTAAGAGGCCTTTTCTTCTAAGTTCAAGTGAAATTGAGACAACATTCAACAGCTTAAGAATCCACTCTGGGGCTGGAGCAATAGCACAGCGGGTAGGGCGTTTGCCTTGCATGCTGCCAATCCCAGTTCGATTCCCAGCATCCAATGGTCCCCTGAGCACCACCAGGGGTAATTCCTGAGTGCAGAGCCAGGAGTAACCCCTGTGCATCACCAGGTGTGATCCAAAAAGAAAAAAATAAGAATCGACTCTGTGCTAGACTGTGTGCTGAAGACTGTCTCGTTGAGAACAAGCAGACAGGAGATCATATATATATATATATATATATATATATATAGCAAGCAAGTAGCTGAGTACTTGTATGGTTGGGACTGGAAAGATAGTAATGGGGTTAAGACATTTGCCTTGCATGCAGCCAACTCCAATTTGAATCCCCAAGTACTGCATAGGGTCCCTGAACACAAGAGCCATTAGATATATGTGCCAGATACTGCCCCTCCCACCAAAAAAAAAATTGTATTTTGTGCAGATCCGGAGGAGGAAGATGCAGCCTAGTCTGAAGGATCTGCTCAGTCATTGATACTGGCTTATCATATCAAGGCTACTTGCCATCAAGTTGGCAGTACCTTAAACACCAGTACTGGGTCAGGCCCTGTGTGAGGGATATCTGCCAGGAAGATAAGAACTTTACTTATTTATTTGCTTTTTGGGTCATTCCCAGACGTTGCTCAGGGGTTACTTCTGGATCTGCACTCAGGAATTACTCCTGGCAGTACTCGAGATACCATATGGGATGCCAGAGATCGAACCTGGGTCGACCACATACAAAGCAAATGCCCTACCTGCTATACTCTGGCCCAAGAACTTTTTTTTTAATTAGTTAATTTGGGGGCTACATCCAGTGATGCTCAGGGCTTACTCCTGGCTCTGCACTCAGAAATTACTACTGGTGGTACTCAGGGGACTGTATGGGTTGCTGGGGATTGAACCCAGGTTGGCCACGTGCAAGACAAGCACCCTACCCACTGTACTATTGCTCTAGCTCTGAGAGATAGGAATTTTAAAGTACCCTTCAGTGTTGAACAGGCTGGATACAGGAAGATACCAAAGAGAACATGAACAGAAAGGCCCAAATCACGTGTGTCACACAAGGAAAGAGGCATGTGTCAGGCAGCAGCCCCATTGCCTCAGCGGGACTTCCCTGTCTTGCTTATACACACATATGTTTGCGCATGTGCGCGCGCGCGCACACACACACACACACACACATTTATTTATTTATTTTGTTTTTGGGGTCATACTCAGCGATGCTCAGGGGTTACTCCTGGCACTGCACTCAGGAATTACTCCTGGCATTGTTTGGGCAAACCATATGGGATGCTGAGAATCGAACCCGGGTGGCCGCATGCAAGGCAAACGCCCTACCTACTGTTCTATTGCTCCAGCCCCCTATTTCTTTTTTTCAGGAGGGCTGATGGTCCATCTCACGTACCCATCTTGTCTGCTTTTCCATGACAGTTTACCAGCCTCCGCTCCATCTCAGCCTCAGCTGACGTCCCTGCCGGCCCTGGGAAATGGTTCTGTTTCTTCCCCTGATCCTGCAAGCACACGTCTGCCATGGCAGTGTGCCGCCTGCACAATGATAAATGGACCCCGGGCAGTGCTCTGTGCGGCCTGTAACCGGCCCAGAGCCTGTAAGGGGTTGGGCTCAGGGACTGACGGGTCCCAAGTTGCTGGGGGTCAGGAACCTGAGCTGGCCCGGGGTAACTGGGCCTGCCAGAGCTGCACCTTCGAGAATGAGGCGGCCGCTGTCCTGTGTGCCGTCTGCGAGCGACCTCGACTGGCTCAGCCTCCTAGCTTGGTGGCAGACACCCCAGACGCTGACATTCGCCTACAGCCCCTTCAGGTAACCTGTTCCTGACTGTCCCAGCTCTTTGCCTGCTCCTGTTGCCTCTGCTTTCTCTCCCCCTATTGGCCTTCAGTTCCCTGGAGCTCCCCTTAAACGTCCTCTCATTGCCTCAGAGTCCCGGCCCCCTTTTCACGGGGTCATTTTTTCTGCCTTTCTAGCAGGGGAATACGTTGCTCTCCTCTGCCCAGACTCATTTCTGGTACTGCAGTCACTGTACCTTCTGCAACTCGGGCCCTGGCTGGGTGTGTGCGGCGTGCTACCGGACCAGCGACCCCATCCCAGTCCAGCACGCCCCCCGGCCCCATGCCAGATCTTTGGACGAGGGCCTCCATGAGCCAGGACTTCCACGACGCCTCAGTGCCCCCCTGCCCAGTTCTGGTGGGGACTCTGAGAAACAGCGCCAGGACAAGATGCGGGAGGAAGGTCGCCAGCTTGTGATGAAGATCCGGGTGAGGATGGGGCCCTAGGTGAGGTGGGACCGGTGGGCGAAGGGAGAAGCTGCCAGAGATTAATATAAGTTCTTGGCAAACTTAACGCTATTGGGTGTGCTCGCTCACTCGCTCTCTGGGAACAGTTCCCAAGTGGCAGGTGTCCTGCTGTGACTGCGTGGGGCCCAAACGCAGCGTGAATGGCCTGGCTGGTGACACTGTGTCCCGGTTGGACTGTGCCTTAGGAAGGGGAAGCTGCAGGTGCCTGCCCAGAGGAAGTCTTCTCGGCCCTGCAGTACTCCGGGACCGAGGTGCCCTTGCAGTGGCTGCGCTCAGAGCTGCCCTACGTGCTGGAGATGGTGGCCGAGCTGGCTGCGCAGCAGGACCCGGGGCTGGGAGCCTTTTCCTGTCAGGAAGCCCGGAAGGCCTGGCTGGATCGGCACGGCAATCTCGACGAAGCTGTGGAGGAGTGTGTGAGGGCTCGGCGCAGAAAGGTACCCACTGTGCTGGGGCGGGGTGGAGGGCTGCAGGGCTTGGCCGTACCGGCTCTCCTTTCCTTACCTGTCACCTGTCACTCCTCCCGACCCTCCCCTGCAGGTGAAGGAGCTGCAGGCCCTGGGCTTTGGGCCTGAGGAGGGCTCTCTGCAGGCATTATTCCAGCACGGAGGCGATGTGGCCCGCGCCCTGACGGAGCTGCAGCGCCAGCGCCTAGAGCCCTTCCACCAGCGCCTCTGGGATAGTGGCCCTGAGCCCACCCCCTCGTGGGATGGGCCTGATAAGCAGGTGCTGGGAGGGCCGAATGACCACCTGAAGGGGCAGAGGACAGCCCGGGAGGCTTCGGGGCTGGATCCCGCGGGGTCTGATGACTGCTGCTTTGCCTCCCCTCTTGAACCACATGCAGAGCCTTGTCAGGCGGCTCCTGGCGGTCCATGCCCTCCCCAGCTGGGGCCGGGCAGAGCTGGCGCTGTCACTACTGCAAGAGACACCCAGGAACTATGAGCTGGGGGATGTGGTGGAGGCCGTGAGACACAGCCAGGACCGGGCCTTTCTGCGCCGCTTGCTTGCCCAGGAGTGTGCTGTGTGTGGCTGGACCCTGCCCCGCAACCGGGTGAGCTCACCGGGAGGCCTGCTTTAGGGTGACTGTTCTCTTTGCACTGCACCCCAACCCTGCCCACTCCACCCACCTCTGCTCTCTTTTGCTCTGTAGTTGTCCATGTGCTCCCAAAGGGATCTGAAAGCAAAGACAGATTGACAACCCCCGCCCCAACTTCTTTAAAGTTCTGTTATGTGGACAGGGACCCTCTGCTCAGTGGAGAGCACTGAGGCCTTGGATATGTGATGCCCTGGGTTTGATCCCTGATAGCTGTATAGTTGTGTTGTGGTAGAGGGTGTGTGTGTGTGTGTGTGTGTGTGTGTGTGTGTGTGTGTGTGTGTGTGTGTTCTATTATGGAAAAATTCCAATATCTGTGACAGACTTTCTCCTTCACCCTCTCCACATTATTTATTCACCACCAATCTCCAATGTTGGGAGGGGTGGATTTGGGGGCCACAACTTTGCTAGAGGGCTTCTCCCTGAGGGGACCGTGAAGTACCAGGGATTGAACATAGGCCTCCTACATGCAGGGTATGTGCTCCAGCTCTTCATGCTATCCCCTGGCCTGACCATGACTCTCTAATGTTCTAATCAGATATCCAGCTGTTAGGAATGAGCCCCTTTTGTTTCTATTTTTTTTTTTATCTTTTCCCCTTTTTGGGTCACACCTGACAATGCACAGGGGTTACTCCTGGCTCTGCACTCAGGAATTACTCCTGGCGGTGCTTCCCCGAGGACCATATGGGATGCGGGGGTCGAACCCGGGTTGGCTCTGTGCAATGCAAATGCTTTCCCACTGTACTATCACTCCAGCCCCGAGTCCCTTTTGTTTGTGTTACCTTTCACACTTGGCCAGATGTGGCAGCTCTTTAGCCAAATACTGTCCAGTTTACTCAGACTGGTTCTATATACTTTTTGGTTTTATACTTTTTATTTTAATTCTTTTGTTATTCTTTTGTTTTAGCCACAGCTGGTAATTACTCGGGTTATTTCTAGTTTGGCGTTCAGGGCTCATTCCTGGCAGTGCTTGAGGGAACAGATGTTGGCTGAAGAGTTAGGACAGTGGGTAGGCCACTCCTTACTCGTGGTCGTCCTGGTTCGATCCCTGATATCCTATATGGTTCCCTGAGTCTTCCAGGAATAATTCCTGAGCACAGAGCCAGGAGTAAGTCTCGAGCACTGCCAGGAGTTGTCCAAACAAAACAAAAGTATGCAAAATGTGGGGCCAGAGAGATAGTGCAGTGGTAGGGCATTTTGTCTTGCACACAGCTGACCTGGGTTTGATTTGTGGCATCCCTGAGTCCCACCAAGAGTTATTCCTGCGTGCAGAGCTAGGAATAACCCCTGAGCATTATCAGGTGTGCCCCCCCCAAAAAAATAGAAGTACGCAAAGCGTACACTGCATCCCAAACTATCTTTCTGGCTGTCCCTTTTTAGAAATTGTTCGAGCCGGGGCCGGAGTGATAGCACAGCGGGTAGGGCGTTTGTCTTGCATGCGGCCGACTGGGTTCGATCCCCAGCATCCCATATGGTCCCCCAAGTATTGCCAGGAGTAATTCCTGAGTGCAGAGCCAGGAGTGAGCCCTGAGCTTCGCTGGGTGTGACCCAAAAAAGGAAAAAAAAAAATTGTTGGAGCCATTCTCAGAAGCTATTCTTGGATGTCATTCCTGGTGGTGATCAGGAGACAATGCAGTGCTAGGGACCAAATATGACCTGCGTGCAAAGTATGTGCTCTAGGAAACAGAGAGAAAATAAAGTGAGTAGGGCATTTGCCTTGCACATGACTTACCTGGATTCAGTCCTCAGCACCCATATGATCCCTCAAATCCTGCCAGGAGTAATTCCTGAGTGTAGGATAACATTGTTTTGTCCTTCCTCGGGTAGCTTATGTTTATCGGGTCACACCCATTCCAGGGCACTGAACTTGTTTATAAGTTAATATTGCCTTTCTCCTTTCCTTATGTCTTTTGAATAGTTTACCTTAAAGCAATGTCCTTTCTGTATGGACACAGGAAGACAGTTAATATCATGCTTTGTAACTTGGGAGTTGATTGACTCCAAATAATATTTACTCCTGGGCATCTGCTTTCTTGATTCAGTTGCCCTTAATTCCTAGCACCCCAAAGGCAGGGTCCCAACGAGGGACTGAATGGATCCAGGGCAAGCTGTGAGCTACCCTGGCATGAAAATGGGCCAGGCCAAAGCACCACGATACTCAACTATAAGTTGAGGGCATGCTCATGGACAAATGCTGGCATGATCCAAAAGCAGTAACGACGAGACTAGGATCCTGCTGGGGCTAGGAAGACTAACCTGGCCTGAAGGACTGTGGAATATATAGTGAGATGTCCTCAGAACCAAACTGTGAATTTATGTCCCTTACCATGCTCATACAGAATGACTTTGCTAGAAATATTAGAAATAGATTTATCACAACTATTTAAGTAGATTACTAACTGAGGGAAGAACACACCCTTGTTGGGATCCCACCCTTGAACGGATGTCCTAGTAATCTGGAGTAATCTCTTTAGATGAGGTTGTTTTTCTTTTTTTTTTTTTTTTTTTTGCTTTTTTGGGTCACACCCGGCGATGCACAGGGGTTACTCCTGTCTCTGCACTCAGGAGTTACTCCTGGCGGTGCTCAGGGGACCACATGGGATGCTGAGAATTGAATCCGGGCTAATGCCCTACCTGCTCTCTAGTCCCTCTTACATGAGATTTTATCCTTGAGTTAATCTCCTGGAGGAGTGGTCTTACCTCTCTTTGTTGATTTGCTAATGTTCAACCCACCTTTATGTCACCGCCTTATGTGATTGTGATTGCTATATAAACTAAGACTGTAGGCTTGGGCCAGAGAGAGATCCAGAGTCAGAGCGAGAGGGGCTCAAGCTTGAGAGAGAGAGAACAGCCGTCCTGATCCAGGCCACACACAGGGCTCAAGAGCACCAAACACGGGTGATGAGACAGCCATCCAGAGAGCCCACACAACCTTCAGCGTGCTAAGATTTTACACCTGAGGACACAGCCAGGAGTAAATCCTGAACACCCCTGGGTATGACCCCTGCCGCCCCCCCCCTCCCCCCCCCCCCCCACACACACACACATTCACAGCCAAAAAAAAAAAGTTATGAAAATATCAGAGTCCTGTGTGTATCTCACATGCCTTCATCTGGGCTGGAGAGATAGATAGCTCAGTGGGTTAAGTACATGCTTTGCATGCAGAAGACCCAGGTTCAATTCCCAGAACCACCTGGTCACCTGAGCACTACTGGGGACCACACACAGAGCCTTATGTGCACCAACAGTCAAACCATTGCAAGCAAAACAAAAGAAGACACAGGGCCAGAGAGATAGTACAAGTGGGTAGGGCGTTTGCGCTCACGCAGCAGACCCAAGTTTGATCCCCGGGCACACCATGTGGTCCCCTGAGCACCTCTAGTTGTGGCTCAAAAACCAAAAAAACAAAACAAAACAAGGCAACTACCACAAAACACATATTCTCACCCAATGGTAACACCTTATATAATTACAGGCAGTGTCCAGATTGAGTCACAGACATTGGTACAATGTTAGTGAAACTGCAGAGTTGTGCCGTTCACATGTGGGGGTGTATGTATGATTCCGTGCAGTTTCATCCCAGGTGTGGATTCTGTGTTACCACATCCAGATGTCTCATACTCAGCATGGAACCTTAAGTGCTCCCTCCTTATCATCACCACTTCCCCTCATCCCACTCCTGTAACCATTGTTCTGTTCTCCATCTCTGGAGCTTTTGTTTGTTTTTTGGGTCACACCGGGCAGTGCTCAGGGCTCATTCCTGTCTCTATGCTCAGGGATCATGCCTGATGAGACTGGGGGACCGTTTGGGCTGCCAAGTCTGAAGTCAGGTCAGCCACATGCAAGGCAGATGCCCTACCTGCTGTACTATGTTTCCAGCTCGTGTCTCTGGAGTTTTTTTTATTTGTGGGGGCTTTGAACTGAATCTGCACTCACAAAATTCTTTTTCTTCTCCTCCCTCTTAGATTACCAGTAAGACTGCTGCGCATGTATTTGATTGTTAGCAATTTGCTGGGTAGGAATATATTAGAGACCTATGAAAATTTTAGGATGTCATTCACAGAATTTCTAATCTTGGATATAATTTTTTGAGGGGGATGTTGGGCTATATCCAGTAGTGCTTGGAGGCGGGTGGGGGGTGTCTAGCTGTTCTGGCTCTTTATTTGGAGTCACTCCCAGCAGTGACCAGGGAACCATGTGTGCTGGGGGTTGAACTGGTGTTGCTGTAACCGCTGTACTATCTCTTCAATGCTGAATATCGTGGTATTATTTAAATGAAGGAGTAAAGTGCAGATACTGTCAGGGGTTTTAGATCTCACAGTGTTGTCATATTTCTCCACCTGTTGTCAAATATTTACATTGCCTGCCTGACTTGTTGGCATTTATTTATTTATTTTTAGGTTTTTGGGGGTCACACCCGATGATTTTCTTTTTTTTTTTTTTTTGCTTTTTGGGTCACACCTGGCGATGCACAGGGGTTACTCCTCGCTCTGCACTCAGGAATCATTCCTGGCGGTGCTCAGGGGACCTTATGGGATGCTGGGAATCGAACCTGGGTTGGCCGCGTGCAAAGCAAACGCCCTACCTGCTGTGCTATCTCTCCAGCCCCACACCTGATGATTTTCAAGGGTTCTTCTTGACTCTGTGCTCAGGAATCACTCTTGACAAGCTCGAGAGACCATGTGGGATGCTGGGGATCTAACTGGGGTTGAATATGTACAAGGCAAATACCTTTACCCTCTTTACTATCACTCCGGCCCCCAACATTATTTATTATTTTTTCATTTAATGTTTGGTTTTGGGGCCACACCTGGTGGTGCTGGGAGCTTATTCCTGGCTTTGTGCTCAGGGTTCACTCCTGGCAGTTCTTGGGGGACCGTTATGGGATATGAGGGATCAAACCTGGGTTGGATGAATGCAAGGCAAATGCCCTGTCCACTGTACTCCCACTCTGGCCCAGTAAGGTCACTGTTGTCAATGAAACCTTGGTTTCCCAGTGGACACCTCTGCTCTTGCCCTTACCTGGCGGGCAGCTGTGACCGCTCACCCCTCCTATGGCCTGGCCCCCTAGATGCAGGCCCTGACTTCCTGTGAGTGCACCATCTGCCCTGACTGCTTTCGCCAGCACTTTACCATCGCCTTGAAGGAGAAGCACATCACAGACATGGTGTGCCCCGCCTGTGGCCGTCCCGACCTCACCGATGACACACAGTTGCTCAGCTACTTCTCCACCCTGGACATTCAGGTACTGCAGTCTCTAAGAACTCGGGGTGCCCTGGGCTTTGCATAGGAGCCCCCGCCCACCCACCGCTTCTGGCCCATCCTCAGCTTCGGGACAGTCTCGAGCCAGACGCGTATGCACTGTTCCACAAGAAGCTGACCGAGGGAGTGCTCATGCGGGACCCCAAGTTCTTGTGGTGTGCCCAGGTCAGTGGCCTGCCTAGGGGAGCTGGCTGGAAGGGTGAGGTGGTGCCTGGGTAGGCCTCTAACAGCTTGTGTCTTTGCCCATCCCCCCCACCCCCAGTGCTCTTTTGGCTTCATATACGAGCGGGAGCAGCTGGAGGCTACGTGTCCCCAGTGTCGCCAGACCTTCTGTGTGCGCTGTAAACGCCAGGTGAGCCCAGTCCGAAGTGCTGGCTGAGCTGCCGTGCTAGCCAGAGAACAGAACAGATGAGCACCCCAGGGTCCAGGAGCAGTCAGGGAAACAGACCTAGGAGGGCAAGGGGAGAGGTGGGGAGAGGGCGGAGGGAGGGAGGACACAGGCGTAGGTGCTGAGCCCAAGCAGGGAGATGAGGAGTCAGGGAATGTGCCTGCTTAGGCAAGACCAGGCAGCTGTTCTCTAAAACGGTTTAATTTAAACTCAGGCCTGAAAGTTAACAAGGAGCAGCTTTGCAAAGAGTATTCAGGATAGAAAGAGCAGCAGATGGAAAGACCAAAGTCAGAAGTATGGCGTGGCGAGAGTGCAGGCGGTCGGAGGAACTAGCAGCCAGGTCGGGAGAGGCCTGGGGCCAAGTGAGGAAGGTATTTGCCTTTTATCCTAACAGCGAAGCCAAGCCACGGGTGATGGCACGATCTCACCTGCCCCTGGCAATGCTTCCTAAGGCTCGGGCTGTAGCTCCGTGGTAGCGTGCCCCCACCCCCTGCATGTGTGCAGCCCTGGGTATCATCCCCTGCTTACGATCCATCATATTAGTCCGATACCCCGAAGTCGCATCTGCACTAGAAAACACAATAATACAGAGACCAGAAGTTGGTACCCTACTGCCAAACCGCAAAACTAGAACACTCCTGGAGCTGCCTCATTTAGGCTTTCTATGTTTGTTTCTGTTTGTTCGTTTTTGTTTTGGGGGCCGCACTCAGTGATGCTCAGGGCTTACTCCTGGCTCTGCATTCAGGGATCACTCTGGTGGGCTCTGGGGACCATATGGGATGCCAGGGATGTCAGCTATGTGCAAGGCAAACACCCTATCTGATGTACTGTCTCTCTGGCCCCCTCTGGTTTTGTTTTGGGGCTGTGCCCGGTGGTGCTTGGGAACTGCTCCCCAGTATACTCTAGGATGTTCAGGGGACCACTTGGTGCTAGGGATGGAAGCAGGATGCATGCAAAGCCTGTGCTCTGCCCACTGAGCCATCTCCCTGGCCCCAACTTGCACTTTCGAAGGCCGTTTATCAGCAAGGCCCAGAATAGCCATATGGGGCAGGGAGTGGAGGCAGAGGCACAGCAGCCATGACTCGGGGTGAGAGGGATGGTCATAGTTGGGGTGAAAGGAAGAAAACAGCACAAAGCGAGGCTTTGTGGGGGCAAAACCCAAGACTTGCTGGCGAACATCTGAAACGAGGACATGACAGGACCAAGACTGGCCTCCCAGTTTGGAAATGCATAAATAGTGTCTGGTCATGACATGAGCCATGAGCCCCGGGTAGGAGTGGAGGGGCTAGCAAGGAGGGCCCGGGCGGGGACTCCCTCGCGAAACCTTGCTTCCTCCGGCCAGTGGGAAGAGCAACACCGGGGCCGGAGCTGCGAGGACTTTCAGAACTGGAAACGCAACAACGACCCGGAGTACCAGGCCCAGGGGCTGGCGATGTATCTTCAGGAAAATGGCATCGGTAAGGCTGTCCCTGGAGGCCTGTTGGCCCCCGAGGCCAGCACCGCCAGCAGCCAGGGGTGCTCCGGTGCTCTCCCCTGAAGCCTAGAGGAGGAGCAGCATGGCCTGGCCCTGACCCGCTTGTCCCCCACAGACTGTCCCAAGTGCAAGTTCTCGTATGCACTGGCCCGAGGAGGCTGCATGCATTTCCACTGCACCCAGTGCCGCTACCAGTTCTGCAGTGGCTGCTACAATGCCTTTTACGCCAAGAACGTGAGCCCGGAAGTGGGGATGGGAGGAGGGGGGAGTGCCCCTTTCTCCCGTGGGAGGGGACCGCCCAGTGGAAGAGGACGGGGGCCATCGCTGTGAAGCACCTCCATCTCCTCTCCCTCTCTGCTTGCTCCAAACTCCCACCCCTCAATGTACCCCTCCCACAGGGGTGCCCAAGAGGGAGGCCAGGGCTCCCCCCTCGACACAGTCTCCAACTCCCCTCTCCCCCACTGGGTCCCGCCAGAAATGCCCAGACCCGAGCTGCAGGGTTAAGAAGTCCCTGCACGGCCACCACCCCCGAGACTGCCTCTTCTACTTGCGCGACTGGACGGCTCTCCGGCTCCAGAAGCTGCTACAGGTGTGGGGGAGGGAGGCGGGGGCAGCCCCACTAACTGTGTGGCAGGTTGCCCAGGTGGGGGGCCAGGGCCAGCGTGGCCAGAAGGGAGGGGCTGTGCATGGAGCCATGGGGAGACACAGGGTCTGATTTCTCGGGGTGCCTGACGCCTCTCTCTCTCTCTCCTTTCCTCCTTCTGTCTCTCTGTCAATCTCTGTCCCTGTCCCTGTCTCTGTCTGTCTGTCTGTCTGTCTCTCTCGCAGGACAACGATGTCTTATTCAACACAGAACCCCCCGCTGGTGCCCGGGCTGTCCCTGGAGGTGAGTGAAGGAGAAGGGGAGGCTGGGGGTCAGATCACGGCTCAGGCCCATCCTATGCTTACTTGTGTGTGTGTGTGTGTTGCTTAGTGGGGGAGTCACCCTGGGCCTTGTTTTTCACTTTGATCAGTGGGGGCCGGCCAGGGGTCGAGCTCAGCGGGACAGCACTGGCCTGGCATGTGGTTGTCCCTGGCCTTGATCCCTAGCACCACACACACAAAATAAAATAAAACAGGGCAATGTCCACTTTGCTGCTAGCTATTTTTTTATGTTTTTGTTTTGGGACCACGACCTGGTGCCCAGGACTTACTCCTGGCTCTGCACTCAGGGATCACTCCTGGTGGGTGTGGGGGACTGAACCCAGGTCGGTTGCAAGCAAGGCAAGTGCCCTGCCCACTATTCTATGTCTCTGGTCCCGCAGCTAGTATTTTACATAGGGCCCCAACAAGGCCCCACCACCTCCCTACTGATTTCTTTCTCTCAACTCCACATGACTCATTAGTGAACTTGGCGAGCGTTTAACAAGGCTGCTAGTGCACTTTTGGTTTCCAGGAGGGCAACAGAAAGGCGTTATATACATATGAACCCTGTCTCTCCCATGTCTTACCATTTAGGTCAGAGGTTCCCATACGGCCATTTAAAGCAAAACAAAACAAAGCAAAAAACTCAGCACCGGGCAATAGCACAGCGGGTAGGGCATTTGCTTTGCATGTGGCTAACCTCAGGTTCGATTCCCAGCATCCCATATGGTCCCCTGAGCACCGCCAGGGGTAATTCCTGAGTGCAGAGCCAGGAATAACCCCTGTGCATCGCCGGGTGTGAACCAAAAAGAAAAAAAAAAAACAGCACCCACCATAAATCTACCTTCTTAAAGCACATGAGCAGATTGCGTCCCCTAACTGCACCCGAGGTTACTACCACCCCCTAGATTGTTTAGTGCTCCAGCAAGAGGGCAGGCAGTATTGCCCACTTAGAGAAGCTGAGTTTCAGATCAACAAACCTTCACAGAACGGCCAGAGCTAGATCCCAACCCTGAGTGCTGTCTCCTAGGGCCCGTGGAGGGACTCAGCAGGTTGTAGTCTGAGTACATGCTCTGCATGCAAGAGGCCTGGGGTCGATCCCCAGCACCGCATGATCCTCCCAGCACCACCAGGAGTGATCCTCCAGCACTGAGCCAGGAGGGTGTGACCGAAAGGCCAGAACAATAAAAACAGATTTAAAAAAGCAAGAGAGGATGTGATTCTGGCTCCACCGGCAGCCTAAGTAAAAATTGGCCCAGCCAGATCTCTGCCTCTGCCGGGCCAGGTATTTGAGCCCGCAGGGTCTCCTATCCTCAGGTCTCACCCGGATTCTGTGTGTACCTCCTGACGGGATTTCCTGGGTTCTGTGCTCTGGGGCCGTCTCCAACTAGGGCTCCCTTCCTTCCCCCTTAGGTGGCTGCCGAGTGATGGAGCAGAAAGAGGTTCCCAACGGGTTCCGGGATGAAGCTTGTGGCAAGGAGACTCCAGCTGGCCATGCTGGCCTCTGCCAGTGAGTGCCAGGCAGGACACGTGGGGCCCAGTGTTGGGGAGGAGTGGAGGGATGGAGTGGGTAAGCTGGGCAGTTGCGGATCTCGGATCTCAGCGAGTAGGAATGGGGAGTGGGGGCGGGGTCCTCTGGACAAGGGCTCTGAGTCATCGCAGGCCCCATGGACAGGCTGGGAGGCCCATGGGTGCAGGAGGCCAGGCGAGGGGTGTCACTGTGGCTTTCTGGAGCGTGTGGTGCTTGGCCCGGTGCTGGGAGCACATGTTCCCTCTCAGCCTCACAGAAGGGGTGTTGCATGCTCTCCTTTGCCCAGGGCACACTACAAGGAGTACCTTGTGAGCCTCATCAATGCCCACTCCCTGGACCCAGCCACCCTCTATGAGGTGGAGGAGCTGGAGACGGCCGTGGAGCGCTACCTGCACGCGCGCCCCCAGCCACTGCCCGGCGAGGATGCCCCCAACTACCACGCCCGCTTGTTACAGGTGAGGGCCCTCCCCTCCCCCACCCCCAGCTGTACCTGGGACCCCACATCCCAGGTCTCTCCTGTCTGCTTTTGAACTCCAGGCTTCCAGTCTCATCTTCTTTCTGTCTCCTCTGCAGAAGCTGAAAGAAGAAGTACCCCTGGGACAGAGTATCCCCCGCCGGAGGAAGTAGTCGAGGGAAGGGGCTGCTGGTCCCAGGCCCGGCTCTGCAGGACTCACTTGCACACCAATAAAGAGGCCTCTCCTTGCCCACGCTTCTCGGTGGTCCTTCTTCCTAATCCCACCGTGGAGGGTTGCGGGGGCGGGCATCGGGGAAAGAGGGGTGAACAGAACTGTGCCCAAAAGACCTCCACAGCCCACCGCCTGACCTTCCTTAGGCTCCGGCCCCGGCAGGAACCGGCCTCCAGGGAGGGCCCTAGAGAAATCTGCCCCCTGCCTGGGCATCCCGCCCTGCCCTGGGCCTTCCTCCTCTCCTCCGAGTCCGCGAGTATCGGCGGCCCCTGCTAGGTACGACGAGCAGGCCCTGGTGGGCAGCACCGGTGCCTCCCGGGGCAAGCGGCAGCCGGATGCCGGATGCCGGAGGCGCTGTTCTGAGCTCAGAGAGGGAGGGACCCGGACGCCCGGGAGCTGCTGCCCCCTGCCGGCCGCCGGCCGCCCTGCGGCTCGGACCACGTGATTTCTGGGAAAGGCCCTCCCGGGAGCAGAACTGAAACTTCCGAAGCTTGATGCAGGAGCCTGGGGGCGGAGCGTCGGGGAGTGCCCAGGGCGAGCGAAGCCCAGGGCAGTGTCGTCGGCCTTGGGACAGCCTGCCCCAGCGCGGCTCAGGTAAGAGGTGTCCAAGCTGCGTGTCAGCCGGACCGAGGGGAATGCGGGGGGGGGGGGGGGTTCCCGGGGATCCCTTTGCCAAGCTAGCTGAGCCTGGGGAGGGACCGGCCAGGGCCCCGGCCCAGGACAAGAAGGCGGCTGCACTTTCACCCCTCTGCAAAAGACCCTGTTTGTTTTCTGGTTTCGGTGGACCTGCCCACTTGTGCAGATCCGCCTCTGCCACACCTACCTACCCACGGGCCTGGCGAGGGGGGAGGGAGGTCAAAGGGCAGGTTGTGTGTATGTATGTGTGTGTATGTGTGTGTGTGTGTGTGTGTGAAGGGGGTTAACCAGGCACCTGCGGAGCAGACACGCCACCCACCGTCTCTGCAGACAGACCCTTGCCACTCGACGGGTCTTTGCCAGGAATGGACCTACAGGGGAAGCCTCTTTTTGATGGCCCATGGGTGAAAAGGTTCAGCCTTTTATTTATTTCCCAATCCCCTACTCCCATTGTGTACTGCTGGGAATAATGATACCGAGGGTCTCACACCTGCAGGGAAGCCAGCTCTGCCGCTAAACCCCCTCCCCTCTACCCCCAGATTCCTGTAAAGTTTCCCTCCTAGGACTAAAACCTGCAGGTTCCTGCCCGGTTGGGTTTGAACCCCCCAAACTGTGGGCCATCATCAAGGAATGTCTTGTAATGTCATGGCTGGCGATGGGCAGAGGGAGCCCTGCCGCTGCCACCGCAGACAATTCCGAGAGGGTCTAGAGGCCAAAGATGGAGGGCAGCTCCAGGGACCCTTGCCAGTATCTGAGACCCATAGCCAGGGCCTCCCTCAGCCAGTTCCGTCCTGCTTATGCTGCTGCTCTTTCCCCCAGGATGCCTTCCGCCCGGGGGCGGGGACGGGGCCGCAGCACCCGAAAGCTCCGCAACTGGGTGGTGGAGCAGGTGGAGAGCGGGAAGTTCCCAGGGGTGTGCTGGGAAGATGCAGAGAAGACCATGTTCCGGATCCCCTGGAAGCATGCGGGGAAGCAGGACTTCCGGGAAGACCAGGATGCCGCCTTCTTCAAGGTGAGAGGATTTGGAGAGTGCAGAGTGAGGGGTGGCTGTCCACGGGCTCCCTGTCCTCAAGGGGTTTGGATGAAGGGGAGGGAGATTAGGGTCTGAGGAGAGACAGCTCTGAGCCAAGCAGACGCATGCAGGAGCCTACCTGGGTTCCATCTCCAACGCGATGGTGGTCCCCCAGCACCAAGCTGGGTGTGGCCCCCAAACGTGGAAAACAAAAGAGGAGCCAGAGTTGGCCAGAGAGATAGTACAGTGGGTAAGACACTCACCTTGCATGCAGCTGACCCAGATTTGAACCTGACACCACTTATGGTCCCCTGAGCCCTGCCCACAGTGACCCCTGAGTGTAGAGCCAGGAGTAAGTCCTAAGAACCCATGTGTGTGACTCAAAAAAAATTTTTTTTAAAAGAGGGACAGAGAGGGGCCAGAGTGATAGTACAGCGGGTAGGGCGTTTGCCTTACACGCGGCCAACCTGGGTTCGATCCCTGGCATCCCATATGGTCCCAAGCACCACCAAGAGTAATTCCTGAGTGCAGAGTCAGGAGTAACCCTTGAGCATCGCTGGGTGTGATCCAAAAAAAGGATAGAGATTGTACATGGGCTAAGGAATTTGTATTGTATGTGACCAACTCTGGGTTGAACCTGGCACCACAGGGAACCCAAGTACCACAGGGAGCCACCCCTGAGCACTGCCAAGTATAGCTCATGTCCCTTCCACACACACACACACACACACACACACCTAAAAAGAAAAAGAAAGAGATTGGGAGGGTAGAAGCATCTAGTAATTGTCCGAGCCCAGTGCACAACATCTGGATTTCAGGGTGGCTCCCACAGTGCATAAACCATGCACTGCTCAGACCTCATGGCTTTCAGGCTGGTCTGATGGAGGGTGTGTAAGGGCTGGAGCACTGTCTCTTCCCTACTTCTGTCTCCTAGGCCTGGGCGATCTTCAAGGGAAAGCACAAGGAGGGAGAAACAGAAGGCCCCGCTATCTGGAAGACCCGCCTACGCTGTGCCCTCAACAAGAGCCCCGAATTTGAAGAGGTGCCTGGTCGGAACCAGCTGGATGGGGCTGAGCCCTACAAGGTGTATCGGCTGCTGCCACAAGGAACCGTCCCTGGTGAGAGTCCCCTGCCCAGCCACTCCTAGCGCTCGCTGACAGGGAGGAGGGTTGGGGAAGCTGGACCTTTGGGGAAAGGCAGCTTCCTGCCTCACCTCTCAGGCACAGTCCGATCCTGGGAAACCCAGGTGCCCCCAGCCACCCTTCTGTTTCTTCCTGTCTGCACCCACGTGTACAGCACTGATATTCCTCTCCTGCTCCACAACATTCCCACAGCCCCATCAGGAACCCAGAAACCCCCCGTCAAGCGACGCCACAGTTCTGTGTTGCCGGACAGAGAGGACGAGCCGGGTGTCATGAAGAGCTGCACCCTCGGTCTGCCCTCACTTCAGGAGCCCCTCAAAAATGTAAGCACGGAGGGCTGGAGCCATAGCACAACAGATAGGGTGTTTGCCTTGCACGTGGCCAACCCAGGTTTGATCTTCAGCATCCCATATGGTCGCCTGAGCACTGCCAGGACTTATTTCTGAGTGCAGGGCCAGGAGTAACCCCTGAACATCACCAGGTGTGACCCCAAAATGCAAAAAAAAAAAAAAGAAATGTAAGCACTAGGTGGGCCCACAGTATGGCAGGCCCCAGGTGGGAGACTGCCAGTAATAGACACTGTTTTCAGCAGCTGGAGGCCAGCGGGATAGCAGGTGGTTCCACTGCTAGCAGCAGCAGCAGCAGCAGCAGCCCCAGCAACTCTGAGCCGCAGGAAGGTACCTCCTCCCCTCCTCCCCTTCTCCCCTCCTCCCCTCCTTTGGCATTGCGCCCCACGCCGGCTCCTCAGCAACACTTCATGACCCATGCCTCTGCCCGCCCTGCAGGTGCAGACCCAGCTGATGGCCTTCTGCAGGGGGAAGAGCCCTCCACAGACCTGCTGCTCTGTCTACCCTCAGGTACCTGGTTCTGACTCGGCCCTGCTCTCTGTCCCCACCAGCTGCTTCTGGTGGCTATTCTTGCTTTATGTTATGTGTCAGGGCTGGCGAGGGACTGGCCCAGTAGCAGAGGCCCCAGTTTCTAGGCAGGGTACCACTTCTCGACACTTTGGTTCTTGGAAACCCACTTGCAGGATTTGCAGGATGCTGATTTCTTTGGATTCAGCAGGCACCTGAGCGGAAGGAGCTTCTTTCTTGTAAGATGCAAGATGCTGAGCTTTCAGCCCTGAAGTGTCTGTGAGAGTTGGGTACAGGCTCCTCTGTCCGAGTGGTGGGAAGACTGAACAGGAGCCCCCGGGCCGAGCGGGAGAGAGCATTTGCTAACCGCAGAAATACGGGTCCAGGGGCTAATGCACTTGCTTGGCACACAGCCGACCTGGGTTCGATTCCCAGTATCCTCTATGATCCCCTGAGCACTGCCCCTGAGCACCGCTATGAGCGCAGAGCCAGGAGTAATCTCTGAGCATTGCCAGGTGTGACCCCCAAACCAAAACAAAACATAAAGGAAATGCAGGGCCAGAGAGATTGGGCTGCCAGTAAGGTGCTTCCCTTGCAAACCCCAGATCCGGGTTCAATCCCAGGCACCACATAGAGGTCTCTCAGTTCAGAGCCAGGAGTAAGCTCTAAGCACCACAGGGTGTGTCCCCAAAAACAATAAGAAAGGAATGCGGGGCTAGAGCACTAGTACCAGGATAAAGGTGTTTGCATGGTACCAACCCCATTTTAACCCCAAGCTTCACATATGGCCCTCTACTGCACTGCCAATTATGACCCAAACCCCACCCCTAACCCCCCCCAAAAAAAGCAATGCATTGCTCTCCAGCCCTCCCCTCCCCTTCCTCATCAGCAAAGTAAGCTTTGCTCAGAGTCTTCCTTTGCTTCCCCAGAGCTTTGTGCAGGTGAGGAGGCTACCTGGACATCGCGGAACTATCTTCGGTCTGCAGATTTCTCTCTGCTTCTCACCTTCATCTACGCTGGCCAGGTGGTGGGGGAGGCCCAGGTGCAGAGCCTGGACTGCCGCCTGGTGGCAGAGCCCTCCAGCTCCCATGGCGGCATGGCACAGGTGTTGTTCCCCAAGGCAGACCCGCTGGAGCCCACCCAGAACCTGCTGAACCAACTCAAGCGTGGGGTCATGGTGGCCAGCAATTCCCAGGGCCTCTTCGTTCAGAGCCTGTGCCCCATCCCCATCTCCTGGAACTCGCCCCAGGCCCCAGCGGGGCCAGGCCCACATCTGTTGCCCAGCAATAAGTTCGTGGAGCTCTTCCTAACCGAGAATTTCTGCAGAGGTGAGATGGCTCCCGCTGTGCATGGGAGTGCTCCCCCCTCCCCTCCCTTCCCCTCCCCCTCCCTCTACTTCTCCCCCTCCTCCACCACTGGTGACCCTGGGCTCAGCCCTGCAGCCTGGAGACATCCTATCCCCAGACCTTGGAAGATGAAGCGCAGGGGGCACTCTAGCACATGAGGAGGTGCACCCCCATATGTGCGCACAGACCCACTGTCCAGGTCAGCCGGCCATCAGCTATCACTGTCCTCCTCACTGCAGGCACCCTGAGGTGGCCCCTTGCTCCCACATGCCTGTAGCCTTCTCTCTGTTCCTTTCCGTCCCATCCTTGACCCTCTCTCTTTCAGACTTTGACATGTATCTCCTGGGCTTGGGTCCTGAACCCAAATTCCAAGTGACCCTAGACTTCTGGGAGGAGAGTCCTGACACCAGCCACTCCCTGCAGAGTCTCATCACGGTCCAGGTGAGTTAAAGGGGGGCTGCACCAGGCAGGGAATGGCTCTCGGGGGTCATGTCTACCCTTGCTGCCCCCCTCTCGCATGCAGATGGAGCAGGCCTACGCCCGACATTTGCTGAAAAAGATGGAGCTGAAGGAGCTTGTGGCCATTGTCTCCTAGGCAAAGGACCTGAGGGGCCTCCTTCCTCTTCCCTGCCCGCCTTGTTTCTGTTGAAAGCGACTTGTCCATGCTCTTGACCTTCCTCCTTGGAGATTGTCTGTGATGGTCATATCCTTAAACTCCCAGATACCCCGGCTGGTGGGCTACTCAAAGAAGAGTATTGCACCCTCTTTTTTTTTTCCTTGTTTTGGAGTTGTTAATAAATTCAAGAGGGGCTGGAGCAATAGCACAGCGGGTAGGGCATTTGCCTTGCACGTGGCCAACCTGGGTTTGATTCCCAGCATCCCATATGGTCCCCTGAGCACCACCAGGAATAATTCCTGAGTGCATGAACCAGGAGTAACCCCTGTGCATCGCCGGGTGTGATCCAAAAAGCAAAAAAATAAATAAATAAATAATAATAATAATAAAATAAATTCCAGAAGTAATAGGTCACATTTTAAAAGTCAGAACACAGGCATACTCCAGAGAGAGTATCTATTACCCTTTGTTTTAATTCTTTTTTTGTGTTTGGGTCACACCCAGCAGTGCTCAGGGCTTACTCCTGGCTCTGAACTCAAGGATCACTCCTGGAGAGGCTTCGGGGGACCTTGAAGGGGTGTCAGGGATCAAACAGGTCAGCTGTATGCAAGGCAACTGCCTTACTCTACTGTATCTCTCCAACACCCTTGTACTTCGTTTAAAGAAAAAAAATTTCTGAGGGACATATCAACAGTGTTTAGGGGCTGCTCCTAATTCTGTGCTTGGGGGTTGCTCCCAGCAGTGCTAGGGGAAGCATCTGGTAGTGAGGAACAAACTAGCCCTCCACCCCCCACCCCACTGAATTATCTCCCAGCCAGAATTTTATTCTTTAAAAAGTCTTTAAGGGGCTAGGGATGCAACTCAGTAAAGTTGTTGCCTTGCATGCATGAGACATGGGTGCAATACTCAAAAAAGAGGGGAAATTTTTTTTAATATATATATAAAATGTTGTTGAGATAATGCTTCCTTCCTTACATGTCTGAGGAATTGTGAGAGTTGAAATGGTATGGAATTCAAGAGACTTTTCCTTTTTCTTTGATAACCCTAACGGCAAGCACTTTATGCCTTCTTTTTTCCCTGAGGATTTCAAATAAAATTGTATTGAGAAAGAAATCAGCATGTGGTTTTTGGGGAGGAGAGATAGCAGGGGTGCCCCAGAGATAAGACAAAATAAACTTGACAGCTGAACCCTGGGTTTCTTCCTACTGACTCCCTCGGACACTCTCCTCACCTGCACCCTACAGGTTCTGGCCAGGAAGCCAGCTGGCTGGGAGGGATAAAGGACCTATCCCGCTATCCCCTCTGCACCAGGGAGAGGGAAGGTAGGGATCAGCTCCAAGCATCACACTGGAGAATCCAGCACCCGTAGTGCTTTGCTAGAGGGCTGTGGTTCAGGCCTTCCCAGCCAGCCTCGCTTGCACTCTGGGCTGGTGGTCTGAAATGAGCTGGTGACCTGGAGACTGACCTGCAACTCTGGGCCTGAACAAGGGACAGAATCAGGACAGCTGTGCCTTCCTTGGTGGGCAGACAGAACTCATGCCCCCTGTAGGGCCATCCTCAATGGACTTCGTCACTGTGCTACAGCCCCAACAGAAGACAATCTGACCAAGACCGCCTGGCAGCTGACCAAGCCAAGCCAACAATGTCTGCTGAAGTTGGAATTCTTCCAGTCGACTGACACTCTTTTCTCGCTGAATTAATTTTGCTAACAAACTGGAAGTTCTTTTGTTCTGTTTTGGGACCACAAACCTGACAATGCTCAGGGCTTATTTCCTGATCCTGCACTCACGAATCATTCCTGGCAGTGTGAAATTCTGATTGTAACTTCAGATGGAAAATTCTGTGTGTGTGCATGTGTGTGATATATTATCTCATTATCTCATTCTTACTTTGGACAACCTGGCAGGCTACCGAATATAACCTGCCCACATGGCAGAGTCTGGCAAACTCCCCGTGGTGTACCCAATATGCCAAATACCAATAATAATGATAGGTCTTATTCTCCTAACCCTGAAAGAGCCTTGAATATGGCACTTTTTAAAATCTCAGGGCTAGGATGAAGGAGATGTTACTGGTGCCTGCTTGAGGCAATCAATGAACAACAGGATGATTATGATCGTGATGTGTGTATATATATATATATATATATAGAGAGAGAGAGAGAGAGGAGAGATTTTGGGTCAAACCCACACACATGAAGCTTGTCTCCTATTGCTGAACCTTGAGTACCTGCAAATTTCCTCGACAAATATTACTGAGCTAAGTGCCAGGCACTAGTAGAAAAAAAATGAGATTCCTAATCTCAAAAGCAATATGTGTTGAAGAAGAAATTAAAAAGACAGTTCAGCTGCAGGAGTGATCCCTGAGCTCAGGGCCAGGAGTAAGCCCTGGGCATAGCTGAGTATTGTCAAACAAATAAAATAAAACAAAAAGTGAGTTTGTGTTTGTCTTTTTGACCACGTCTGATTGTGCTCAGAGAACTACAAAATATGGTACTAGGGCTTGAACTAGGGTCAGGTAGGAGTGCAAGACAAGCACCTTATCCACTGCACTATTTTTTCGTTTTCAAAAGTGAGACTTATTTATTTATTTAGTTGGTTGGTGTTTGTGGACCACACTCAGAGGTGCTCAGGGGTTAACTTCTTACTCTGAAATCAGGAATTACTCTGACAGGTCTCAGGGGGACCATATGGGATGCTGGGGATCCAACCTAGGTTGGCTATGTGCAAGGCAGGGGCCCTATCCACTGGTACTATCTCTCCTGTCTCTCAAGAGTGAGTTTTAAAACAGGCAAAAGTGTGGAGTTCAAGCCCAATAGGAGCGATAGCACAGCGGTAGGGTGTTTGCCTTGCACGCAGCCAACATGGCCAACCCGAGTTCGATTCCTCCGCCCCTCTCGGAGAGTCCCGCAAGCTACCGAGAGTATCTCGCCCGCACGGCAGAGCCTGGCAAGCTACCTGTGATGTATTCGATATGCCAAACACAGTAACAAAACATCTCATGATGGAGACGTTACTGGGCATCAAGCAAATCGATGAACAATGGGAGGACAGTGTGGACAGTGTAATCAATGACTGAATAAATAGCAGTAGTCCTATATTTAAAAAAAAAAAAAACAGGCAGAAGCATGAACTAGAACTTGGAGAGCAAGGCCATTCTAAACAGGCAGAAGCATGAAGTAGAGCCAGGAGGGCAAGGGCATTCTAGGACAACAAAATGATGGTGCAAAGGCAGGGGACAAGGGACAGCAGTCACAACCATACAGCTTCATTTTACACAAAGAATTTTTTTTTCCTTTGGGGAGGTGGGTGCAATGCGGCAGGGGATGAGTTCAACAGGCTGAGTGCATGTTGTACATAGTGGAGGGGCCACAGGTTTGATCTCTTGCATGTTAATGTCCCCCAAGCAACCCCATAGCCCCTGAGCCACGCTGGGTGCGGCCCCCAAATACGCAAGAACTTTTTTTTTCTTTTTTTTCTTTTATAAAGTAGTTCACAATATTTGATTACATTTAATATTTGAACACCAATCTCACCACCATTATACCTTCCCACTCCATATTTTGGATGTTTCCATCCTGAGCTCCAACTCCTGCCCCAAGACAGAACCGAAATAATTTATTTTGTATTGTTATAAAAAAAAACTGCTGAAAATACTACAAAAAAATTTTGTTAGAGGAAAGAGTGTGAAGATTGTTGTGTTTCATCCAGGGGTCATGAAACCCTTCTATAAGAGATCACTAAACATGTTAAAGGTTGAACCTTGTGTGCATATATATATATATATATATATATACACACACACACACACACACATATATATATATATATATTGTCTGTAGCACTGTCCTCCCATTGTTCATTGATTTGCTCGAGCGGGCACCAGTAACTTCTCCATTGTGAGACTTGTTAATGTTTTTGGCATATCAAATAAGTCATGGGTAGCTTGCCAGGCTTTGCCTTGTGTACGGTATACTCTCGGTACCTTGCCCGGCTCTCTGAGAGGGACAGAGAAATCGACCCCAGGTCGGCCGCGTGCAAGGCAAATGCCCTACCCACTGTGCTATTGCTCCAGCCTATATATATATATAGAGAGAGAGAGAGAGAGAGAATGCAGCAATGGTTGTTCAAAGTACTGGAGCACATGCTTTGCTTGTTAGGGGCCTAAGTTTCATACCTAGCACTATATGATCCTCCAAGAACCACCAATAAACAAGACTAAGGCTAGGGATGTAGTGCAGGCAGGGTGCGCTCCATATGGTCTCCTGAGCCCCACCAGGAGTAATCACCGAGCACTGCCTGGTATGGATCAAAAATAAAAAACAAGAGTGAAAGGATAAGAGTGTAAAAAAAATTTCCCTCTAAGATTGGTTGCCTTTTACTTTATTTATTTATTTTGATTTTTGGGTCACACCCAGTGATGCTCAGGGGTTTTTCCTGGCTCTGCACTCAGGAATTATTCCTGGCAGTACTTGGGGGGTCATATGGGATGCCAGGGATTGAACCCAGGTCGGCCGCGTGCAAGGCAAACGCCCTACCCGCTGTGCTATCACTCCGGCCCCTTTATCTTTAAAATTTTTTTATTAGTGAATCACCGTGAGGTACAGTTACAGACTTACAAACTTTCATGCTTGTGTTTCAGTCATACAATGTTCGAGTACCCATCCCTCAACCAGCGCCCATTTTTCACCACCAATGGTTCCAGCATCCCTCTCACCACCCCCACCCCGTCCACTCCATCCCACCCCGCCTCTGTGGTAGGGCATTCCCTTCTGCTTTCTCTCTCTCCTTTTGGGTGTTGTGGTTTGCAATAGAGGTATTAAGTGGCCATCATGTTCAGTCTATAGTCTACTTTCAGCCCACATTCCCATCCCAAGCGGGTCCTCCTAGCACCCTTTACTAACACGCAAGAACTTTTGAACACAAAGAACAGGTGGGGGAGAATATGCACCCAGAAGAACATTCACATCTGCGAGATGCAGGGAAGGGGCATATTCACAGTAAAAGTTGTTCACATTTAGGAAACGAACCAGCCAGTCCTCGCGGGGCAGAGGCTAGGCCTTTCTCTCCCTGGCTCAGCTCCCAATTGGCCGGTAAGCCCTCTTGGGGCACAACTAGTCAATGTACCACTTGGTCATCTGTGGGGTGGAGAAATAGCAAGTCAGATACCCAGAACCCTCCGGGGGCAGTTGCTTGGGGCATGACCTGACCTCTTGGAGCCGCACAAGCCGCTGTTACCAGGCTCCACCTCGACAGAAGAAGCAGGGACGAGAGCCCATTGGTTGGGACCCAGAGGTGCGCAGGGCTCTCCTGATTGGCCCCAGCTGTGCGCAGCGCTCTCCTGATTGGTCCCGGCTGTGCGCAGGGCTCTCCCGATTGGCCCGCGGCTCCGTCGGACCCGGCGAGGCTGCCGGGGGCTGCAGGAAAAGCGTCCCCGGGCGGCACGTGCTCCAGGGTGGCTGTTGGGGCCACCACCGCCGCTGTCGAGCACGGAGGTAAGGACGCTGGTGCAGTGCTCCCTGTAGCGGGATTGAGTCCAGCCTGGGCACTGCCAGAGCAACAACCCAGCAGCTCGCCGCTGCCCCGGAGCTCCACAGCACCGTTCTGGAACCCAAGGACCCCAGTAAGTTCCAAACAGCCCCGCAAGCGTTCCAACCTTCTCGTGGTGACTGCACAGGGTCGTCAGGACCTCGGTATATTCCGGCCGCGTTCTTCCACTTGCCTCCCGCACCATTCACCCTGCAGTGGTGTGTGTGTGTGTGTGTGTGTGTGTGTGTGTGTGTGTGTGTGTGTGTGTGTGTTTTGAGGGGGGGAGGGTTGATTCTGGATACCCCGCCACGCATCATGCGACCTGTTCAAACCAGTTCTTTACAACCAGCTGTGTTAAGAAAGCCTGAGCCTCAAATTCTCATTGATATTTAAATTAAAAAAATTACTATTATTTTACTTTTGCTTTTTGGGTCACACCTGGCGATGCTCAGGGATTATTCCTGGTTCTACAGCCAGGAATTGTTCCTGGCGATGCTCAGGGACCCCTGTGATATATGCCGGGGATTGAACCCCTGTTGGGCCGTGTGCAAGGTAAACGCCCTACCCACTGTACTATTGTTCCAGCCCCAAGAATTCGAATTGAGACCCAGTGAACACTCGGGTGAAGCCCAGTAACCACAATGTTCTACTATCCCAACGTGCTTCAGCGCCACACCGGCTGCTTTGCCACCATCTGGTAAGGTTCTAGCCCAGGTAGGTGAGCAGAGGGGGTCCGCAGGGGTGCCGCCTGATGTCTCCCCTTTATTTCTGCTGTCTTTCCAACCAAGGCTGGCAGCAACCCGGGGCAGCCGTCTTCTGAAGCGCGAGTACTTGAAGGTGAACGTGGTGAAGACCTGGTGAGGCCTGGAGAAGGGGACAGTGACCTGGTACTGGGTGGATGGGGGTGGTGCTCGGGGCAGGTCTGGCTGTAGGTGCAGTGACCACCAGGGCTGTTGTTTCTGCAGCGAGGAAATCCTGAGTTACGTGCTGGTCCAAGTGCCCCCAGCAATGCCTGGCCTGCCAAGGCCCCGCTTCTCCCTCTATCTCTCAGCTCAGCTCCAGATTGGGGTCATCCGAGTCTATTCTCAACAGTGCCAGTACCTCGTAGGTAAGGCGGGGACCCCAGAGGGCCGGGCAGTGCTGGGGGCCTTGGTGGACAGTCCTCCATTGCCCTCTGACCCTGCATTTGTGCAGAGGACATTCAGCATATTCTGGAGCGCCTGCACCGTGCCCAGCTGCAGATCCGCATTGATATGGTGGAGCCTGACCTGTGAGTCTCCCAGGGGGTGCGGGGGCGGGGGGAGGGAGGAAACTTCCTGAAGGCACCTTTGCTCCCAACCTCACTCTGGCACCACCCACACCACCTAGGAACAACCTTCTTCCCGACTGCCTCACCATGATGGAAACCCTGGAAGCTGCTCCAGACCCTTTCTTTGGAATGATGTCTGTGGATCTTCTACTTCCCAGCCCCTTAAACATCCCTCAGGTAGGAGGCCTCAAGAGAATGGTGGGCAGGGATGCTAGCCTATACTTGACAACTGGGGTTGGTAGAGGGGAGGCCTCATAGGAGACACAACAGGGGCACTGGGGTCCCAACAAGACCCCTTCACATATATATATATATACACATATACATATATATATATACACATATACATATATATATACATATATATATATTGCTTTTTGGGTCACACCTGGTGATGCACAGGGGTTACTCCTGGCTTTGCACTCAGGAATTACTCCTGGCGGTGCTCAGGGGACTATATGGGATGCTGGGAATCAAACCCGGGTCAGCTGCGTGCATGGCAAATGCCCTACCCGCTGTACTATCGCTCCAGCCCCACTCACTCATATTTTTAACTTATTTGGGGGACCACATTTGGGGGGCCAAGTGCTCAGGGCTTACTCCTGGCTCTGCACTCAGGGATCACTACTGGTGGGACATAAGGGGGCAAGGGATCGAACCTGGGTCATCTGCATGCAAGGAAAGCCCTCTACCTGCTAACAGTCACTCTGAACCCCTCCCCTTATCAGCTCTTGTCTCCACACAGTTTCTGCTGCAGAGGCCCTCACCTGGCTCTGGGTTCCTCTCTGTCCTGTCCCCCCATCAGAAGCTGGCTCCTCCTGCACACACAGCCCCACCCGTGTCCCCTGGCTGGGCAGCTTTGGTTCCCAGCACCAGTCTAGCGCCCTCTGCCACACTCACTTTGCTGTGTGCTGATCCTGCATAGCCTCACAGACCTGGCCCAGCTGTGGGGAAGCCCTGCCTGAGTGTACAGAGTCCCATGGCCTGAGTGCATACTTTGCATGCTGGTGACCTGGGTTTGATCACCAGTACCTGAGCACCACCGGGATTGACACCTAATTATTGTTACTCTACAGTCAGGTGCAGCTTCAAAAAAAAAAGCCAAAAAAATTCCATACATATTCATTATTCTCATTTCTAGGTAGAAATGGGATGAGGAATTACAGATCAAGAATTTTTAAATCTTGGGGCTGGAGAGATAGCATAGCGGGTAGGGCATTTGCCTTGCCTGTGGCCGACCCGGGTTCGATTCCCAGCGTCCCATATCGTCCCCTGAGCACCGCCAGGAGTAACTCCTGAGTGCAGAGCCAGGAGTAACCCCTGTGCATCACCAGGTGTGACCCAAAAAGCAAAAAAAAAAAAAAAAAAGAATTTTTAAATCTTGAGCTTGGAGTGGTGGGGCTGGAGCGATAGCACAGCGGAAAGGCGTTTGCCTTGCACGCAGCCAACATGGCTGACTCGAGTTTGACTCCTCCGCCTCTCTCGAAGAGCCCGGCAAGCTACCAAGAGTATCTCGCCCGCACGGCAGAGCCTGGCAAGCTCCCCGTGACGTACTCGATATGCCAAACACAGTAACAACAAGTCTCATGATGGACACGTTACTGGGCCAGCTCGAGCAAATCGATGAACAATGGGAGGACCGTGACCATGACCGTGGGCTTGGAATGGTAGTACAGCGGTGAGGCTCTTGCCATGCATGCCAGGCCAACCTGGGTTTGATCCTTGGTACCCCATATGGTTCCTGAACTTTGCTAGGAGTGATTTGTACCAGGATTTGTAAGCCCTGAGCAACGCTGGGTGTGATTCCCCCCACCCAGTCCCCAAAAAGTGTTTTTTATTATTTTTTTTCTGGGGTCAGATAGATAGTACTGCAGGTAAATTACTTGCCTTGCATGCAGTCTACGTGGGTTTGATCCCTGGCGCCACATATGACTCTGAGCTCTGCTACCATAATCTCTGACCAGAGAGCCTAGAATCAGCCCTGAGCACAGCTGGGAGTACCCAAAAAGAAAAAAAAAAAAAAGAATTTCTCCCCCTGTCTCTCACAACCCTTGATAGGGCTTCTTACATGCGTACATATTGCCCAAGACTAGAAATTGGTGTGTGGGCAGGAAATTGGGGGAGGGGAGGCAAGATGGTGATTGGGGGGGTCACTTCATGTTAATGTTAATGCCACAAGAACAAGGTGTCAAGGGCTGTCACTCCACTGGAACGGGGGGTTGGGGGAAGCTGAAGAACTCTGTCTGAATGCTGGCTTTGCCCCCATTCCCTCTCCAAAGATTCGACACCTCCTGGAGGCTGCCACTCCGGAGCGACCTCTTGCCGAGAGCCCTCCTGTGGTCACTGTGGAGCCCAGTCCAGGTGAGGCCTTCTTCCAGGGGAGGGGTGGAGGAAGGTTCAGAAGAGACATCCAGCTCCGAGCTTAGGAGCTCTGAGGGCACTTTGCGGGCTCTCTAGCTGCCTCGGTGAGCCCCGGCCAATTGTTGCAGTCTGAGTCCTTGTCTCAGCGTGGAACCTGAGGGCCGTGGTGGGTAAGCACGTACTGGCCATGACCCACCCTGGCCTGGCTAGCACCCAGGTGGCCTTGACCTGAAATCCATGCTTTGCCCTCCCCTCGTGACTACAGGGACCACTGTCCCTCTCCCTTCAGATAAGCCGCAGGTCACGGTAAAGTCTCCCCAGGCCATCACCATCCAGGAAGACGAGCCCATCCGCATACTGCAGATCGAGGTGAGCTGCTCCCCATTCCCACGTATCTGTGCCCCCCACAATTCTGCCTCGGCATCCACTTCCCCACTCCCAGGGCCTTCCTCGACCCAGGCTTATGGCCTGCCTCAGGCCTGCTGCCTCTTGAATTTTTTTCTTTTTCTTTTTGGGTCACACCTGGCGATGCACAGGGGTTACTCCTGGCTCTGCACTCAGGAATTATTCCTGGAAGTGCTCAATGGGGGGGACCATATGGGATGCTGGGAATCAAACCCAGTCGGCCACGTGCAAGGCAAACGCCCTACCCACTGTGCTATCGCTCCGGCTCTCCCACTGCTTCTTCAGAAGGAGACCTGACTCTGTTCTCCTCGGCAGGGCGAGCAGGACCTCCCCGAGGTCAGTCGCCGGGACTTGGACTTGTTGATAGCTGAGGAGGATGAGGCCCTCTTGTTGGAGGAGCACCGTCGGCGAGGACTCCCGGAGCCACGGAGTGCCAGCCCAGCGCTGGAGGGTCAGGCCTCGGGCGGTTCAGGGCCTGGGCTGCGCTCCCATCTCTGCTCCTCTTCTCTCTGAGTTCTGGTTCTCTCTGCAGAGTCCAAGGAGGAGCCCCGGGCTCTCGAGGCGGAACCCACTGTGCCTCGGCTCTCGCCTTCAGCCCCTGCACAGTAAGGGCCGGGACCCCTGGGACTGGGGAGGCATCCTGCTGGGACTGCATGTCAAATCCCTGGCCTCTTTTCTCCTCAGGGTGGAGGGGACAGCAGAGCCTCCTGCTGCCCCAGGCCCAGTTTTGGAGGAGGTGAAGCCGGCTGGCTGGGAGCCCGGGACCCCGCTTCCTGGTGAGTATCTACCATGCCAGTGACCCCGTCACAGTCACCATGTAAGGGCCTTGTTTGCCAGCTGGTAGAGGGGCCTCTGCTCCCTGCAGGGGGGCTAGGAGAACTCAGGGGGCTGGGCAGTCAAGAGCTGGGGTATTGTTGCAGAGGTGACCCCTCCGCAGAAGCTGCGTCTGCCGAGCCCGGTCAGCCCAGAGGTGAGTAGATTTCCTTCCAAGTCTCCTCCTCACCCTCCTCCATCACAGCCACTCCCCCTGCTCAGTGGCCTCAAGCCATGGCTGGCCTGCAGGCCCTTGGTGCAGATGAGCAATGGTGGCCTCACCCTATCCCTCAGCTCACACTTCCTGGGAGGGTCCCCTTTGCAGGTAGGAGCTGCCAAAGCCCTTTACCTGGAACCCAGGGATGGAAGTGTGGGCCTCTCTGGGGTGCCAGGAAAGGCAGGGTGCGTGGGCTGTGGGGGAATGGGTGTGTCCTGCTTGAGAGAAGCTGGCTCAGGACTGGTAACCGGCAACTTGGTTCTTCTCCCCATCCCCCCCACTCTGCCTCTCCACTCAGCGGAGGAGACCCCCCGTCTCCCCATCTCCTGAGAGTCTACCTGCCCCCCGCCGTCGCCGCCGCCGCCAGTTGCTGTTCTGGGATGCAGAGACTCAGATCTCCCGGGAGAAATTCCAGGGACAGCTGCAGACCAAAGCCCACTGCTGGGAGGAGTGTGTGAGTGTCCCCAGGATCTGGCAGGGATGTGGGAACCCCTGGGCCTGCTGGTCTCAGTGGGGCCCCAGAAATTTTCCCCTAAGTGCACACACAACCCTCGGCATATAGTGACCCTGCCAGACACCCCTGCGGGCCCCCTCATGAGCTCCACCTTGAAGCATGCGCAGAGCAGGCAGGAAAGAATGAGGTGCAAGACCAGATGCCCTAGGAGGCTGGAGGGCTAGCACAGCGGGGGCAGCTCGGGTTTGAGTCCCAGCATCCCATAGGGTCCCCCGAGCACTGCCAGGAGTAATTCCTGAGTGCATGAGCCAGGAGTAAGCCCTGTGCATTGCCTGGTATGACCCAAAAAAGCAAAAAAAAAAAAGACCAGATTCCCTGGGACGAGGCACAGAATGTGGGATGGGGGGCCTGGAGAAATGTCTTCCTCCTACCTGGGCTTCTGGTTCTCCCCACAGCCCCTGGTGCAGCCTTCTGAGAAGACCATCAGGAGCCCCGCGGAGCTGTTCAGTACCCCGACTTACCGTGAGAGCTGCGGGTTGGCATGTTGGAACCTTTGAGTCTGTTCTTCCCGCCTCACACTTGCCTCCCTCTGCTCCTTGTCCCCAGCTGGCCAGCTCCCCCCGCAGTTGTTGGCGTTCTGGACCCGCTGTGCTCAGCCCCCACCAAGAGCACTCAGACGAAGGCCAGCCCTGGAGCCTGATGAGGAGGCTGCTGAGGAGGAGAGGAGGAAGATGGACACCCCGAGTGAGATTGAGGTGACCATACCTTGGTTCCGTGGATTGCCCGCAGACCTCCTGCCTGTGTACACCAGCAATGCCGGGGGGCCAGTCCTGAGCTCCATCAGGCCCATGGCTGCCTGAAGCCGGGGAGGGCCACCCCCAGATCAGGTGCTTCTGGGGCCTGACCTGCATGTGCTTCCTCCCACCCACAGGTCCTGAGGGAGGCCCAGGAGCCCAGTGGGCCTCTCATGTTATCTTCAGGTAAGCTTCTGGGCAAGGGGGACATGGAGACCATCCCTGTTCCTCACCACTGCCCAGCAACCCTGGCACCCCAGCTGTTTGCAGTTCTTAGAGGGAGCCTTAACATCAGAGAAGCATGGAATGACCTGCCTCGGTTCTCTCACTGGTTGCTTTTACCCAGTCACTGTATGGCTCTGACACCCACAGTGACCACAGGGACCCCATGGTCCCCAGTGTGCAGAGCCAAGCAGATGCCCATTAGGGCCTCCCTCTCCCCCCACAGAAGTGTCCCTGGAAACTGAAGAGGAGAAGTCCCGGGTCAGCCTTCCCCCGCTGGAGGAGCGATGGTGAGCCTCCATGGGCAAGTGGGGTGTGGCTGGGCTGGGGGTGTTGTGTGTCCCCCTTGGGTAATCCATCTAGTGCTCCTGTGCTGCCAGGGCCTGGGCTGAGGTGGAGCAGCCGGAACCCCCCACTCTGCCTATGGTGCCCGAGCTCCCGGAAGTGCCCATGGAGCTGCCACTGGACCCCGAGCTGCTCTCACCTGAGGCTGTGCACAGGTACTGTGTCGGGGCACGATGGGGTTTGGAAAGGGGGGCGGAGGGGAGGGGAAGGGGTGGCTGGGCTGGGGCCAGAGCTCACTCTACTGGGTCCCTCCAGGGCTGTGGCACTGGAACTACAGGCCAACAGGGAACCTGACTTCAATAGTCTGGTGGCACCTCTTAGCCCACGCAGGGTGGCAGCCCGGGTGTTCTACCTGCTTCTGGGTGAGTGTGGGCATGTGCCAGGGTCAGGGGATGACAGACTGGGACCCCCCTGACCCACGCTCATTCCCCTCTTGGCAGTGCTCTCGGCACAGCAGGTCCTCCATGTGGAACAAGAAGAACCCTACGGACGCCTCCTGATCCTCCCCGGGCCCCGTTTCTACTGAGACTGGAGCCAGGCGCGAAGCTACATTAAATCATTTTCTGCCTTAATAGTCCTGTCTGCTCATTCCTGAATGTCTCCCCAGTCAAGCAGAAAAACAACTGCCTTTATTACAGTATGATGTCCACCTGCATTGTCCCACAACAGTATAGAGAGAACCCCGGGGACACCCCCATAAGGCAGCAAGTGGGGTGAGGCCCAGAATCTTTGGTAAGGCATGAGCTGGAACTGGTCAGAGAGGTGTCTGGGGTCCCGGTGGGCTCTGCTGTGGCCCTGCTGTGGCGTAGTCTAGGTTAGGCCCAGGGCGGCCTGGAGCTCCCGGGCCTTGTCACTGGGAAGCGAGCCTAGCGCTGAGTGGAAGTTGTCGGTGTGCTGTTTGGCCAAGAATGTCAGGAGCAGCCGCATCGAGGAGGTGGTGTCTAGGCAGAGCGAAGCGATCAGAGGTGAGGAATGTGGGCCTCACCTGCACCTGCCCCAGGGCCCCCGTGGTGCTGCCCTCACCTCCTGGGATCTTGTCGTTGGGCAGAATGAGACTGCAGATGCGCAGCAGCTCCGGAGCCACGTCCACCACCTGCAGGACGACAGTGGCCAGGAGAGGCAGCAGCCCACCAGGGAGGGCTGAGCCTGAGGAGGTTCATGGGCCAAGGGACACGAGGGGGGTGAGTGGGAGGAGCGTGGGATCGCCAGCAACTATGGGAGCTGTAGTCTGCAGCGCAGAGGCCCAGATAGGAGCCACAGCACATCAGTCCAGAGGTGCAGGGAGCAGCCCAGGCTGGGAAGGTGGCGGGACCACGGCCACAAGCCCTGCTCAAATGTGGGGACAGATGGGTCCGGCCAGCTCACCTGGTCAGGGCTGTTCTGGTAGAGGAAGCTGAAGAGATGGCCCATGGTGACCCACTCCTCCAGGTCCTCCTTCAGGGGCAGTGCGTGCAGCAGGGCCGCCAGCACCTGGACACAGCAAGGAGAGTCTCAGGCCACTGCCTGCTCCTGCCCACTGCGTCCAGCGTGCCCCAACCCCACCTCTCACCTGGGGCTCGGGTTTCCTGGTGGGACTGGCCATCAGCAGGCGCGCCAGGGCCCCGCAGATGTTGTCACGGACGCGGTCATGGCGCTCCCTTGCCAGGAGAGGCAGCAGGAGTCCCAGCAGCTTGGGGAAATGTCTGGTCGGCAGTCAAAGAACGAGCGAGCCCACACGGGTGGCCTCTCCTCTGCCCCAGTCCACCACACCCTGGTGCCCATCCCACCTGATTCCCCCAAAACGTGCCAAGGATACTCCTGGGCTGGCCGGCCTCCGTGCTCGGCCAGCACACCTAGCCCGAAGATGGCATTGCTGCGCACCTCGGGGTCAGCCTCCCGTGACGTGCTCAGCAGCACAGGGAGCAACCGGGACACAAACTGGGCCGAGGCGGTGCCCAGGCCCTGGATGGACTCGGCCAGCGTCCCCACTGCAAAGGACTTCTCGGCCACGGTGCAGCTCTGTTTCTGGTGGGGGAAGGATGGATGTTGTCAGGTGCCAGGGTGGGAGCCAGAGCAGACGGGGCAGTGGGCAGGCGTGTGGGTGAAGCCAGTGCCGAGATCACTCACCGTCTTGCAAAGCAGCAGCGGCAAGAAGCCAGCAAAGAAGGGGGCGAAGGTGTCTCCCCCTGCTGCGGCTGCCAGGGCAGGGAGGGCCTCCCCTGCGTGTTCCAGCAACATGGCGTCGTATTCGGCCTGTAGGGTCGGTCAGAGGCTGCTAGACTTGGCATGCCTGACCCAGGGCCCGCCCTCAGTGGACAAGGACCAGGACCTCTGAGCAGGGCTCAGTGCCACCCAGCTCCTTCTCCTGCCCCCTCTCCTCTCACCTACGAATGCCCACCTCCAGGAAGTCTTCTCAGACCTGCCACTGCCCCAGTAGGAGCAGGGCTGCCTCTCTCAACTCTCGGCGCCATCCCAGCAGCCGGGCTTCCCTTCAAACCCAGGAGACGCTGAAGTGCTCACCTGCTCCTCCTCTTCCTCCTCCTCCTCCGTGTCCTGGCAGGCCGTCTGCAGGAGAGGGAAGTTCAGCCTGGGCCTGGCCCGGGGGGTGGGGGCGCGAGGCCCGCAGCGGCTGGCTCTGCTCACCTTGTGCTGCAGCACAGCCTTGAGCACGCTGCAGAGATCCACAAGGCGCCCGGGGGGCTGCAGCGCCAGGACCCCGCAGACCCGCAGCACCCCCGTCAGGGCCTCCAGCACCGCCATCACCACGGACCGCTCCCGCTCCCCACGCACAGCCTGGATGTAGGAGGGCAGCACGCGGGCCAGGGCGGCCTGCAGAGCTGTGGCAAGCAGGGCTGAAACCGGCACCAGGCCCCGCCCAGCCCCCCACAGCCCTACCCACGCAGGTCCTGGCGCCTGGCCCCCGAGGCTCCCTTCCTCACCGGTCTTGTTGGGTTCCGAGGGGCAGCTCTGGCAGGCCCTGTGCAGCGAGCAGCAGAACTGCCCCAGGGCCTCGTGAGCGGCCTTGCGCACGTCAACATGAGGGCACTGTGGAGGGGAAGGGGGGTGGAGGTGCGGCTGCGTGTAGTATGCCACGAGTGGCCCCCCATGACCCTGGGCCCCGCCTGCTCACCTCCAGCAGTCTGAACACTTCCTCGAAGACCCTCTCCATGTAGGGCAGGAAGGCCACGCTGTGAACGACACACGGCCATGGCAAGGGGCTCGTGGTGGGGTGCCCGGCCGGGGCAGGGCCGGGGCTCACCTGCTATTCACCGAGATCTCCCCCAGTGCCACACAGGTTTCCTCCTTCTCATCGAAGAAGGAGTTCTCCACACTGTACCTGCGGGGGCGGGAGAGTGCCGCTAGGGCCCGGGAAGCAGCCCCAAGCCCTAGATCCCCACCCACTCTGCGCACCCCGAGATCTCAGAGTCATCCTCCTCCGGCTCATCCTCCTCCATGAGCTCCTCCTCCTCCTGCTCCCCTTCACTCTCGTCATCATCATCGAATAGCAGGAAGGAGCTGGCACTGTCATGCTGGGCCTGGGCGGAGGCACGGAAGGGCTGCGGCCTGACTGTGGCTGGAGGTGGACCCCGTGCCCACGAGGGCCGCCCCCTGCAACGGCCTGGCCTCCCACTCACTCTGCTCACCACAATGCCCTCAGTGGAGCGCAGCGACATCAGCATGAGGGTGGTGATCTGGGGCAGGTAGGGTGCCAGGCTCTCACCCATCAGCCCGGACAAGGCTGCAAACAGGCTGTACCTAATAAAAGTAGATGGGGAGCTGTCCAGTACTGCCCCAGGGACCCGCAGACGGGGTGCAGGGCAAGGTGAGGGCTCACTCACGTGCAGCGGCGCAGGTCAGGGTCGTCCACGTGGCTGCAGAGGCTCAGGCCCAGCTGGCAGCATTCATCTGCCAGTGGCTTCATGGACTCCCCGACGGCTCGCACCAGCAGCCCCAGGGTCTCTAGAAAGGAGAGGGCTCATCAGCACAGAAGACAACAGATAAGCCACAGTCAGGGGTAGGGGTGAGGGTGAGGTTTGGGGAAGCTAAGGTAGCAGCCGGAAGCTCAGAGCACTGCCCTCGCCCCACTAATTTCCTGTCTGCTGGGACCGCAAGTCAGCCAGCCAGCCAGCCATGTCCTGTGGGAGCCCTCTCAGCACACGCCCCGCTTACCCAGGCTCTGGATCTGCACGGGCTGCAGTTCCTCGTGTCCCGGGACCAGGAACTCGCGCAGGTGCTGCATGATGGTGGGGAAGTAGGGCAGCAGCGAGGACTGGGCCGCGGTGGCTGTGGGGCACAGGCAGGGTCAGAGCTGGGTCGGGCTGTGTATTCCACATGAGCTCTCTGGGAAAACCTGCGCGTACCCCCACTGCCTCCCTCTCTCCTCACCAATGGCCCCCAGAGCGCTCACAGCCAGCTCCTTGGCCCGGAGGCTGCAAGGGGTCTGCAGTGGTTGCAGCATGCACTGCATCAGCTCCGGCAGGTAGGGTTTCACTTTCGACCCTGCGTGTAAGGGCGTTCCTCCATCATCTTGCCCCAGGACCCCCCACCATGCAAGCCCACCCTACCTTCTTCCCATAGGGAAGGGCTCAGCGAGTGGCACAGCCTGTGCCACTTGGAGCCTGTGCCCGCCCTACCCTAGCAGCCCTGCCCCAGTTCCTACCCAGGTTCTCCACGAAATTCTCCAGAGCATAGCAGGCCTTGGAAAGGTGGTTTGTGTGTCCCGAAGGCACCGCTTTCAGGTATGCAAGGAGCAAGGGCATCACCTCTCCTGAGTAGCTGCTGATATGAGGCTGGGGAAGGAGGAAGGAGGACCCGAGTCAGCTCGACCGCTTGGATGCCTGAGGAGGCCAATGGCAGAGGTATGGGCAGGCAGGGGAACCCGAAAGCAGGGGTGGGCCGGAATCCAATCGGCTCACCTGCAGGTTCTCTGAAAACTGGCCCAGGGTGAACAGTGCGGCATTGCGTACCACCTGTGACGGGTCATCCAGGCCCTTGCACACGATCTGCAGCACTGAGGGCAGCAGTCTGGATGGGGCAGTACAAGGGACATGGTCTGGGTCCAGGCAGGACAGATGAGTCCTGTGCAGAGGTGCTCTCTGGGATCACCAACACTTCCTCTCTGCCCACCCTCCGCTAGGGGACCTGCTGGGTGATTCACCAATCTGAAGAGAACTTTTCACGGGTCTTGGTCTGGGTTTGGGGGCCACACCCAGCAGTTCTTAGACTACTACATGGTACTGGGGATCAAAGTTGGGCCTCTCATATGCACAGCATGTATTCCGGCCCACTGAACCATCTCTCCCGGACTCCCATAAAAAAGTCTCTTGACTGGGGGTCAACCCCAACGCGAGTAAGCACAGCGCGTGTGCTGTGACTGACACTCCAGAGCGGGGATCACGAACCTCTGCCTGATGTGGTCGCCGGCTCCATCGGACAGCACAGCCAGCACCAGGAGGCCAGCCTTGCGTTGGTACGGGTTTGAGCTCTGTAAGGCTTCTTCCAGCATGGGCATCTAAGGCATGGGGCATGGGGCATCCCCTGAGACCCTTGTAGGAGCCCATACCGGTCTGTGACCAGCGGCCTCTATACCCACCAGGCCCAAACACCGTTCTCAGTCTTGAAGGACCACCCTGGGGCAGGAACAGGAAGGACAGTCACTCACCAGCAGGGGACAGAGCTTCTCAGGGGGCAAGTGTAGTGCCATCATATCCACTACCTGAAATCCACACAGGGAGACTCTGCTGGACTCTAACTCTGTCCCCAGCCACCCCTCTGCCACCCTCGCCCATGCCATAGGCCACCTGCACAGCAAAGTGCTTGGGCGTCTCCCCCAGCACTCCAATCTCCAGCTCCTCCTCCTCTGACTCTTGGTCCTCGGGATCGAGCTGGCCCAGGGGGGGCTCAGCAGCCATAATGGGGAAGAGGGTGTGTAGCAAGGGTGGCAAAAGACGGTTCTTCAGTAAGGCCTAAAGGGAGGGCAGAAGGTGTCCATGAGGATCCCAGATGTATCCACTAAAAATTCAGTCTTGGGGGCTGGAGCCATAGCACAGCAAGTAGGGTGTTTGTCTTGCACGTGGCCAACCTGGGTTCGATTCCCAGCATCCCATAGGGTTCCCCGAGCACCGCCAGGAATAATTCCTGAGCCAGGAGTAAACCCTGTGCATCACCAATGTGACCCCCCCCCCCCCCCCCCAATCAGTCTTGAGGGCTGGAGATAAAGCGAAGTGGCTAGTAGTGCCTTGCATGTAACTGACCTGGTTCATTCCCTGGCACCCTCCCACCCCCGAGTCTGCCAGGAGTGATCTCTGGGCATAGAGCCAGGATTAAGCCCTAAGCGCAGCCGGTGTGCCCAAAAACAAAACAAACAAGGAAATCCAGCCTTTGTGGTCCAGAATATGGTAGAGCATATCCACCATCACATGGTGCCCTAAGCACTGTTGGGCGCAGCCCTGGAGGTCCGCAGCACTGCTGGGGTGGCCTGGGGGAATCCTCGGCACAACAAGACCCTCACAGCATTGCATCCTCAGGCTCTGGTTAGTGAAATCACCCACCTGGGCCCCCTGAGTGCCACTTGGAAGCACCACCACCCCACCCAACACCTGCTGAAAAAGGAAAATCCAGCCATGGACTGGAGGGACAGCTCAAAAGGGTGTCCACGCTTTGCACGTGAGGGGCCTGGGCTCAATTCACACACTGCATGGTTACCTCAAGCACCACCATGGGTAGCCCCTAACCAGAACTGGGTGTAGTCCCTATGCACCACCATTTGTGACCCCAAACAAAAGCACCAGCCTTGTCTTGGAAGATAGCTCAAGGGGCTGGAGTACAACTGTCTGAATACAGGAGCCCTGGATTTAACCTCCTGAGCATCAAACTGGGCGTAGAGCCAGGATTAAGCCCTAAGAACACTTGAGTACTGCTAGGTGTTAACAACCAAAATACGGGGGGGTGGGGGTGGGGGTGGGGGGGTTGGTTAGGGAGGTGGCTCTCTAGTACAGAACTTACTTTGTACATGAGAAGTCCTGGGTTCAATTCCTAGTACACAGACACACAGACAGACAGATAGACAGACAGACACACACACACACACACACACACACACACACAGTCCCCACCCTCAACCATGAAGACCACAATGAGTTTTTTCTTTTATTTTGTTTTTTGGGTCACCCGGTGATGCACAGGGATTACTCCTGGCTCATGCACTCAGGAATTACTCCTGGCGGTGCTCAGGGAACCCTATGGGATGCTGGGAATCAAACCCAGGTCGGCCACGTGCAAGGCAAATGCCCCACCCGCTATGCTATCGCTCCAGCCCCACAATGGGTATTTGAAGAGATTCCCAGTCTTTCACTGTCAGTCAATAAGATGGACTGAAAATCCCACGACTGAAGGCTGAACGGAGCAATGTGCAGTAGAGAGCACTCACCTTGCTCTTGACTTTCACCAAAAAAGCGAGGCAGCAGAGAATTCGCACACGTATGGCATCACCCAGGGCCACATTTTTCGCCACCTGCCCACAGAAACGCCTGAGTATCAGACAACCAAGGGAAATTCTTTCCCATAGCACAAGCTGCAGGAACCGGGCCAGGGCCAGGCTCACCTCCAGGCAGAAAGTGAGCACCTCTGAGAGGTGGGAGGTGATGATGGGCACCTCTGACTCCAGCAGTTCATCCAGGGCTTCCAAGGCCTCACAGGCCTTCGCCTGCCACACAGAGAAGCCGTGGGGTTACGGCACTATTTGTCAGCACACCAGAGGGGGCACCCTGGCTTCCCAGTCCTCACCTCATCTACAGGGATCAAAGCCTGCACAGCCGTGATGAGCTTGGGCACCAGCATCCGCGCGAGAGGCTGGAGGACACAGGATGGGCTGGATCACAGAAAGCATGTCGCAGCCTCATCTCAGGCCCTGGAAGCTGGCCACTTCCTCAGGGCCTGGACACAGGAGGAGCCCAGGTGCAACTGTTACCCCCAGTTTTCCCCTCTGCTGGGGAGGAAGGGCAGGAGACAGAGGCACCGAGGGCAGCTCAGTTCTGTCACCGACAAGGTCGAGCACATGAGGACGGGAAGCTGGGGGAGGGCAGGCCCATATCTCACCACATCATTGGAGCCGAGGTAAGGGGCAATGGCAGTCAGAGTGCGCAGGGAGTAGAAGAGGATCCCTGGACAGGCCACCTCACCAAGGGTCTCGTTTAGAAGCCGCAGCAGCTCCCGATGGTGGGGCTGGAAAGCCTCGGGCCGGGAGTTCACCAGTACGCTAAGCAGCAAAAGTCCCACCTGTCAGGGGAACACAGGACAAGAGGGAGAAACGTGAACCCCTCGCTGGCACCTCTGGGTCTCCGCCACCGGCCCCGCGGGGAGTCGTCCTACCTCCCGCTCCATCGTGTGGGCACTGTGGGTGCTGCGCTGAAGAAGCTGCATGAGCTGAGGCCAGGCCTCCAGGCCTTCCTTCCGAAAGATGGTGGCTGAGAGCTGGGCCAGACTAAGGCTCACAGAGTGCCTGTCAACAGGGGAGACGCCCCCCATCCCACCATCACCTTCCAATCCCCTCCTTTGGGGCAGTTGGGAAAGGAACAGCAGGACGGAGAGGGGCTTGGCCCAGCTGGGAGAGGAGTTAATGTCTACCAGCTTGGGAGCTGGGCGGTCTGAACTGGTGGGCTTGGCAACACTCCCACTCCCACTACTCGGGCATGCTAAGGGCATTCTGCTGGCTCTACTCAGGGACCAGTCCTGCCCAGGAAACCATACATGGTGCCTAAGATCCAAGGGAATCAGCACATGCGAGGCAGGTGCCTTAGCCTCAGGACTGCCTCTGCTGCCCGCAATTCTCCTTCGTTTCAGCTCCTTTCATTTCTTCTGATTCCTGGCTCAGCTCATGGTCCCTGCGCCCCACCACTCGGACTCGACTCCCAGCTTCTGCCTTCCTCCAGCACCACTCAAGCTCCGGCAGGGCAAGGGCAAGGCGCAGGCGGCGGCGGGGAGAGAAGCGGGGAGCCCAGAGAGGCTCTGGGGTGAGGAGGAGTTGCGCGGGCACTTACTCGGTCTCTTTCTGTAGGGCCATCAGGACCAGGGACTTGAGGCTGGAACACAGGTGACGGATTTGGGGCTCGGCCTGCCCTCCTCCCCCCTCCCCGGGACCGCCCCCCCTCCGCTGTGCCCCGCCCGCCCCTGGCCCAGCCCACCTGTCCCGATGCTGCGGTGACAGGCGTCGCCAGCGGGTGCTCACGCGTCTGCGGGTCAGCACGGCGGCAAACTGGCGGATCTGCGACGGGGAGAGCAGTTGAGTGGGGGGGTCGGGGCGGGCAGGTGGGTCGCGAGCCAGAGGGGCCCGGAGCTGGGGCTTGACCCAAGTAGCGGCCTGACGGGAAGCGGGCGTGAGAAATCACCTGCGGGTCGGTCGCCGAGACCAGCAGGTCGCAGAGCGCGGACAGGGCGGCTGGGGCCCGAAGCGCGGTCTGGAGTTGCTCGGTGGCCTGGAAGGGGGGTGGGGGGTCGGCTGAGCGTCAGAAACGGGCCTGGCCCGGCCCCTCGCGGCCCGCCCGGCCCGGCCCCCGCTCGTCCCGTACCCGGCGGATGCGCCCGGTGTCCGGCTGCAGCAGCTCCCGGAGGATCCGCTCCAGGCCGGCGGGCTCCATGGCAGCGCTGGAGCTGCCGCTACCGGGCCGGCGGGGCGGGGGAGGGACCGCACGTGGAGGCTCTGGAACCTACTTCCGCCGGAAGGGGCGTGGCCCCGCGGCCCTCCGTCGCCACGGTGATTCAATAGCGTCCCTCTGAGCGCTCGGCTTCCGCCACTTCCGCTGGCTGGCGCCGGCCGCGCCGCGGAAGGCGGAAACCGGACTCCGGTGACGGAGGTTCCACCGGCCGCTGCCGCGCAATCGGCTCTAGCAGATCCCAGCGCCCCGCCCCTGTCCTGTCGGGCTCGAGGCTCTTGTTTCCAGACCAAATCCCTCCCAACTTACAGGATCCCTTTTTTTCCTTAATAAATTTTATTTTGATCATTGTAAAAAGAAGCGTCTGGGACCAAAAAAAAAAAAAACAAAAAACAACCAAAAAACCGAAAGGCAACTTAGCAGTTCCGATAGACACTCCTTATGTCTGAGATGGATCGCGTCCAGGCCGGCTCCCGGGGACAGGGAGGCCCAGAGGAGGACAAAAGGGAAGGAAGGCCACGACGCCACCCCCAGTTCGGTGGCTCTGCCGGAGGAGCTGGCGGGATGAGGAGCTGGGTGTGTGTGTGGCAGGGGGGAAGCCAGGCGCCGCCCACCCCGGATCTCAGTCCATCTTGAGGTTCACGTAGATGTAGCGGATGAACTTGAGGGAGGAGAAGAAGGAGATGGTGCCCAGCATGAGGAAGAAGACGTAGGCGGTGAGCAGCGAGTAGCCGAAGAACTCCACCGTCTGCACGGCCCCGGACATGTTGGAGCGCCGCGCGTAGTAAAAGAGCGAGTAGAGGAAGATGAAGAGGCCCGTGGAGCCCACGCTCAGCACCGAGCGCCACCACCAGCGGTAGTCCTCGCCCGACAGCTGGAAGTAGGTGAGCGCGATGGAGATGCAGGCCCCGACGCTCAGCAGGATGGCGAAGACGAAGAAGAGGATGCCGTACAGCGTGTACTGCTCCCGGCCCCACACCGTGGCGAAGATGTAGTACAGCTCCACCGAGATGGCACTGCGGGGGCACAGGCAGGGCGTTAGCGGCGACGCGGCCGGCGCCGCGCCATCCTCCCCACCCACGCCGCTCCCTGATCCGGGAACCGAACTGGCTGCTTCCCCTGCAGGGCTTTCTCCCCGGGTGGACTGCGAAGAAGGGTGTGACCTGCTTTTGTTGTGCTGTTAGCTGCCTGGTTGTTCCCCCATCCCTGGGTTGACATATTTTAAGACCCCCGCGGGCGTTGGAAACAGGATAGTGCCAAATTTTGTATACATTATGGTTTTTCCTCTAGACATATCTACTTATACATGTAATTTATATGTATTTTATGTATAGCTATATATTTTGTTGGGCTGGAGCGATAGCACAGTGGGTAGGGCATTTGCCTTGCACATGCTGACCCGGTTCAATTCCTCCGTCCCTCTTGGAGAGCCCAGTAAGCTACCAAGAGTATCTCGCCCTCCGGCAAGGCAGAGCCTGGCAAGCTCCCTGGTGTATTCAATATGCCAAAAACAGTAACAAGTCTCACAATGGAGACATTACTGGTGTCTGCTTGAGCAAATCGATGAACAGTGCTACAGTGCAGTGCATATATTTTGTTATAAAAGTATTACAGTATTTTTTTCTCTAGACATATCTAACATAAAAACAATTTAACTGGGGCAGCACAGGGGGTAGGGTGTTTGCCTTGCACACGGCTGACCCAGGTTCAATTCCCAGAATCCCATATGGTCCCCTGAGCACCACCAGGGGTAATTCCTGAGTGTAGAGCCAGGAGTAACCCCTGTCTGTGACCCAAAAAAGAAAAAAAAAAACCAACCCTACTAAAAAAGGAATTATAATCATGTATTAAGTGAATGTACTCTGTCTCTCAAATGTCTTATTGTTCAGAATATTTCTGGACTACATTGAAATGTTTATTATTTTGTAGTTGTTGCTTTTGGGGACCACACCCAGTGGTGTGCTCACAGTTTACTCCAGGCTCTGCACTCAGGAATCACGTCTGGCAGGGCTTAGAGGGACTATATGTGGTGCTGGGGATTGAACCCAGATCAGCCAAGTGCAAGGCAAGTGCTCTACCCACTATACTATTGCTCCAGCCCCTATACTTCAATGTTTAGAAACATAACTGGAACCCCAGAAAGTGAACCCATGAGTAAGTGGGCCTCCTGAACTGAGTATCAGATAGGGGAGGTAGCGAAAAGAGTTCTTCACACAGGAGAGCTTTACAAGTGAGATACCCTCACATTGTCTTTTTTGGGGACAAGGGGATCCAGCAGTGCTCAGGGGTGAATTTTGGTTCTCCGTTCAGGGATAACTCCTGGTGGGCTATGGGACTAACGGGTGGAGAGTCGGCTGTGTGCAAGGCAAGTACCCTACCTGATAGACTACCACATTGGCCCCATATATTCAGTCTTAGTGGTCTCTTAATGGTGCAGTGAACCAGGGATTTGGTGGGGGCATGGGGTGAATGGAGAGAGCCAGGATCACCCTGAGGGGAGGGTCACCACAGAGAGGGAAGATACCTGAAAGGCAGGAAGCCGCCAACAGTCATATGGATGAGTGTAGACTTGTACCAGGGCTGAGGCGGGATTTCCCGGGCAATGTTCTTGGTACGACAAGGTGCATCGAAGGGGTTAGCGTTGTTCTTGCCGAAGATGCCGCCGATGACGGTGAGAGGAAAGCCCACCAGCAGCCAGACCGTCAGAAGCAGCAGAATTGTGGTGGCTGGCAGAGCCTGTGTCGAACCGTTGGCCCAGTGTACCGAATTCACCACACTCCATGTAAGGAAGAAAGGCACTGCAGGGACAGGCCGGAGGGAGGGAGGATGGGAACATCAGCATTGGGCTCACTCTATCCTGGGCTCACGAACTCAGGCTGGACCTCAGGGGGAGGGTGAAGCACCCCATTCCCAGATGGACTCCACCTTTCACATCCTGTTTCCTATCCCTCATCAGGATCAGGGCCACTGTTAGACAACGATTCCAGAGTGCCACCATCTCTTTGCTCTCAGCCCTGTCCTGCCTGGATATTCCTCTGGATTTTGGTCTTTATTTATTGCTTTTTGGGATATTCCTTTGGATTTTGGCCTGTCTTTATTTATTATTTATTTATTTTTGCTTTTTGGGTCACACCTGGTGATGCACAGGGGTTACTTCTGGTTCTATACTCAGGAATTACTCCTGGTGGTGCTCGGGGGACCATATGGGGATGCTGGGAATTGAACCTGGGTCGGCAGCATGCAAGGCAAATGCCCTACCTGCTGTGCTACTGCTCCTACCCTTGGCCTGTATTTAGTAAGTCCTGCTTTGAACCTGCTGAATGAATAATCAAAGGGACTTGAGGACAAACATGGTACCTGGAGGCATTAAAATCAGAAGCTGGAAGATGTGATAGGATAGAAATTAAACAAATGTGGGATTGAGAGCATGCAAGATTCAGAAACTACTTGATTGCCACTCAGTGCCTGTTTTGCAAAGCACGGCACCCAAAAGGAGAGAGAGAACAAAAGGGAATGCCCTGTCACAGAGGCAGGGTGTGTTGGGGGGGATGAGGGGTGGGAGGGATACTGGGATTAGTGGTGGTGGAGAATGGGCACTGGTGGAGGGATTGGGTACTCAATCACTATATAACTGAAACCCAAGCACAAAAATTTGTAAGTTATGGTGTTTCACTAATAAAAATTAAAAAAAAAATTCAGACACTACTGCTTCTTGCGAGGGTTGAAGCTTAGTGGGAGAGTGCTTGCTTTGCGTAGGATGAGGCCCTGGGTTCAACCTCTAGTACCACAATACACAAAACTACTACTGCCTTTTTTTTGCCTTTGCCTTTGGGCCACAGCCTGTAATGCTCAGGGATCACTCCTGGTAGGATTAAGGGCCCATGTAGGGTGCTGGGGATTGGACCCAGTTCCACCATATGCACTATACTTTTGCTCCAGCCCCTGCTAAAATGACTATTGCCTTAGATAAGGTAGAGTGAGACAAGTCTGAAAAAATGGAATTTCTTTTAGATATATAGCACTGTCCTTTCCTCAAGCAGGCACCAGTAACGTCTCCATTGTGAGACTTGTTACTGTTCTTGGCGTATCAAATACACCACGGGGAGCTAGCCAGGCTCTGCCGTGTGGGTGGGATACTCTCAGTAGCTTGCTAGGCTCTCCAAGAGGGATGAAGGAATCAAAGACGCCCTACCTGCTGTGCTATCCCAGCCCTTTAGATACATAAAAAAATAATTTCAAGGGGCCAGAGAGATTTCAAGAATGTTTCATTGTACATTGTAATGGTTGAGAATAGGATACATGTAAAACAAACAAACAAAAAAGCATGTTGTAGGGCCAGAGGCCTGAATCTGAAACCTGATTTACTAGTTTTTAGGAGTGTTGTCTTGGGACATTAGTCCGTCTTGAGTCCAATTTCCTCATCTATAAGATGAGGCTATTATTTCATGAAGCTATTGTGAAGATTACTTTTAATTCTGAGGGGGATGTAGAGACCACATACAGCAGTGCTCATGGAATACGGTGCCAGGGATCAAGCCCAGGGTGCTAGAAGGCAAAGCATATGCTCCGGCTGCCCAGCTCTCCAGGGCCCTGTTGTGAAAGTGAAATGGAAATGCTGAGTGCCTATCATACTGCAAGGAACTGGGTTTATTTTGGTTTCTGGGCCACAAACCTGGTGGTGATGAGTTTACTTCCAGATCCGTGCTTTGGATAGCACCTAGCAGTGATTGGGGGGTGGGGGGGGTGTGGAGCAACCTTATTGTGCTGGGGACAAAACCTGGGCTTCCTATATGTGAAGCCTGCAGTCTTTCTGTCTGGCTAAGCTGAACTACCTTTCCAGCTGAATTATTATTTTGATTTTCGGATGATACCTGCCTGTGCTCAGGGATCACTCCTGGCAGTGCTGAGAGAATCCTATGTGTTATTGGAGATCCGAACTAGGTCAGCCACATGCAAAGCAAGCGCCTTAGCCACTATAGTATCTCTCTGGCCCCTTTAAATGGTTTATTTTTTAATAAAAGGATTCATATGTGACAGTGTTCAGGGAACCATACGGTGCCAGGGCTCAAACTCAGGGACTTGCACATGCTAGACGTGCTCTGCTACATGAACTATATCTCTGATCCTGCCTAGGATCCTTTAAGGCCTAACAATTTTTGAGGGGAGAGCAGTACCAGGAATCAAACCCAGGGCCTCACATGTAAGGAAAGTGTTCTAACACTTTAAGCTATATCCCTAGCCTTAGTGCTTAACAATTTTTGTTTGTTTGGGACCATAACCAGCAGCGACTGGGCTTACCTCTAGCTCTGTGTTCAGGGGCTACATCAGATGGTGCTCAAAGGACCATATTTGATGCCAGAGTTTTGAACCAGGGTCGATGGGATGCTCTGGCCTCAGGCTTACCAATTTCTGTTTTGGGGCCACACCTGGTGGTACTCAGAGATCACTCCTGAGGGACCATATGGGGTGCTGGGGATGGAATCTGGCCAGCCACATGTAAGGTAAGCACCTTACTAGTACCTTATTGACTGAGAGAGAGAGTCTCCGGCCCTGATTGACAATTTTGAACTAGGCCAAAGAAATGCTTTCTTCTTTTTTTTTTTTGGAACACCCGGCGATACACAGGGGTTACTCCTGGCTCTGCACTCAGGAATTACTCCTGGCGGTGCTCAGGGGACCATATGGGATGCTGGGAATCGAACCCGGGTCAGCTGTGTGGAAGGCAAACTCCCTACCCGCTGTACTATTTCTCCAGCCCCCAAGAAATGCTTTCTTGTCTTCTGACTGGTTTTCCAATTGCTCCTTGGACCTGTTTTTCTTTCCTGAAGCCTCTGACTTTGTCCCAGGTTCCATGACAGGTCTGACTCAACAAGGAAAGGGCAGTCCTCACCAGAGAAGAGACTGGTAGTGAGAATGATGTTCCACACCCAGCGCTCGCCTCCAATCTGCCGGTAGAAGTGGCTGGACACGTAGCCCGAAATGCAGCAGGTGAGGGCGTACAACAAGATGGCTGCTGAGTTAATGGCCCCGTGGCGGTGCACATTGAACATGCCCAGCAGCGCCATGACAATAATGCCTGTGGGATGGCAGTGGAAAGCCTGTGTTAGGTTTTACCTTTCCCCCTTATGGCAATTTTACAGAATTCCACCCCCTTTCTCCCAGACCTAGGGCCTTGACCCAAACCACATCCCCCAATCTTCCCCCAAAAGCCCACAACAGAATATTACACATCCTTGCTAAGCCACCCTCTAGGTCTGTTCCTCACTGTGGACAGAACAGATCTGCACACCTTTCTTGACCATATCATCTACTTAGCTCTACCCTTTAGGAGAAATCCTTGATTGATTTGTATCACCTCACCAGTGCCAAGGGCCAGGAACTGGGCACCCACACCAAGCACAGCACAAAGCAGCCCACGGTATGGAGGAAAGCGGAAGACGTCTGTATGGATGATTTTCCAGCCGTTGTCCCCTTGGTCAAAGTCGTCACCAGCACCTCCAGAAGTGGTCTCCTCATCCAAGTTGTACCGAGCTAGGTCATTCCGAAGTACACGCATGAGAATGACGGCCACAAAGCCCACCAATAAAAACACAAGCACCATGGAATTGATGATGGACAACCAGTGGATTTCCAGCGTGTGGGGAAAGAAGCCGCCATCATCCCCCCGGCGCCTGTCACTCCGACGTTCTGCTGAAGTCTCTGACCAGCGCACACTGTAAGTGTGGGTGAGGCCTAGGAACTCATCAGGTCGCAACCCATCTAAACTGTGGGGCTTGACGTCCCTCACGGAGACATTGGCAAAGATGATTCGGTCTCCGTGGTACTCGAGGTGGAAGTCCAAATGGGTCCAGAGTCCTATCTTGTGACTGTGAGGCAAGAAGCCACTCTCCTCCATGTAGCCCACAAAGCCACGAATGGGCAAGTCATCCACTACAAATTCAAAGTAGTACAGTTCCTCGATGGCCTGGCGCAGCTGCTCCACCTACAGAGAGGAAGTCGGGGAGGGGAGGGGGGGGTCAAACCAGGCCTCCCTAAGCACAGGTTTAGGGAAGGATTTTTCATGCTCGTTAACACTCATTAATACCATTGGGCTACGCTAGCACGCAACCGGGATGAATGGAGACGTTACTGGCACCCGCTCGAATAAATCGATGAATAACGGGGATTAAGTGATTAAGTGATAAGTGATTAACACTGATATTTTGGGGGCCATATATCTATCTGTATATTGATTTTGGAGGCAAATGGAGATGCTCAGCACTTACTACTGGCTCTGCAGTCACTTCTGGCAGGCTTAGAGGACCAAATGGGGTGCCGTGATCAAACCCACGTGAGTCCTGTGCAAGGCAAGTGCTTGACCAGATGTATTCTCTCTCCCTGGCACCCTGGCTATTTCTTTTAATAGTGTCAGGATGACATGGCCTCAACCATGACAGGCATATTTATGTTCTGCTGTTGACTCAGCTCTGTGCTTAGGGGTCACTCCTGGTAGTGTTCGGGGAACTATATGCAGTGCTGGAGGTTGGCCAGGTGCAACTTAAGTGTCTTACCCACTATATTACCTCTTACCTACCATATATATGGCCAGGAGCGATAGCACAGCGGGTAGGGCGTCTGCCTTGCACGCAGCCAACATGGCCGACCCGAGTTCGATTCCTCCGCCCCTCTCGGAGAGCCCGGCAAGCTACCGAGAGTATTCGATATGCCAGACACAGTAACAGCAAAGTCTCCAATGGAGACGTTACTGGGCCCGCTCGAGCAAATCGATGATCAACGGGAGGGCCTTTACCTTTACCATATATATATATATTTTTTGCTTTTTGGGTCACACCTGGCGATGCACAGGGGTTACTTCTGGCTCTGCACTCAGGAGTTACTCCTGGCGGTGCTCAGGGGACCATATGGGACGCTGGGAGACGAACCCGGGTCGGCCGCGTGCAAGACAAACGCCCTACCCGCTGTGCTATCTCTCCAGCCCCCTCTTACCTACCATATTATCTCTCCATTGGGAGCTGGTATCTATTTTAATACCAGACAACTTTCTTCCTCTTAGATGTAACTAACGCTCCCCTCCAAGACCACCACTACAATGAGAATCCAAACATCTTCAGACACTGCCAAATGTCCCCCTCCCCCAGACAAAACTGCCCCATTTTGAGAGCCACTGGGTCAGACCCTAACACTGAGATCCTTCCAAACAAGCATGGCCAGGGATGTGTCTTAACTGCAGAGCCTTTCATGTGTGAGACCCTAGGTTTCATAACCCAAGCGGCAATAATAAAAGGGGAGGGCGGGAATGTGATCTGACAAGGTTAAGGCCAGGAAAATCTAAAGGGAAGAGGCCTAGGGTCAGAAAGGATGCAACAGACAGAGGAAAAGGGCCCTAACATGGAATTTGCTAAAGAACAAAAGCCCAGCATGGAAGGTCTGATGGTGTGCCAGGATCCAGGAAAGAGGTGCAGATAAGAAAGGGAATCACGTTTAGAAGGCAAGCATGAACATGGGCCTTGGGACCAGGCTCCCACTGGAGATGCTTGGGGTCTGAAGCCCTCAGCTCTCCTTTCAACTCTGCAATTCAGCGTCCACGGAGTCTGCAAACACCCCCTGGGAAGGCAATGCCAACAGCATCACTTCCCCTGCCTGCCCTCAGGGTCGGATCCAGTGGGATGACATTGGCAAAGGTACTATGCAAAGCGCAGGGTGGGCGGGACTCCAGCAGCATGGCCACTGACCTGTGCAGAGGTGAGCTGCATGTGGCACAGGACCCTTTTCTCCACATTCTCCCGAAACCGGATCTCGTACAGAGATTCGGCCATGCGGTCCCCGTCCAGCACTTCTCCCAGGCTCAGGCTTTTGTGCCGGATCTTCTCAGGGCAGCACACAGGGAGCTGGTAGTAGTGGTACGTCTCCTGAGGGTTATGGTAGGGTCCCACCTTGTTGACATAGAGAATGACGGGATCGCCGGTCTTGTAGTGTGTGGTGCCTTCCACCCCGGACCGGGAGCCGGTGCCCAGCAGCAGCACCAGGACTGGCCACCACTGGCAGCTCCAACTTGGAGGGTGCCGGAGGGTGGTCATCCTTAAGGCGGCGGAACCTGTTTTGGGGGAGTCCTGCGGTTATGGAAGCCCAGGTCTCAACTCCGGGTCCTTAGTCCCATTCCCTCCCCTACAACAGCCTCCGGCTCTCGTATCCCGTGTTTCCACCCCCAGACACTGCCTCTCTCTGCTTTCCGTGATCCCTCCACCAGGACTCCCAACTCTGCAGCCCTCCAGCCTGGGACAGAGCGCGCGCGCCCGGGCCGTTTCCATGGCGACACCACGCGGCCTCACACCTCGGGCTCCCTCCTGCCGCAGCCGGGGGTGGTGGGGGGGTCCTCACCGCGCGGGAGGGGCTGGCCTCCGCGGCGCCCTCGGCCTCCGCGGCCCCGTAGCTGCCCTTGGGCTCCAGCCGGGCTCCAGCCCCAGAGCGGCGCGCTGGCGGCGGCCCGGCGAGGACCCGAGTGCCGAGCTCCGCGGGGGCTGCCCGCCGTTGTGCCTGATCGGAGCGGCCGCCGGCATGCCTCTCGGGGCGCCGCGCTCGGCTCGGGGACATGCTCCCGGAGGCGCTCGCCAGCGCAGAACCCCGGCCCCGCTCGGGAGAGCCCTCTGCGTGCTCCTAACCGGCTCTCGGGGCGGGCGGGTCCTTCCGGCGGCCGGGTGGGCAGCCTGCGACACGTCAGTCTTCCTCTTTCCGCCCTCACCGCGGGGCCCTCCGCCGGGGGAAAGTTCTCTTCCTGGAGCCCGCGGGCGGCGACGTCTCGCGCCGCCGCGGCGGCGGCCGGATACCTCGCCAGCGCCGTGCACACGTCCTCTCCGGACGGCGGTTGCCCTGGAGACCGAGCGGCTTCCCGGAAGCTTCCGCCCTCTCAGCCGAGGGCTCTCGGCCCCGGCCACTGAGGCGGAGCCCGGCCAAGGGTGGGGTGGGTGTCGCCTGGCCTATGTCCCGCACCCTGTTTCTCGCCGTTTTTTAAAACACGGGCGCGTTTCCGAAACCAGGCTGCATGCCGGGGTCGCGAGGTTTGTGCGGTGAGCCGCGCGAGGCCCCCCCGCGACGAGGGCTGCTCTCGCTTCGGCCCCACGGGTCAGTTCCGGGATCACGCATTCGCTCAGGCCCGCGAGTCCCCGCCTCGGCGGCCTCGCCAGTCATTCCACACTGACGGGGCGTGGAGACTGTCGGTATCGTTTCTATAGTCCCTTTAAATTTTTTTTTTTTTTTTGGCTACACCCGGCAGTGCTCAGTCCTCGCTCTGCACCCCGGAATCACTGTTGGCAGTGCGCGAGGCGCCATCCGGGGTGTGTCCTCTTAGGTTTTGTTTATAGTACCCCACCTACGTGTATTGCTATTGTACTGTTCCACGTGCTATTGCACTGCGATTTTACTTACAAGTCTCCCTTGCGACTACTCACAGGAAGACTATGGTTGATCCATCCGGTGTACTCGGTAGCAGTGCTTTTGTTACCAGCTTCACACAGCTCATTAAATAAACTGCTTTATCAGGTGAGAATCAAAGCCACTAAGCTACCTATGTGGGGGAGGGGGAGGAAGGGGTTCAGAGTGTGGGAGCAGAAGATGAACTGGCCTGGCTGGGCCTCCTTAGCAGGTATGTCCTGGACAGCTGTTCATCTTGATAGACTGAGCATGTAGCTCTGGCTTCCAACAGATTTGAACCCTCTGGCAAACAGGGTCAGACTGTTACGTGGAAATCTACCAGTAGCCAAAGGGATAACCTGTTGCTGAAGTGTTTTAGTTTTAGGGGATGGAAAAAATAAAATATCAGATGCTTTGATTCTTGGGTCCCAGAGGAATAGCCTAGGGCTTAGGCCACCTGCCTTGTAAGCATATGGCCACAAATGCAAATCCCTAGCATCCCACATGAGCTGAGAGATCCTGGAAGCTGCCGTTTGAACTCGGCAGCCTGCTGTTCCCTGGTCACAAAAGCACTTTCTGGTCACAATGCAGCTAGATGTGTGTAAGTGCCACAGAAAGGGGTTTGATCCCCAATGAGCACTGCAGTGAAAAGGTGTGCAAAAGCCTGGACCAGGAAATGCAACCTCAGCAAGCATGTATGAGCGCAGCACCACAATCACACCTTGTGTCCTCAGCTAAGAATGTGAGCCCTGCAGCTAAGGAGTGCCAACCTCTCAAAGTGTGTGCACTGCAGCCTGGCATGCAGCCCTTGGTGAGCACCACGGCCAAGGGAGTATACAACCCCCATGACTACAACAATAACAAAGAGAAGGGGAGTTAAAAATGCATAAAAAATTTTAAACATCAAGACAAAAATCTGAAGGTATGAGAGTACAGGGGTCAGAACACTTGTCCTGCCTGTAGCCAAACCCAGTTAGATCCACAGCACTACATGTGGTCCCCCCAAGCCTAGAGACAGGGTGTAACCCAAAACCCATCCTCCCCAAAATCATGTTCATTACCCATCTATTAACCCAAACCTTAAATTCAATGACCCTTCTATGTCTTGCAACCTCCTGTCATTCCATCAAACTTGTTTTTCCACTTCACTGTTACCTTCTATCCCTCCCTTACCCTGGGCCTTTTTGGAGCTTGACCTGCAAACCCATGCAATAGATTCTGTATTCCATCATTTTTTTGTTTTGTTTTGTTTTGTTTTGGGAGCTACATCTGACTGTGGTCAGGACTCCTGCTCCTGGCTCTACGCTCAGAGATCACTTCTGGTTTAGCTCAGGCAACCATATGGGGTTCCAGGGATTAAACTTGGGTTGGCTGCCTATAAGACAAACACCCTATCCTCTGTACTCTCTCCAGTCCCAGATTGTATTATTTTTTTGTGGTTTTGGCCACACCCAGCTGTGCTCAGGGATTACTCCTTGAGATACTTGGGGTTATCATACATGATGCTGAGTATGGCACCTGGGTTAGCTGCTTGCAAGGAAAGCACCCTATCCACTCTACTATCTCTCTGCCTCCCTGTGTTCTAATGCCTCTCTCCCATGAATCCTTTCAGACTACCAAGTGAACCCTTAATCTTGGTCAGTTCACTTAACGATATATAAGCACCCAAACCCAGGATACTAAAAAAAAAATCTCAACTCAATGATGTGTTAAAATCATGCATCTAAACACATTATCGTGCCGGGAGCTAGAGTGATAGAACAACAGGTCAGGTATTTGCTTTGTATGCAGCTGACGCAAGTTTGATTTTCAACATTCCATATGGTCCCCCGAGCCCTTCAGGAATAATCCCTGGGCACAGAGCCTGGAGTAAGCCCTGAGCACTGCCGGGTGTGGCCCCAAAACCAAAAATAAACACACTGTCCTGTTAAGATTCTCCAGCATCTTGGGTATAGGTGAACACTGCAGGTATGACACAAAATTCAAAGAACAAAACAAAATATACCAGGTATCTATGAACTGTGTTTTCCAAACTAATGGCACTCATTGCTACCCAGAGGTCCTGCTTATTCTCCAAAGCAGTTCCCATTGTCCAGAAGGCATTCTTCTCCAAATCTTCAACTGTAGCTCTCTCTTCTTAGATAGTATGCCTTCTAGCCTAAAGGGAGATCCTAGCAAGAACATTGATTACATAAAAGCATTGGTACTGTGACAAAGCGCTGGGGTTGTAGGACACAATGGAGGAACATATAACTTGGCTTTAAGGGAATCTTCCTAAATATACCTTAAGAGGGGCTAGAGAGACAGTGCAGTGGATAAAGCACTTGCCTTGCATATAGCCAACCCTGACTGAATCCCAGGAAATCACCTATGGTCTGTTGAGCACTACTAGGAGTCATTTCTGAGCAGATAGGCAAGAGTGGACCCTGAGGGGCTGGAGCGATAGTACAGCGGGTAGGGCATTTGTCTTGCACAAAGCTGACCTGGGTTCAATTCCCAGCATCCCATATGGTCCCCTGAGTAAAGCCAGGAGTAAAGCCAGGAGTAACTCCTGTGCATCGCCAGGTGTGACCCAAAAAGAAAATAAAAAAAGAGAGTGGACTCTGTGTATACTGCTTAGTATGGCCCCAGAATCCAAAAATTCATTAAAAAAAAAAAAATCTCATTAAAAAAAAAATCTCACAAGGACTGGAGCGGTAGTAGAGGAGGTGAGGACATTTAATGTGCACGTGGCTACCAGGGTTCAGTCCCTGGCATCCCAGATGGTTCCCCAAGCACTGTAAGTGATTCTTGAGTGCAGAGCCAGGAATAACCTCTGAGCACCGCTGGGTGTGGGCCCCAAACCAAAAAACCCTCATGAGCCAAATCCTGAAGAGTAATTTGCTGGGAGAACTGAGGGAATGAGGAAAGAAAGGCAACTGGGCCAGAGTACAGGGGTTAGGACACTTTCTTTGTATGCAGCTGAGTCCAGCTCAATCCCCAAGACCACGAGTGTTCCCTGAGCACTGCCTGGTATGGCCCCAGAACCCAAAAATAATAAGCAAATAAAACACCTCATGAACCAAGTCCTGAAGGAAAGTATAAATTTGCCAGAACAAAGAGAGTATGGAAAAAAATATAAGCAACTGGGCTGGAAAGAAAGTACAGCACGTCACACACTTGCCTTGCAAGCGGCAGACCCCGGTTCTAATCTCCACTACCACACATGGTCCCCTGAGCACCACCACAAATGATTTCTGAGCACAGAACCAGAAAGAAGCCCTTGTTGGATGGGTGTGGATATAGAACACCCCCCCAAAAAAAACTGGCTGAGCATGTGTATGTTAAGATAAAGCTGGTGAGGTAAGAGTATAGGGAATCAGATTTTCTGTTTTGTTTTTGGGACACACCCAGCAGTGCTAAGGATCTACTCCTGGCTCCATGCTCGGTGCTTAAGAGACCATATGGGATGCCAGGGATTGAGCCCAGGTGAGTTGCATGCAAAGCAAGCACTCTACCTGCTGTACTGTTGCTCTGGCCCAAAACAATGCAGTTTTTTTTTTTTGTAGATGTACTCTTACATTATTTTGAGTTATTACAACCAAAGGTCACTAATTTTGTACATATTCACAAAAATTTGTTTTAAAACTACTATATGTTGTTCGTACTATCTTATTTTAGTATAATTCCATTAAAATTGGCACATTTTAAAAATACGGAACGCTTCACAAATTGCGTGTCATCCTTGCACAGGGGCCATGCTAATCTTCTCTGTATCGTTCCAATTTTAGTATATGTACTGCCGAAGCGAGCACAAAACAATGCATTTTAAGGTTAGATTCCTAGAACTTCTTCATTATCTTGTAGCGCTAATACTTTCACACTTATCTCCTCTGCTCTTGGAGTGGCTGTGGGTACAACTGGGCATTTTATGCCAGGAGTCAGCACACTGCTGGGCACTTGGTAGGTACCTAATAAACAGGAACATTTGAGGCAGCATGATCTATGGAGGGAATCTCACCAGACTGAAAGAGTCTCCAGAAATGACTGTTCCAAACCCCTTCATTCTCAAGAATAGTCCGACAAGGGTGGACACAAGATGAATTGTGATGTGTATGGAACACAGGACATTGGAGAGTTCCGTAACCAAGAAGAGAAACAGCTAGTGGAGACAAAAAACAAAACACAAAAAACAAAAAAAAAAAAAAACCAACAACCCCAAACACAAAAAGCCCTGCTTCTCCCTTCTTTGTCCTCCCAAGTTCCTAGTGGAGACCTGAGCCCAGTGTCTCAGCTTTGCTGCCTACCCAGGCAAACTTCCCGAGATTGAGTTTAGGACCTGAGCCTTCAGCGGCCCAAGGTCTTACTTCCTGAGCAAAGATGGCTTTTAAACGTCACAATATTCTCAGCAAGCCTCGTACCATGTGGAAGGCAGATATCATAGAGTCACCACCGGGCACCAGCTACCGTTCTGTCATGGAGGAATACGGCTATGAGGTGGGCAAGGTCATTGGCAATGGCTCCTACGGGACAGTGTACGAGGCTTACTTCACAAAGCAGAAGGTCATGGTGGCTGTCAAAATCATCTCAAAGAAGAAGGCCTCTGACGAATATCTTAACAAGTTCCTGCCCCGTGAAATACAGGTTGGAAAGCAGGCTCGAAAAGGGAACTGGTCCCGGGGGCTGGAGCGATAGCACAGCAGGTAGGGCGTTTGCCTTGCACATGGCCAACCTGGGTGCTGGGTGTGACCCAAAAAGAAAAAAAAGGAACTGGTCCCAAGCAGCTTAGTGTTCTTAGAAGGGATACACACAGAGGGGGGCCACAGTAATAATACAGTGGGTAAAGCACTTGCCTTGCAAGCAGCCAACCCAGGTTCAACCCTCAGCATCCTATATTGATCTCCTGAGCACTGCCAGGAGTAACCTGGGCATTGCTGGGTGTGACTCCAAAACTAAAAATAAAACAAATGGGATACAGAGAAGAGGGTGGGGTGAGAAACTCCCAAACGAGAACTGAACCTTTCACTGGGCAGTTAGGAAAACGACTTCCTGTGTATTTATCCTCTTCTCACCTTCCCAGACTTCTAGCCCCACAAGAGGGTTTGCTCACAGGTCCCAGCTCCTGGGAGTTTCTGACTTCTGCATAGATTTAAGCAAGTGGCAGGAGAGCAGGAGGGCTGGGAGACTGGCTGGGGTGGTTTCCCACCTATGACGGCACCCTCTCTTGGGGCAGGTGATGAAGGTCCTGCGGCACAAGTACCTCATCAACTTCTATCAGGCCATTGAGACCACAACGCGGGTGTACATCATTCTGGAACTGGCTCAGGGTGGTGACATCCTTGAGTGGATCCAACGCTATGGTGCCTGCTCTGAAGCCCAGGCTGGCAAGTGGTTCTCCCAGCTGACCCTGGGCATCGCTTACCTGCACAGCAAGGGCATTGTGCACCGGTGAGAGAGCTGCCACCGTGACTGGGGCCTTTGGGATCTCCAGAGGGTGTGGATGCAATCTCCCACTTTTCTGCCTCCTTTTCCCCTCCCTGGACTTCCCTCCTTAAGATATAGGCCCCTCCTCCCCCTCTCATTTTAATCACCCGGACAAGAGCACTAAGCACCCACCGAGAGCCGCACATTTGACCAAACACATGCCTCACTCTTGGTGGTCCTCAGATCCAGCCCCTCTTTCCTGGGCTCTGCCCACAACTCCATGGTTCTTTCCTCTCTACCTTGTGTCCTCAAAATGCGCCCCCCCCCCCCCCAAGCATTCCCTTCACTCCTCTCTAGTCGCTGACCCCTGGCCCTTCAGCTCCAGGTCTAATACTAAGCCCTCTCCCCAGCCTGACCCCCAGCCTTTCTGCTGCTGGTAGGGACTTAAAGTTGGAGAACCTGTTGCTGGACAAGCGAGAGAACGTGAAGATCTCGGACTTTGGCTTCGCCAAGATGGTGCCTTCAAACCACTCTCTGCGTAGTAACTCTCCTTACCGCCAAGTGAACTGCTTTACTCACCTCAGCCAGACCTACTGTGGCAGCTTTGCTTATGCCTGCCCGGAGATCTTGCTAGGCTTGCCCTACAACCCTTTTCTGTCTGACACCTGGAGTATGGGTGTCATCCTCTACACTCTAATGGTCGCCCATCTGCCTTTCGATGATACCAATCTCAAGAAGCTGCTGAGAGAGACACAGAGGGAGGTCACTTTTCCATCCAGCATCACCATCCCGCAGGAGTGCAAGGTGCTGGCTCCCCCAGGAGGACTGAGGTGTCAAGGCGACCCGAGGGAGGGGGCACCCACTAGTTCCCTGTCCCAGGGAATACCAGGGCCATCTCCCATGGGTCTCTCTGCCTTTAATCAGTGGGAATGGCACAGAGGCAGCACCCTGGCTGCGCCACAAGCAGGGCAAGGCCAGAAGCAGATGGTGGAAGGATGGCCCTAAGGATCCCTTCAACTTCCTAGAGCTTGGGAGTGACAAACCTGGCTCCTCAGGATGAAAGTGGGCTCCGCCCCCTTCCACCAGAGTGGTGTGATGGGCTCTCCTGCTTCTCTCTTAGGTCCAGCTGCTCACTGCCTATGTGGCACAATGGGAGGCAAGCTCAGCCAAGCCCTCTCTCTCCCCTGCCCTAGAATCTGATCCTCCACATGCTCCGCCAAGCCACCAAGCGTGCCACCATCCTGGACGTCGTCAAGGATCCCTGGGTGATCAAGTTTCAGTCCGAGCAGCCTACCCACGAAATTAGGCTGCTTGAGGCCATGTGTCAGATCCCCTTCAGTGCCACCTCGAATCGTCACCAATCCTTGGATTACCACATATGAAAGTGGCTCGAGGGAGGGTCGGGGTGAGGGGGTCAAGAGAGGAGCAAGCAGGAGGGTTTGGGCGTTGAAATCTTTTATATGAAAAATAAAATCCGATTTAGTTTCATCAGCTGGGGGTCAAAGATCTTTCCACAAAGGAACCTTAGCATGGGACACTGGAAGGGGAGACTAGGACCTGTAACCAATAATCTTGATACCTGCTAAGAGCAAGCTGTCGCTGGGCCACCCCAGGCGGGAAAGGGTGTTGTCCCTCCGCCTGCTCCCCCAGGTGGCTCGGTGGCCACCATCCTCCAGAGGCCACTGGAGAGTCCGGTTTGGGCCCTCAGTGACAAGACACACGGGACCTCACGGGATGGGGGTGGAGCTGGCCCTTTCCTCCCCGTCCCGACAAGACCCTGAGTCGCTGCCCATGAACGGCCTTTCTGGCTGCTGATCAAGCTGCTTAACGCCCATGATCCCAGAGACTCAGGAACAAATCTCGGAACCCAGCAGGTTTGGGCAGAAATCCCTCCAGATTTGTTAAAATTTCAGAATTTCAAAATCGCGCAGCCACTACTGCAGCCACGCAACATCATGTTATTCTTAACCAGCAATAGAAAACAAATTGTCTACTGTTGCCTTTTCAGCAGATCTGAGTGTTGGGGTAAAATCCCAAATAATAATGGTAGGTCTGGTGTCAAAATATTGAATATAATCAAAGTAAAGAGAAAGTAATGTGGAAATCATCTGCCCCACAGGTAGGGGGAGAGTGTAGGATGGGGGTATACCAGGGGTTTTGGGGGTGGAGAATGGACACTGGTGAAGGTACGGGTGTTTCATTGTATGACCGAGACTTAAACCCGAAAGCTTTGTAACTGCTCTCACGGTGATTCAATAAATAAAATTATAAAAAATGAAAACAAAAAGTAAGGCGGAGTTCATGCCCAGTTCAATCAGCTAATCAGTGGCTGAATAAATAGCAGTACTCCTACATAAAAAAAAAAAAAAAAAAAAAAAACAAGAGCAAGAGCAAGTTGTGAGGCGGAGTTCAGTTTCTCCGCAGCTCACACCTGCCTTTGGGAAGCTTCATTATCTGGGTGAGGTCCCTGCCTGTTCTCGCCTGCACTTATCATGTCCTAGCAATGAGCTGTCCCTGTGGCTTCCTGGTCATGGCTCCCCCTACAGGAGTATTATTTGTTTGAGACGGGTTGCAGAATATCTGAAATGCTTCAGTTCCTTTCTCCATTATCACTGTCGAAAGAACCCGAGTGAATGACAGTCTTGCACACCACTGCTCTAGGACACAGATATGACAGCTCTAACCAAGCCTACTGACTCTGGCTTCTGGATAAAGAAAAGTCTCCTGCCCTCATTGCCATGTGCTCTCCCACCTGAAAATGAGAGCTGCGAAAGTGTGTAGTTAATCACGGGACTGTCGGGGAAGAGGCCTTGGTTGGGGGCAAGTGATTTGGGACTGAGACCATTCCACATGGCCCTAAGATAAGAGATGGAAGTTTCATTCAACCTTACAACTGGGCTTTTCAACTCTAGTACAAGTCCAAGTTGAGAAACAAAACAGTATCTACCTGGAGCACAGTGGCAAATATAAGGAACTCCCCTTTGTTCTGTGTTCTAATGCCCCTGCCTGACTCTATTTTTTGCTAGCTGAAACAAAGTTCCAAGGGCTAGAAGAAGGGTTTCAGGTGCAGACAAGGCAGTAAAAGTACAAGGATTCTACTTGTCCATTTTTATTGGGAATAAGAGCACTGTAACAGCTACCAGAGAGTAGGGAGCCCAGACTCCTCCAAAGTGGAGTAGGGGTGGCAGTTACCCTACCCCCCCAGCACCTCCCAGAAAGGCTAATTTTCCTTTAGCTCAGTTCCTTGAGTTCACTTGGCACTTTAGGATAAGAGACCAATGAAGGCAGCGTGAGGAAAGATGGGCCCAGATTCATCAGGATACCCACTCTGTCAACTGCTTTAGTTCTTCATCTTCATCTGCTTTGGAAGCTTTGGGGACAAGGATACCCAGAGGAAAAAAGAAGTGTTAGGGCCTCAGCAACTGCCAACAATTCCTTGCTCTAACACTCAGAGCTTCCTGAACCATCTCTTTCTGGCAAAGATCCTAAATGCGTGGATCGGTGTGCTGTGCTGCTGCCAATTCCCAAGGCACCTTTGTGCAAATATGAAAAAGGTGCCTCTTTTGCCAATATCGCAGCCCCCAGGGCCAGGGTACACAGTGTGCTGAGTAAATGGGCTGTACGTCTGCCCCCAGTCCCCTTAGGTCAAGGCTGCCTGTAGCCCCCAAGTTGTGCAGATGTCATAGTAGTTCTCTGCTTGATTCCTTTGCAGCAAGCTGGGTGCTATCCCACCCTCTTGAGTCCTAGAGACAACAGAAAAGCTTGGGGTACCTGGTTCAGCCGGGAGACCATGAGAGGGAACATCGGGTAGCTTGACTGATGGTTCTTCTTTCTTGTCACCCACATTTAACAACTCCTGGTCCAATCCTTCCTGCTCCAGCAATTCTAGCTCCTCCAACAGCTCGTCCTGGATATGGGATAAAAGGACTCTTTAAGTCAAAGAAAGGAAACTTCTTTGGTTTTGGGCTCCACTCAAGCTCAGGGGTTACCATGCGCTCAGGAACTATTCCTGGCAGTATTTTCGAGGAACATCTGGGAGGCTGGAGATCTAATCCAGGCTAGCTACCTGCAAGATAAATGCCCTACTCACTGTGCTCACTCTCTAGCCCCTGAAAAGGAAACTTGTATTTCTAAAAACAGGCCCCCCTTTTTTTACATTTTTCTTTTTGGTCACACCTGGCGATGCACAGGGGTTACTTCTCGCTCATACATGCATGAATTACTCCTAGCGGTGCTCAAGGGACCATATGGGATGCTGGAAATCAAACCCGGGTCAGCCGAGTGTAAGGCAAACACCCTGACTGCTGTGCTATCGCTCCAGCCCCAAAACAGGCTCCTTTTTGCCCAAGCGTTCTCTTGGGCATTCCTCCGGGCTTGTTGCATGCTTTATCCAATATTCCCTACCCCCCTTACTCCCCATCACCTCATCCACATCATCTCCAAAGCCCACAGGCCGAGAAATGGCATCTGAGATCTGCTGGGCCACTTCCTGCTGCTCTGTGATGTCAGCCATCAGTTCATCCACCTTGTCGATGTCCCTGAGAACAAGACATTTGTGTAATTAAGCCACAGTCTCCATATCTTGTCCCATGAATGAAGTCCCTCCTCCCTGTGACCTCAGCCTATTAACTCTGTGGCTACCGGGCAGAAGGGATCCCTGGAAAATTGGAATGCAGCAAAGTTTGAGAAATGGCGGGAAGACACATTGGGGAGGATGGGTGTATTCCCTTTCCTACAGGTCTTTAAGAACTAGAAAATCCATCTTTCCTCCTTAGAGTGCCCTAGCTGGACAAGACATCTTGCAGGAAGCAAGAAGGCTAACAGAGGCTGAGCCGTCCAAAGACTTTATACCAGAAATTCTCATACTGAATTTTCTTTTGGGGGGGAGGGCAAAGCTCATGGGCTACTCCCAACACTCTGCTTTGGGATCATTCTCAGTGGTGCTTAAGTTAACTAGTGCTGGGAATAAGGCCTGGACTGGTTTTGTGCAAGGTTCTTAACCACTGTATTATTTCTGCAGCCTGAGAGGTTTTAAGGTTCCAAGCAAAATACCAAGCTACTCTTCCCAGTGCTGGGGACCCTCTCCTCCCATCCCCCCCGTACCCACATGTCCTGGTAGGCCTTCTTCATGCCTTTGGCAGCAAGTTCCATGGTACGAAGGACTTCGGTGTTGGTGGTGGCATTTTCAATGGCCTCACGCTGAAACTCCAGGGTAGATAATGTCCCATCAGTTTGTGCCAGCTGCTGTTCCAACCTTTTCTTCCTCCGAAGAGCCTGTAGGGCAGCTGATCCAGTCCACACTTTGAATATCAGAGCTAGAAACCTGCTTCCCACCTGGGCTCTCCCAATCGGCCCCTTTCTCCATTACCTCTCTTATTCTTGGTCCCATGCTTCTTGGCTGCCTGTAATTCCTGCTGAATCTTCTGCTCCAGAAACTCCTGTTTCTTGATCAGAATCTCCTCTGTCTCCTTCAGTTTCTGAATTGCCTCTTCTGGGGTTGGCCCCTTCTCTTTCTTTCCTGGAGTTCAATGCAGCATTCCCACATTGTGTGGAAAATTATTAGCCAACGGTCCATCCTGGTCATCACATGATCCCCTAAGCATTCCTGGATATCATCCCAATCCCCTCCCACCCTTGACCCCACTTTATTAGCCGAGAACATAGCATAGTATGTGCCAGGCACTTGTTATCCCCAAAAGGCTGAGCAAAAAAGCATCATTTTACATAACAAATATGACAACACAAAGTTGTTAAAAAATTCTGATTAAGAGATAGTGAAGGGGTTAGGGGGCTTGCCTTGCATCTGGTTGACCCCTAGTCCCTTGTACCACAGATGATCCCTGGCCATTGCTAGAGATCACTCTAAGCACAGAGCCAGGAATCTGCCAGAACCCAAATTTTATTTGCTTAAAGTCACTAAAAAGAAACTGAGTAGGAATTGAAACATGACAAAATGACTTTATATTGCCTGTAGTTCTGCTACTCTGAATGGCCCTTCAAGATATTTTTGGTGTGGGGCTGGAGCGAAAGCACAGTAGGTAGGGCATTTGCCTTGCATGTGGCCATCCCAGGTTCGATTCCCAATATCCCATATGGTCGCCTAAGCACCACCAGGAGTAATTCCTGAGTGCATTAGCCAGGAGTAACCCCTGTGCATCGCCGGGTGTGACCCAAAAAGAAAAAAAAAAGATATTTTTGGTGTGTGTGGTATTTTTTATTCCTTAAGACTTTTTAAAAAGCAATCTTGGTTCACAGCAAAACTGATTAGAAGGGAGGTATTTTCTCTTTACCACCCGCACCCACCCACAAACGCACAGCACTCCCATCACATCATATCTCCAGAGTTCAGTCAGTCTGTTTATTGTCCCAGGAGATACCAAAGACGCTGCCTCTGCAGGATCAAATGAAAGAGTACAGGAAACTAGAGAAATCTGATCCCGAATTTCACTTTCAAAGCTTTTCTGCACTTCTAGAATGTCTCCCCCACCCTCCCACCCAAAAATAATCTGATGGTCTCTGGCGCTTAAAAATCCTTTGACACTCTTCATTGCCTCAGGAGTAAAACCTGGGGCTGGAGAGATAGCAGAGTGTAGGGTGGTTTGCTTGCACTAGGCAAGTGATGCCTGAGCAGTGATCTCGGAGCACTGCAGGTGTGCCCCCCCCCCAAAAAAAACGACGAAACAAAACAAAAAGAGTAAAACCGACAGGCCTGGGCGATAGCTCAGGAGTCTGAGCACATGCTTTGCTTGCAGAAGACCCCCGCAGCGTAGCCAGCTGGGAAAAATCCCGGGAATACAGGAGAGTGAGTCTCATGTCATGTGCCCGTGCAAGTAGACCATGCTCTCCCCTTACTTCTTTCTTCCCTGGGCACCTCAAATCCCCATATAACACACCCTGGATCACCCCGGCTAGTCCCGTTCTCCACGAGCGTTAGGACTCGCCACCGACAGTACACCAGGAAACGCCAGCTTTCCGCTTCGAAGCAGGCACAGTTTCCTCGTCACCTCACCCGTTTCCCCGGGACCAGCCCCAAGTTAGCAAGCGTCAGGTCTGGCAAGAGAAGGGTGACGACAGGTGGGACCGGCCAGCCCAGGCCGCGGCCACGCCCCGGTTCACGCCCCGCACCCGGGCAGCAGCTCACCCCTCCCGGGGTGGGAGCGATCCCGGCCGCGCTTCCTGGCTAGGCGGGGTCTCCGGGCACGCCCGGCCGGCTCGGGGGTGCGCTCCGTCCGCGCGCGCCCCCTCCCGCCGCCTGCACTTCCCCGCCCGCCACTCTCGCCGGGGCTCACCCCTCCCGAAGAGCCGGCCGAGACCACTCATCGCGACCTCGCCTCTCCCGCCACCGCCCACGGCGTCCTCACTTCCGCCTTGCTCGGGGAGGGGAGACCGCGGCTCGTCACGCGGAGACCGGCCTCGGCCAATCCCGCCGTGGGACTCCGCTGCGACGTCATCACCAGGCGCGGAGGAGGCCGGCGCAGCGCTTAAAGTGACCGCTTCCTTCCCGGCAGTACGAGAAGGCGCTGTCCCACCCGGGAAAAAAAAAAAAAGTATTCGTTTCCTGGCAAGTCCCGTGCGGGACCATGCGCCCCACTACTTGGAGGAGCCAGTGGAAGAATTCTTCGTGTCCTTTACAGAGCGTGGCAAAGAGCGGAGGGATAGGGCAAGCACAAGGAGATTGCTAGGCCCAGCTTTGCCACAGTTTTAACCAGGCAGAATCTGACAATTTTCAATGCCACACACTCAGGCCTCCCTCGAGGGCCAACCCTGCGCTCACATGCTGCAGAAATAGAAACAACCTTTTGTGGGCGAGATCTCTTCCGTCACACAAGTACACTTTAATAATTTACAAGTGCATCAGGAAACGCCTTCTTGACTTCTACTCAGTTTTATGCCTCAAGTGGCTCAAATCTGGTTCCCTCCACCAGACTTCCCTCCTCAGGGTCCGGCGTGGGCCTTTGCAAAGCTCTCTAATCCTCGAGTGAGGGTTTGAAGACTCATTCCATTCTGGACATGAATGCAGGTAACACCTAGAATGGAAAGAAGCCACATTTCATCAGGCCTTCCTAGCTCCCTGTTATCACATCTCACCTCTTTTCTAGCTGCCACCTTTCATGCAAATGATTCGTGCAGTCATACTTCAACAACCCTTAGGAACTCATTTTCCCTAACCACTCAGTACCCAGTTTGCTGACGTCAATAATATTCCGCTCCTCATCATCGAAGAAAACCATCTGGGAGAAAGGAACATTGGTCTGCTGCTGTAACCTGTGCAAAACAGGGCAGGGGTGACCATTGCGGTGTCTTGCCCCTGCAACCTCTCTGGGCTCTTCCCGAGTCTACCCTGGCTTCAAAGCCTACCTTTCAAAGTGGGTGACCTTGCTGCCAGGGTAGATTTCCCGATGAACCAAGTACTTGACAAGGTCAAAGAGCTCCAATAGCTGATTGGCCCCTCGAGTCTCACCTGTCCTGCAAGGAGGTGCGACAGATGAATGACATCAGGCAAGCGGGAACTCCAGACCCGAGGACCAAGTTGTGTATAACCTGGGAGAACTCAATTTGCTGTTTTTCTACGATGTGCAAACATCCTTGGCCCCTATTTAGCCCTTATCCTTCTGGTCGGACACTGTGGGTAGGAAAGGGCACTATGGATTTGTGAATTCGCGTCGCCAAAACTTTTTGTAACCAAGGGATTACACGAGAAATCTCATACATGCATCTCTCAGCATTAACCCTTAGAGTTCCACCCCCTCTGCCCCCCTCTCCCCCGCCCCAGTCTCTTCTTACCGGGAAGCGGCTGCCATAGGCACCCCTAGGCGCTGCAATCGTCCCAGAATCTCAGGCACCTCTGGGTATAGCTGGATGGTCTGGCCCCTCCTATCTCGCACAGTTCCATCACTGGAGGGGGTGAGAGTAGCCTCAGCTCGGGCCTCACCTGCCAGGTCCTCCCCAACCCAGCCTCACCTGCTCTTGGTGAACGGGGGGTCTACATGCGTATCCACCCAGAAAGGCCAGAGCGTGTAATCTGCAAGAGGACGGAGGCGGGTTCAGCCTCGGAGGGCACGGGGCCTCCCTCAAGAAATGCAATTGGGGTTGGATGAAGAGAGCTCCCCAAGAAGCTCCCCGGTTTGGTCCCTCACCCAAATCAAACACTGCAAGCTTCGGAAGTCGCTCCATGATGCTGCCGGCAGGCCGCGCGCGAGACTGGGCTTTCCACCGGCCATAGAGAGGTGGGCTGCGCCGCCTCGCCACAGACCTTAAGAGACGCTGCCGGCTAGAGTGTCGCCACGCGGGGCGGGGGCTATCAGGCCGGCAACCGCATAAACGCACCCTCTAGTGGCGGAATGGGGGAAAGCGCTGCAGCGCAGCGCCAGAAGGGCCAAATCTCTCCAAGGTCTCCATTCCCCACCCGCCGAGCTAGGTTCTACTGAAGGCCTTTTTTTTTTCTGGTACCCGGCTCTCATTTTATCCCACCAAAAGAGGAAGCTAGATTGGCCTCACCTCGTGTAGAGCTCGGAGTACCTGGCAATACTCCCGTCACAAACAGGTGTTTGCAAAGCCCTGAAGATCTTTTCAAATCAGGCCCAATCAATGTTCAGAAGGGCCACACGGGAAAGAATTCATTGATTTCTATCATCCACATCAGTACTATGCACTCAGATGCGTAACAATCAGTTTGGGTTACTGACTTGTGCCCTTTGCCAATTTCTGCCAATATACCTACATGACCAATTTCCAACTACCAACAGGAAATCTCTTAAAATGGTTTGGAAAGCGTTGCTACTAATTAGCTGGAGTCTCCTCTGAAGGTGTATTTCCTCCCATTGTCCTACCCCTTCAGCCTGGTGAAACTCGTCTGGTCTATTTTTATTCCAACCCTGTTTGTGCAACAGAAGAAAAGATTCCAGAAAGCCAGGAAATATTTTATTGACAACCAGGAACACAGCCACAAGAGAGGGAAGCACACAGGACCGCAAACTAAAACCCAATATCCAGCTAGGTCCCTCTGGGCCAGGAACACTGCATCCTGGGGTCCTCACAGTCTGCCCCCAGTAGACACACAGACTGGGCATCCAGAAGAGGGGTCAGTGGCTCTGGCATCCCAGAGAATGAGAGGATATATGATGCCTCATTATGAGCGACAGGGCAAAGGAGGTAAAATGGAAGACAGGTCTATCACTGCCTAAGACCACCTCCTCCTCTCAGGGCTAACACTAGGTGGAGAACTGAACCACCTAGGATCTTGTAATCAGCTGCTGTCTTCTCATCATTCCTGCAAAGAAAGGAGGGCCACAAAATTAAAAAAAAAAAGGCATTAGAAATACCAACAATAACAAGATTTTAACATGGATTTCATGGGTCCTGGGGGTGGGGTAGGGAGATATGAATTCAGGTGAGGAGAAAACCTGCACCTTTATTTTTACGATCTCCTAACTGCAATTTCTCTCTCTCTCTCTCTCAGTTGGCTGAGAATCAACCCTGAAAGGGTTTCCAGACCTCCTAACTCCAATTAGAAGGGTCCTAAACCAAATTATGGCAATTAGACCCACCATTAGATATTAGATCTTAATGTTTTTAAAAGCACCTAATTAAATTTAAGTGTTTTTTTTTTGGGGGGGAAGGGGGTCCACACACAGGAAAGATTGGTAGACCATGCAGTGCCAAGGGCTTGAACCCAGATGTTCTGCATGCAAAGCTTATGCTCAGCCTTTAAGCTATCTCTCTGGCCTGTCTTCTTAGTACTTTGATAAGCGTACTTCAATACGTTTCTTCTGTGCTTTTTTGTTTTGTTTTGTTTTTGGGGGGTCACAACCTGATGTTCAGGGATTACTCCTGGCTCTGCAATCTGGGATCACACCTGTAAAGCTTCAGGGGACCATATGCGGGTACCAAGGTTTGCCAAACCTAGATCTGCCATGCCACTTTACTATTTCTCTAGCCCGTGTATTTTTTTTTTTTTTTTTAGGTTTTGGGCCACACCTAGCAATGCTCAGGAGTTACTCCTGATTCTGAGCTCAGGAATCATTCCTGGTGGTGCATGGGAAACCCTTCAGGATGCAGAGGATCAAATCTGGGTCAGCTACATACAAGGCAAAGTGCCCTACCTGCTGTACTATCCCTCTGGCCCCCTTGTATTTTATATCTGAAAATCTTATTCTGAGAAGCTGGTTAACAGCTTTATCAGATTGCCAAAGGTTGGGGCTGGAGTGATAGTACAGCAGGTAGGGCGTTTCCCTTGCACATGGCCGACCCGGGTTCGATTCCCAGCCCATATGGTTCGCTGAGCACCACCAGGAGTAATTCCTGAGTGCAAAGCCAGGAATAACCCCTGAGTATCACTGGGTGTGACCCACTCACCTACCCCTACCCCGCGCCCTGGCAAAAAAAAAAGGATTGCTAAAGACCCAAAGGAAAGTTCTAAGAAAAGAGAGACAGGCCTGCTCCACTGGTTCCCTCATCTTCAAATCGGGTTCCAAGGCCCTCATTCCCGTTCCACACTCACATCTGTTTCCCACTGTAGATGAGCCGCTGCTGCTGTGGGGGGATTCCCTCTTTCTCCTCTACACGCTCCTTGATTCGCTCCACCTTTAGGGGGAGAAGTAGAGAGAGGCTGCTAGGGGTAGGACCATGGAAGTGGAAAGAACAAGAGCTATTGGAGACAGCACAAGAGCAAGAGCGAAAGGATTAAGTTCAACCATTCCATATCCAAACAAGCACATAAAGCAGGAAAATGGGCACAAGAGAGGACATTACCTTGTCTGTGGGTTCAATGTCAATCTCAATCTCCTTCCCAGTCAGCGTCTGAAATAAGCAAGGGGTTCATAAATTCCTGTAGCCCAAATCCAATTTTTCTTCTAGGTCAAATATCCCATCCTCACTCCGGGGATTGACTATATTCTGAAAGATGCATATTGGCAGCAAAGCTGCTTTTAAGAATCAGGAGGCTTTAAGTCATAATATCATTCATCAAATGTTGTATTTTTGGTTTGTTTCTGAACCACACCCAGGGGTGCTCAGGAGCTATTCCTGGCTGTGTGCTCAAGAGTGACCCCTGGTGGTCCTCAGGGGACCATGCGTGCTCCAGCCGCTCAGTGGTGCTGAGGAACTTGCCAGGGCTGCAGCCAAGGCTGAGGCATGCAGGCAAAAGTCTTATCTCATGTACTATTTCTCCAGTCCTGTATTTTTCCCTCCCCCACCCCCACCTTTTCTCAATACAAGTGAGAAAACAAACATCCCTGGCTGGAGTATAAGTAGATGATTCTATTAGCAGTACTGTCCAGTAGATACAGAATTGTCATTCTATGGTAAGTGCGAGCCACAGATACAATTTGAAATATACCAGTAGTGGCTCAGTGGTGGAATCTTGAATGTGTGAGGCCCTGGGTTGGATTCCGACACTGCCAAAAGAAATGAAGGGCTTGAGATATAGCTCTGTGTTGCCCTTGCATGTATGCACCTGTGACCTGTGTACTTATGAGGCCTGGGCTTGATCCTGACATATCACACACAATAACAAAAGAATATATATGACATTAGTAGCCAGGATTTTTTTTACTGACCTCCATTCCCCCAGAGCCACATTTTCCTTAAGTTTCTTTCTTTGGGGGTCATGTCAGATGGTGCTGGTGTCCCCTTTCTTTGGGAGTCCCACCAGACAGTGCTGGGCAGCTGTGGGGGTTGAGGAACTGCACCCAGTGGTGTTCAGGGGATCAGATAGTGTTGGAGATCGAACCACGGGCTCTGAATGCAAAGCACGCATGCAGCACTTTGTGCTGTCTCTTTGATCCTGAGCCAGGTATGCACAAGGTGAAAATGCCACAGTCTCCAAAATATTATATCAACATGCAACTTATAAAATTAAGGTTTTTCCTTCATTTTCATAACCAAACTTCAAAATTTGGTCAACATTTCAGAACATCTTAATTGAGATGATATACTTTCTTTCTCTCTCTCGTTTCTGGGCTGCACCCAGCAGTGCTTAGCACTTACTGTGGGCTCTCTGCACGGGGATCACTCCTGGAAGCGCTTAGGGGAATATATGTGGTGCCAGGAATTAAACCTGAGGGTTGGCTGAATGCAAGACAAGTGACTTACCCACTGTACTATCAGATGGTAAATTTTCAACAGAAATATTTCACCTGTATTTACATTTCATAAATTATTCTAAAAGTAGATTTCTATACCCTACTACTACTAACATAAAAGCTTTCCAATGACTGGGCTAGAGAGATAATACAAGGGTTAAAGCACTTATATGTAGCTGACCCTGGTTCAATCCCCAGCACTGCATATGGTTCCCTGAGCACCACCAGGTGTGATCCCCTGGCACAAAGCCAAGAGTAAACCTGGACCACCATCAGTAGCAGTGGGTGTGGCCCCCAAACCCCAGTTTTCCAATGATGAAATAAGGTCTCAAATTTTTATTTGAAATTAAATACAAATAAATAATTGAAATTATTTATTGGGGCTGGAGCGATAGCACAGCCGGTAGGGCGTTTGCCTTACACGCAGCCAACATGGCCGACCCGAGTTTGATTCCTCCGCCCCTCTCGGAGAGCCCGGCAAGCTACCGAGAGTATCTCGCCCCCCATGGCAAAGCCTGACAAGCTCCCCGTGAGGTATTCGATATGCCAAACGCAATAACAACAAAGTATCCAATGGAGACGTTACTGGGCCCGCTGGAGCAAATCGATGAACAACGGGAGGACAGTTTCGGACAGTTTTATAATTTCTCAGTCTCAAAAACCACACTTCATGTGTTCAAGCACTAAGAGTTCTATGATTTATTTATTTTTGGTATTTCAGGCCACACCTGGCTGTGCTCAGGGCTTACTCCTGGCTCTGTGCACAGGGTGGTGCTCAGGGGACCACAAAGGGTGCCAGGAATCGAACCTGGGTCAGCCGCATGCAAAGCAGTACACAGTACAATTGCTCAGGCTCCAAAAGGGACTCTTTTATTTTATTTATTTATTGGCTTTTTGGGTCACACCTGGCGATATACAGGGGTTACTCCTGGCTCTGCACTCAGAAATTACTCCTGACGGTTATCAGGGGACCATACGGGAAGCTGAGAATTGAACCTGGGTTGGCCGCATGCAAGGAAAACGTCCTACCCGCTGTACTATCACTCTAGCCCCTAAGAGAGGCTCTTTTAACAAAGAGCAAATGCTGGTGGGAGGACAGAGGGGTCCTTGGGACACTGATAGGGAAAGCAGGCACCCAGGCAAGGGGAGTAGTGTTGGAGTGACATAGACATAAAGCCACACTCACAGTATCGTTAATTACGATATCGCAATAAAAATGGGGGACAGAAGAGTAAAAAAAAAAGTAAATGTGCCAACTAGAATCTGCCCGATAGAATACAGGTATGGAGAATGAGTGAGAATAGGGTCAGGGAATACAACTTAATGGGCTGAGAGCATGCTCTGCATGCTGGTGGCCCGAGTTCCATTCCCTGAGCACTGCGGGGAGCGACTCCCAAGCACCATGCCTGGGCTTGCCTCTGAGCACCAGACCGTGGTCTCAATACCAAATGAAATAATGACTGGCCAGGAGAGCCTAGATCTCAAAGCTGGGTAAAGGCTACGCTGTGTCTTCTCTGGTGTTATATTTGAAATTATTCATAACTAAAATTGTTTTAAAGTAGTGGAGCACTTTTAAAATTTTTCTTTTTTGAAAAGAGGAGGTATGGTGTTTGCCTTGCATGTAGCTAACCATGGTCCAATCCCTGGCACCACAGATGGTCCCCGGAGCATCACCAGGGGTCACTCCTGAACCCAGAGCCAAAACAGCCCAGGAGCACCACCAAGTGTCGCCCAAAAAAAAAATAAATAAAAAAGATTTTTTCTTTTTTTGGTTTTTGGGTCACACTAGGAAGGTGTGACAGGAGGTGCTGGAAATGGAACCTAGGCCTTCTTCAGGCCAAGCATGCTCTCAGTCTGTTAAGCTCTCTCTCTCTAGTCTGAAAGATTCCTGGAACACACCTGGCAGTGATCAAGGCTTACACCTAGCTCTGTGCTCAGAGGTCACTCCTTGAGGAGCTTGGGGGACCACACAGGGTGCTGGGAATTGAATCCGGGTCGGTGTTGTGTAAGGCAATTGCCCTACCCCACTGTTCTGTCTCTCCAGTTCCCAAAAGAGATTCCTAATATAACTTGTCATAACCGAGTTTTGTCCCCTCAAGGTCAGAGGCCTCAGAATACATTCAATGCTACTTAGTAGTTGGTCCTGACCTAAAGTTCCCTTATGGCTTGAAGGTTCAGAAACATCAACTATCTAGCCTTTGCCAGGGGGAAATTTCCCAGCTGAGAACTGTGAGACACACAATTAACTGGATTTTACTGTCTAGGACAACACAAGGTGAAATGACAAAAATCATTCACTGACTGAAAAACCCACACCAACTAAAGTGAAATGAAACCTTTCACAACCCTATAACACAAACACCCAAGCACTGTCAGGTGAGCTGGTAATCATCAGTAGGGTCATGCACACTGCTGTTCTAGCTGGCTGGGAATACTTGAGTGGTCCTCCCAGGCCTCCTGAGCACCACTTGGGAGGAACCCCCTACTTAGTTAACCAATGTGACTGAAAGTTCTCACAGGTGCACAGCAGCTGAGCGCACATTCCCTGCAGGTGGGAATATAAGACGGTGTCATCGCTTGGCGAATGGCAGTCCTCCTTACGGCTACCACCTCAAGGTATTCATCCGAAGGTATTTATCTAATTTACACACATTCATGAAGCTACTTATATGACACTGCTCACTGAAGTCCTATTAATACTGCCAGAAACTGGGGACAAACAGTCCATGACAGGATGGATAAACAAGCTGTGACAGGCATCCAGTGGGACCCCACCCAGTTCTAAAGTACAGCTACACGCGGCAGGGCTAACGGTGAAAGAAATCATACGAAAAGTGCGTATGACACAGTTCCACTTGTCTGGAGTTCTAAAGCAAAATTAACCTACTGGACTTTCAAGAGGGTAGATGTGAAATGTTCTAGATCTTGCTGTGCTTGTGTGTCTACTGTTGAAAACTCAGTGAACTGATCCCTTAGGAACGTATTTTATTCTGTTAAGAGAACATGGTTGGGGTAAAATCCCAAATAATAATGGTGGGTCTGGTGTCGAAACATTGAATGTGATCAAAGTAGAGAGAGAGAGTAATGTGGAAATCATCTGCCCCACAGGTAGGGGGAGGGTGTGGGATGGGGGCATACTGGGGTTGTTGGGGGTAGAGAATGGGCACTAGTAAAGGTACCGGTGTTTCATTGTATGACCGAGACTTAGACCCGAAAGCTTTGTAACTGCTCTCATGGTGATTCAATAAATAAAATTATAAAAAAATGGAAAAAAAAAGAGAGAGAAACGTGAATGAGAGGCTAGAATGGTGGTACAGCAGAGACAGTGTTTTCCCTACACACAGCCAACCAGGATTCAATCCCCAGCACCCCATATGGTCCCCCGAGCCCGCCAGGATTGATCCCTGAATACAGAGCCAGGAGTAAACCCTGAGCACTACAACTAGATGTGGCCCAAAAACTCAAGGGAAAAAAAAGAGAACATGAATGAGGGGGTTGGTAGGCAGTTGAGTGGTTAGGGAACAGGCCTAGCATGTGCCAGACCAGGGTCCACCTCCAGCACACTGTCCCTTAAAATATTGTCGGGTGCAGGGCCGAGGCCCCTGAGAGGCACTGGGTAGCCCTGGTGGTCCCTCGCACTGCAGGCCTTGAGCAGCACCATGTCCTCATGCTCCAGCATTGAATTGCTGGTCCAACTTATCAAGTATTGTTTGAGTGGCCCCTGGCCCTCAGAGCACTGTTTGGGAGCCTCCTACCTAAAAGACAATAAGCATGAGAAAATTGCTGCCCAACGTAATCTAAGAGGTCACTCGAGGACAATAAAAAATGAGGATTGGAGCTGGAGGGATAGCACAGCGGGCAGGGCATTTGCCTTGCATGCAGCCGACCCGGGTTCGATTCCTAGCATACCATATGGTTCCCCAGCACTGCCAGGAGTTATTCCTGAGTGCAGAGCCAAGAGTAAGCCCTGCGCATTGCTGGCTGTGAACCAAAAAGCAAAAAAAAAAAAAAAAAAAAAAAAAAAAGACTACTTTGCTATGATCTGAGACACAATGTTTTTGTCTGTTTGAGATAGAATGTCTTGGGTTAGATCTAAACTTTATGTAAGGTAAGAAAAGGTATCATCAAAAAAAAAAAAAAAACCTGGCTGAAGCTTTTATCAAAATAAAAACTCCCAAAACAGTACAAGGAATGGAAAGAAAATCAAGCAGAAAGAGATAAAGGAAAAATTAGGTTGACTATGAGAAAATAATAAAAGAACTGGGTTCCCAATACCTAAAGGAACCAACAGATGAGTATTGGGGAAAATGACTTAAGATAGAAGATGATGTATCGAGAGAGAGGGGCCAAAGAGATAGTACGGTGGGTAGGGCACTTGCCTTGCACCTGGCCTGCTTGAGTTTGATTCCTCCACCCCATCCCACATGGTTCCCTGGAGGAGTAAGCCCTGAGCACAGCCGAGTGTGGCCCCAAAACAAAAAGAGAATTTCAGAGAAGGGGGAGAGAAAAAGAGAGAAAGAGAGAGAGAGAGAGAGAGAGAGAGAGAGAGAGAAAGGAGAAAGAGAGGGAGAAACAGGGGGGGGGCGGGAGAGAGAAGACAGAAAGACATGCAAGATACAAACCTCAGAAGAACAAAGAATAATAACAACGAAAGAATAAGATAGTCTATCATTTGTGTATTAGAGCTAATTGTTTAAGTCTCATTTGTATATTAGAGCTAATTGTTGCTGTATGTATTTAGCATATAAAGAGGAGCGGTGAATAAAAGAGATGGAGGACAGAGAAAGTTGTCTGGAAGCATAACGTGGTTTTGGAAAGGAGACTAACAATTCTGAGTTATTAAAAATTGATTTAGGGGTTCAGGAGACAGCTCACAGACCTGAGCAATCCCCACCCAACACATGGGTAGTAACCCCCAGACTGGCCTGGGGAGGTCCCAGCAATGTCTGTGTTCCTTGCTGGAGCCTGAGGACCACGTGATGCCAGAGATTGAGCTTAGTATTAAAAATCCTGCATGCAAAGCTGACGCTCTGCCCCAGGGCCTATATATTTCAGGTCTTCAACTTTTTCAAATGTTGGCGGTGATCCAGTGACCCCACGACCCATCACAGTGCTTTCACAGTAACTCAAATAGGTACCTAAAGAAACTTTGAAAAAACAATTAATTATCTCTGTGATCGTATAGTGACTAGTACTCTGCTGTTGTGAAAAGACAATTATCTGCACGTGCCTCTTGGTCTTAGTCCCGGGGTTTAGAGTTGGTGTGATATGCCTGATGGTTAAAAGCAGGGCTAGCAGGGGGCAGAGGAGTGGACTCTGAGGGCTGGAGCGCAGGCTTTACGTGCAAAAGTCCCGGGTTCCTTCCAGTAACGCTCTGGGAGTAGGCCCTGAGCACCAGCCAGTGGGGCCCCCTAGTCCACCCCGAATGAATGGTGGAGACTCCAAAGAGCCGGCGAAATACCGACTCAGCTGCAAGCACGCCAAACTCGCGTGTGGCTGCACCAAGGGAGAGTTTTTGTCCTCTGGAGGCACACTAGAGAGAGCAGAGAGAGCACTGGCGACTGCTGAGGTCTTGCGAGCCGAGCCGGGAAGCAGCGCGGGAGGGGAGAGATGGAGAGAGAGGGGGGGGGGGAGCAAACAGCACCCCATCAAGGCCCCGGGCACTGGCCACTTGCCCTGCCTCACTCCAGGAAGCGAGGCCGGTGCGAGATGCAGGCGACAAGGCAAAAGCTTACCTCCGGCACACGCCCCCGGCGGGGCCGCGACACTGACGACCGCCCGCCAAAGGCGTACAGTCGCTCGTCCCTGCCAAGACCCTCAAGTCCTCTCCCCCTCCCTCTCCCCACCGCCCCACTCCTCCCCTCCAGGTCCACGATTCCGTGCGGTGCTCGGAGGCGGCCTGCCTGGGTCCTGCCCGGAAGAATCGGGTAACTGGTGCATGAAGAACGGGGGTGGCAGCTCACTCCAAGCATCCGAGAGAGACGGGGGCGCCGGAGTGGCTGCTCCACCGTCCCCTGCACCATTGCCGGGGGTCGCACACAGAGACGCCGGGCTACGGCGGCCTCCCGCAGGGCCGCTGCACAGTCCTCCCAACACGGGAGCGGCAGCCCCCCGGGGTGTTGTTAGCCCGCAAGGCCAGTCCGCCGCTCGCAGAGCCCCGCCGGGTCCCCTGCTTCCCATCACCCCCCGCGCGGAGCCCCGAGATTGTCAGCGCCCTCCGGAGCTCCGGGGAGGCGTGCGTGCCCTTCCCCTCTCCTCCCCGCCAGGCGTGGCCGCCGGCCCCGCACAACCGCGTCTGGGCAAGGCAGGACGAGCTCCCACCTTCACTTTAATAAGCATCTTCTTCCTAGTTCGGGGCTGCACACCGATACGTCGCTGCCTCTCCCGCTGCGCTCTCCGCCGCCGCTTCCCAGCACTCCGCCGGTGGGAATCACTTCTGCTTCCGGGTCGCTGGCTCCACCCCCCCCCACGCCCCTTTTCTCTACGGGGTTCCCGAAAGGGTCGGGAATGCGCCGGCGTTTCGTTTCAGCGGCGCTGTAAATTAGAAAGAAGGCTTCCAGTGAATTCACAACAGAAATAAGACCTCCGCGATTCGGAAAGTCCCTAGTGAGCCACGGCTAGTGGAAACCGGGGGCCCGCAGGAACTACTTCTCCCGACATGCCTTGGGGGTCTCGCGCGCGTAGCACTCTGGGAGTTGTAGTTTCCTGCTCATCGGTTCTAACGGTAACCTGAGTGTGTGGACTCTGTTACCCAGAAGGCCCTGCTGAAGTCGGAATTCCTTGGTAAATGATCTCGCAGGCTTTAGCGGAATCTGTTGGCGTGGCCCACAAGGCTCAGCGGGGCTGCACGAGGCTCGTTGCTAAGTAAGTGTGAACTTCGGTCAACGGCCACCTGGGCGATAGCGACAGGAAGTGAGTACCCCTCTTCCGGAAGCTAGTTATGGAATCTTCCTCATTCCTTCGCCTCCTCCGCCAAATCAGCCTCTCTCATACCCTGCATTGCGCTTTTCTCTGGCGGGGAGAACGGTGACAAACGGGATAAGACTCCATCCCAATTCTTCTCTTCAACAGATAGTACCTGGTATGGAGACATCCAGGGAAATCGCAACCGTGCAGGAATCAGAGGTGACAGTCTACAGGGACCATGCTTCAATCTCTGACCTGACTTTCCAAAACATTTTTGAAGTAACATTGCATTATAGCGTTATAAATGGCAAGTGTGCAACGTTGGAAATGGACATGTGTATATACTAACCTTAAATTACCTTTAGAAATCAATTCTAGGGTGGTGAGATGGCTCAAGGGCTGGCGCACCTGCTTTGCATGTAGGAGCCTTGGGTTCCATCCCGGGCACTCCATGGACCCCTGAGCACTGCCTGGGAACAAATTTCCAATACGTAGGAGTTGATCCCCAGAACAGAAGTCTTAATTCTAAACTTGGCTGTCTAGAATGCCTGCAACTGTTCAAAATCTTTTATCCAATTTATTCACCTTCCCTCTTGGTGACTATGGTCATAATATACTATAGTTGCTCTATAATCTAAAAGGAACCCCCTCACTACCACTTGTTTTCTCTGTGAACCACATACAGTTGAAATCATAGGCATTTGCCTTCGTCCATATGGCGTATTTTAACGGGCACAGCACCTTCTAGGTCCATGCATGTTGTAAATAGCAGGATTTCAATTTTTTTTTTTTTTGCAGTGCCTGAGGATTGAACCCAGGGCCTCACACATCCCAGGCAAGGCAAATGCTCTTTGTCACTGAACCACTTTCCTGAGTCTCATCTTTACTAGCTCATTCGATGTCTAGATGTCCATTGTGTACATCTTCCTTCCTCATCTTCCTTATTATTATCTGCATTTGCACATACCTTGTTTCCAGTTCTTGGCTGGAAATTGTCACTATTATTGTCTATTATTGTCACTGTTATTGTCACTAGCTGGACAATGAACATCTATCCTTTATTTGTTTGGGGGCCACACCTGGCAATGTTCAGGGCTTACTCTTGCAATGTGCTCGTACATCATGACTGGTGGTGCTCACAGTATTATTCCAGGTGCTGGATATAGAACCCAGGTTGGCTACATGCAAGTCAAGCACCCTGCAAGCTGTATTCTCTCTCTCGACTCATATTGCCTTTTGAATTAGTGTTTATCTGTTTTTAGGTACATGCCCATTAAGTGGAATATCTGGATTATATATAATGTCTGCTTTTGTTTCACGGTCACAGTCACGGTCCTCCTGTTATTCATCGATTTGCTTGAGCAGGCACCAGTAACGTCTCCATCGTGAGGCTTGTTACTGTGTTTGGCATATTAAATACATCACGGGTAGCTTGCCAGGCTTTGCCATGTGGGCGAGATACTCTCCGTAGCTTGCTGGGCTCTCCAAAAGGGGCAGAGGAATCGAACCCAGGTCGGCCTGGCTGGCTGTGCACAAGGCAGACGCCCTACTGCTGTGCTATCGCTCCAGTCCTGCTTTTGTTTATCTTTTTTTTTTTTTCTCTTTTTTTGGGTCAGCCATGGCAATGCTCAGGAGTTACTCCTGGCTCTGCATTCAAGAATCACTCCTGGCGGTGCTTGGGGAACCATATTTGATTTTGAAGATTGAAACTGGGTCAGCCGCTTGCAAGGCAAATGCTCTACCTGCAGTACTATTGATCCAGCCCAATTATGTAATTAAAAAAATTTTTTTGAGCCACACCCGGTAGTACTTGGGTGAGGGATGGGCAGGAGCTGCTTCCAGTGGTGCTTTGGAGGCCACGCTATACTGAGGACCAAAAATGAGCCTCCTGTATGCACAGTATGCATTTAGCCTCTAGAGTTTTCTCTCCGATTTACCTTTGTTTTTTTAGGCCACACCCAATGATGATCAGGAATTATTCTTGCTACATTTTTGGGGCCACTTGCTGTGGTGCTCTATGGAACATGTGGTACAGGAATAGAACCTGTGCTCCAGCATGAAAAACAGATCCTTAAATCCTTAGAGCTCCCTAGCCTCTGCTTTTCCTTTTCTTCTTCTTCTTCTTATTATTTTTGCTTTTTTTCTTTTTGCGTTTTGGTTCACACCCAGCAATGTTTAGGGGTTATTCCTGGCTCTGTACTCAGGAATTTCTTCTGGCGATGCTTGAGGGACCATATGGGATGCCGGGGATTGAACCCGAGTCAGCCGCTTACAAGGCAAACGCCCTACCCACTGTACTAGCACTCCAGCTCCTACTTTTTTCTTTTTAAAGGAATTTTTATACTGCTTTCCATAATGGCTACAGCAGTATACATTCCTTTCAGCAGTATGTTAGAGTTCTTTCCTTCCCATCCACTCCAACACTTGTTGCCTCTTTTTTTCTCTTTTATTTCTTTTTGTTTTTTACTTTATATTTATTTTTTGGCTACACCCAGAAATGCTAAGAGCTTTCTCTGCTTTTGTGCTTGGGGATCACTCCTGACAGTGCTTGGGGGACCATATGGGGGACTGGGAATCGAACTCACATCAGCCGTGTGCTTGGCAAGCACCCTACCTGTTGTACTATCTCTCTGGCCCCTTGGTGAATTTTATACGGTTTTATTCTATATTCTGTTTGATCCTATTTTCTCTTTATATTTTGGGGGTCACTCCTGATCAGTGCTAAAGGAATCCACTCCCAGTGATACTCTGTTGATTGGACCAAGAGATTGAGTAGGGCCCAAGATGCAATGCTTCTCAGACTATGAAGTATTGGAAATCACCAGTACCACTCCCCAGCAGTGTTTGAGGAGCCGCCCTCTGGTAATACTGTGTGGCTTTCTTGTTAGAGTGTCTGTGGTGCCAGGGTCAGGCACGTGCAAGTCATGCACCCTAACCCCTGTACCATCTCCCCATCCCTTTTATTTTCTTTTGGATAATAGCTATTCTCACAAGTGTGAGTTGATGACTCACATTCGTTTTAATTTGCATTTTCCTAATATTGTGAGAGGTAATAAACATCTTTCCATGCTGCAGTGATGAAAATCTTTCAGGTGCCTGTTGGTTATCAGTGTTATCTTTGGAGAAGTACCAAGAGGTGTTTAGGTCTACTTCCCATTTTTTAATCTGTTGCTGCTTATTTGTTGAGTATTATGTTGTGTGTGTGTCTGTGTGTGTGTGTTTTGTGAAACAAGATAGTTTTTATTGAATGAAACTTACTTAGAAAAATGTGAGGGGAGAGAAAGAGAGGAAGGACACATTCAAGAGAAGTACACAGGCATCTCCAAAGTGGAAAACGCCAAGCAAGCAAAGATACTTAGACACAGCAAGGGAGATTCATGTTTAAGGGAAAACATGGGCTTGAAGTGCATGCCAAGTTTTATGAGTTCTTTAAAAGTATTAAATATTTTTATTTGTGTTTTTTTGGGGGGCCACACACTCTGAGGCTTCTCATGGCTCTGTGACTGTGTGCTGGGGACTTGTTTCCAGCAGTGCTTGGGGACCATGGGGTGCTGGGGATGGAGCCTGAGCCTCTTGCAGGCAAAGCATGTGCTGTGAGGGCTCTCTCCAGCTCAGACTTTTAAATATTAACTGCTTTTCCGTTAATATTCAAAATACATGTATGACGTGCAAATATCCTCTTCCATTCAGAATGGTGTCTTTTTGATTCCTTTCTGCATTCTTTCTGCTTTTCGGTGTTACTGTTTATTTTTGCTTTTATTTTTCTTGCTTTTGGAGTTGAGTCCCCAAACACATCTCCTCAGCCAATGTCAAGAAGCATTTGTCATGTATTTCTTATGTATTTTACAATTTTAGGTCTTATATTCAAGTCTTTGATTCATTTACAATCAACTATTATGTATGGAATGACTGTTTAGTTTCATTATTTTGCGTGTAGTACTCCAGTTTTCCCATTAATTGAAAAGACTCTGTGGCCGGAGGGATAGTAGAGAGGGTAAGATGCTTACCTTGCACATGGCTGACATGGCGGAACAGGGTTCGATCCCCAGCAGCCCACCTGGTCCCCTAAGCCTGCCCAGGGAGTGAGCCTTGTGCTTAGAACCTGAAGTAAGCCCAGAGCACTGCTGGGTGTAGCCCCAAACACTACCCTCCCTCTCCATAAAAAAAAAAAGTTATACAAAAAGACTTGCTCCATTGTATGCACTTGAATCCTTTGTTACAAATTACCAATTCCTTTTGTAGTTCTATAAGTTCTAAATACAGTTTATAATTTTTGTTGCATTATTGTGAAGCAAATTATTGGGATTTTTATAAATGTCACTGAATCTGTATGTTTCTTTAATATAACCATTTAAATTAATGCTTTTAATCCATAAATACAGAACTCCTTTGGGTCTGTCTCCTTGTGTCTTTCATTTCTTTCAGTGTCTTATGGTTTTTGTGTATAGATCTTTATTGCATCAGGGGCCGGAGAGAGCTCCAAGTGCTGAGTACATGATTTGCATGCAGGAGGTTTAGGTTCAATCCTGGCACTACATGGGTCCCTTAGTATCATAAGAAGTGACCCCTAAGCACAGAACATGTAATAGCCCCCAAGCATCACCAGGTACATCCAAAATATCATTTCTCAAATATTAAGATTTTGTTTTGTTTTAGGGCCACACCTAGCAGTACTCGGGACTTACTGCTGACTCTGTGCTCATGGTGTGCTCAGGGGACCATATGCAGTGCCAAAGGACTGACTCTGAGTTGGCCTGAATGCAAGGCAACTCTACCCGCTGTACTATTGCTCCAGCCCTCCACTATATTCTTTTTAAAAGACTTCAGTTATAGGGTCGGAGAGATTGTACAGCAAGTAAGGAGGCACTTACCTTGTGTGTAGCAAAACAGAGTCTGATCCCCAGTGCCACATATGATCCCTTAAGCCTCACCGGAAGTGATCACTGGAAGTGAGCAGAGAGCCAAAACGAAGCCCTGAGCACAACAAGTTATGACTCATCTCCCCCAAATAAAAATTACATTTATTTTCTATGCTATTTAAAATTTGGGAGTATAACTTTATATTTCAATGTAAGTATAGGTATATATACTTAAATACTTATATTGTATAATATACATGCTAATAGACTTGTGTATGTGCTTATATATGTTGAATATATTAAAGGAATATATCATGTATATATAAGTATATACTTATATTGAAACATGTAGGTAGGTAT